GGGGGGTATTCGAGAACACGTCAGAGTGCGGGTGCGAGTTACACCATTTCAATGTCGTCGCCATTTGTCTTCCATCATTTCCTGTTCAAAACTCGCCAGGTAAACAAAGAGCGGAAGATGCTGACACAGCAACCAACTCCCGACAAACACGACATCTAGTAGCCGTTGTAGTGTCTTGCTTCTCCGATTCCAATACTAGGTAATCTTCTGACGGTTGGAAAACACCAACGGCTTTTATCGTCTGCCCTTCCATGCTGCAGCCGATTGGTTCGCCCCATGTCACATTAGACGATCTGGCTGATCTAGCGTCGTAATCATGGTGCGGGAGATCGTCTCGGCGCTGAACAGGAGGGTGTCTAGCATGGATTCGGCGCTTTTATTGTCGAGTTGACAACTGAGGTGATGGCTTCAACGGGGCGGCAGTCTCGAGAGCTCGTCGAAAAAGAAGGAGTGCCTTGGCTTCGGTTCTTCATGTTGTGGTCGGCAGGTTGATTGGACAAGGCAGTACGTCGTAGCCGGCTGATCTCGGGCATGGCTCACCACCGAACACTTATTGACCGAGACGCGCAGCTTCATTCTCATCTGCCGACAAAGCATCATTGTCAAATGTCTAGCGATGTGTACAATGGTTTGGGAAACATCAAAATCCTATGGCCGAGGTCCCTTTCTCTTTTTTTATCTATGCCCGGAGCTTCTCACGCCTCGCGGAGGTCCAGCATATCACGGACACCCGAAGTGTGTTGATCCTCCAGCACGTGGGTCTTGAGTTTTGGATCGGTCAAAGCCGCGACCATTAGCCATTTCAATGACTGTTTTGGCACTTGCCTTTTCTCGGAGGAACCCCGATATCCGAAAGATTAACCATTCATGTGTGGTCCTGAAGCCAGGGTAGACTCTCACCACAGACGATATTACAAGTCTCCCCTTGTTCTTTTAATCATCGGAGATACAGTAATTGTCGGCCATTTTCAACGTTCGGTTAGCTTTGTTGCCGGCGCCGGAAGTTGTGTGTTTCTAGAATGTCGATTCGAGTCGGGGGAGGCTCAACCGGTGTCCACTGGTTCTAGCACACCATGATTACCTGATAGATATCCCCCTCGAGGGCCTTGTGGGTTGGGGCAGAAAGACGGCTCGGTGCCGAAATATCAACAAGCCGGGGCGTATCATACGCAGACCGGACATGCAATACTGCTCGGACCAGATTTAGCTTGGGCGAAGCCCGTACGTACAAAAAGAGGCGTCTGTTGACGGCGCCAGCCAATCCGATCGGCCATTGATGGGGAAAGGGCGAGGCGATTCCGAAAGTAGAGCCTCGTTTCCAGTGCCCCCTTGTGCCGTGAGATGTCATGACATTGTCCAAGCCGCACGAAAAGTGGTTATGATCGTTGTTGGTACATCATGCAGAAAAGAAAGTGGGCTTGGATGGCGGTGATGGGTAACATCAGTCTATCTGCTTCCTGGCTACCAGTCATCACCATTCTAGAGGATATTGTGAAGCCTTTTCACTTTGCAGGGCTCTGACGTTATGAGGCATCTATTCAATATCAATGAGATTGCTATAAGGGATCAGAAGGTATCATTGAGACTACTATAGGGAATCAGAAGGTGCGCGAGACCAAAGGCCAAAGGCAGAAATAGGGCACATGGAACGTTCTGCTTCTTTCTTGACAGATCCTTGACGTCTTTTGACATGTGTCAAGCACACGGCTTCCCCGTGTTCCGTCTCAAGGGAGGAAGAGAGACATGCTTTTGCTTACCTCCGGTGGTGTCCCTGAGAAGTCCGAGAATGGGTACCTATCTCGGAGGACTTGGGGGGGAAGAGCGAACCAGATATTCGAGTCATTGAGTCTCCGGGTTGAGCTGCATTCTGGCCATCTATCTTCATTTTGAAAATACTGTCGACGATGGGTGAACGGGAAGGGAACCCTATGGTTAGCGGTTTTCAATCATGACAGGGAGTTGCGGTGCCGGACGACGGCGATGTAAGTCCTCATCTCTTTCCTTCAACTCCACATCACACGTTACATCAACTCTAGATTCTTCTTCCCGTATAGTGTTTTCTTCGCTGTACGTTGCGTCAAGAGGCTTGTTCTTGTGTCGTTGGCCACCATGCACGTTCGTTTCGTCCCGTCTTTGTATGCTGCAGACACACGACAGCACACGGAATAAAAAGTCGGTGGCCGAAAGAACCGATGGCCGATGCCGCGAGAAGGCGAGGGATATGGAAAAAAACAAGAAGATATTGATATGGGATCGCCGCCGCCGTCACCGGACGGGGATTGCGATGTTGCTCTGCGAGTAGGTATCAAGACGATCCCAACTACGCCATCAAGCCCCCATACTCCTTGTACAACCGCCCTCTGGCCGCCACCAACGCCCCAGATGAATGATTCCATGGATATAAAACCGAACATCAGCTTATCATTGGACGAAACAACAAGAGTCGGGTATCTGTGGGCATGACCGCTGTTCAGGAGGGTGGCATACATGACATGACATCTGACAGAAACCGGACGAAACGACAAGTTTCACTTGACAGACAGGTGTCAGATGAAAGGGGGAGAGGACAACAAGGAGGGCTCGTGACGCACACCCGCCCACACCTGGGCTGGGCAAGGTACGCGCAAGTACGCATATCATCCCCTCTTCTTCCTCCCCGATCTCGCATCAGGATGAAGTATCTATATATCATACTGTCCGCCCCCCCCTCCCCCCCTTGGTCCCCTCGTCGGCCCCCTTCTCTCTGCTTCCCTCTTCTCCTGTCCATCATTTCTTGTTGAAGAGGACAACAACCCCGATTGCAGAAGAGATGGTCCCTTCCCTCGATTATTTTGATCATGACGGGCATGGACTTCGACGTTTGATGGATGATGGGACGATCTGGGCGGTTAAGGCACAACTATGGCAACGTGAAGGCAACATCAACACTTGACAACACCACAATAGGATGGCCTTTGATATCGGCCTCGACATCGACCACACCCGAGCAACGATGCCTGACAGGATAACGAGAGAAGGACCTCAAGCCTGGGACTCGAAAGAAATAAAGCTCACAAGAACGAAATCGACGACAACATAATCACAAGCAGGGATTCGCAACGACAGAGAGCAATGGAGAAGCATGAGGATCAAAAAGACATTTGACTGAGTGGGAGGACGAGTGAGAGGTCGATACGATACAGTATGGGGAGATTGGCTGCCATGACTAACCGCGAGAACTGGCTGAAAGAGGATCCTTCACACCCCGATCCGACTAGGTACCCACTCAACTTCGAGAAGGATCAGAGAGGAAGCGCAGACTAGAAGGGGAGAGTCTTGGTCATGGGCCGTTGGCAAGGTGCCAAGCAAGAGCGTTGGGGAATCAGGGGAGTGTGAAAGGGTGAGGAGGGAAGGGGCCCAGGTGGGTATTCACGGAGGATATGGACGACAGGACGCGATGTGGTTCTCGACTTGAAGGAGGCATCATGTGTGAGGGAGGATTCAAAGGCAAGGAAAGGCTACATGGGGGAAATCTTGGAAATCTTGGACTACCGACCCGACTTGAACACGACGAAACGATGCCCGATCACCTCGAGACTCCTGTCAACCGAATTTTAGGAGTAACGAAAGGCGAAAGACTGGAAAGGGGTAATGTGGGAATGTGGGAATGTGGGAATGTGGTAATGTGGTAATGTGGTAAAAGGTAAAGGGGGATGGAAGTCAGAGCAACAACTCAAGGTAGACAAGTCATCGTCGTCCCTTCCTTGTCTCTTCTGCCGTTTTCTTTGAGCAGGTGGCACCTTCCCAATGACAGCACATCCCCATATCTACCACCAACGGCAGGAGCGATCACTGAGTCGTAATAACACGGGAAGCTGCAATCATGGGCTCAGCTTCCCAGCTAGGCTAAACCTCTTCACATATAGGGCAAAGAATCAACAACAACCATCACATACGACCATACCCAGCTGAAAATACGGGATCCCGTCCGCTCTCCCCTAGTCAAACAGCTGAGGGCCGAACCAGTACTCAGGTGGGTGACCACTGGGGAATCCTCGGTGTTGTATGTTTTTGGCTCTTTTTGGGGGTCCACTTGACTCCATCACCAAGTCTTGGCACCGTTGTCTCCCAGTACCAAGGACTGGGTTGTCGTTTACATCCTCACCATCCTCTTGATGGGATTATCTTTCTTTTGTCTTGCCAACTTAACGGCCAAGCCATCAGATATTTCCTGTGGGTTGAACAATGCCACTGTGTCATAAGCTACCCAAGCATCTTACCCAGCACAGTCACATACAAAACAAGAGTCAAGATTGAAAACTATGGATATTCTTTTATTAAATAGGGGGGTGTAGGGGGGGTATAGCACTGTCTAATACTTTCCATACTCGCACAAGACTCTCCAAAATTCCAGATACTCCTTTCCTTTGACAATGATTATGGGGCAAGCATGCTTGCAAAGTGAGAGGATGCAAATACAAAATGCAGCAACAACGAAGACATGAGATGAACACCAGATCCAACCATGCAACAACACACATTTCAGAACGAAAAGCCTGCCACGAAACATGAATAGAAACCGAACTGAACAGTCAAGACGGGGAAAGCGAGCGCTGATTAAGACAAGGTAGATAAGTTTGGGGACACGTGTGTGTGATGTATGATGTGAGTGTAACCGAATTTCCAGAAACTCTCCCAATGCATGATGAAAAAAAGTGATGGCAGTGTTTGTACGTGATGCGGGAGGGTGTATATACCTTATATAAACGATGGAACTGGGGGGGATTGGTGGTAGGAGGTTGATGATGTGAAGGGAATGCGATGTAATGATATGAAAAGATATGACAACGAAAAAACCCGTCATGAAAATGCCTTCCAGGATGAAAGGGGATGAACTGAACTCCAAAATTCCAACAGTCCAACACTTTCCAACTCCGCAGCTCCTTCAACTCCCAACAACTATTGCCTCCCTGTTCCTGCCTTTTCAATCCATATCCAATCTCTTGCACTACCCGTCCCAACTACTCGGCATTTCCACCCTTTATCAAGGTCTCCAGCTCCCATGGATTCAAAGTACTCCGTCTCCGGCTTGCCACCTTGTCGCTTGTCTTCCGTGCCGCCACAGCTTCTCCATAATTCCTCTCCCGTTTGCGTGGCTTCTCTGCATGGATGACCTGATGAGGCTGGACAGCCGAGAAGCCGAGCTCATCCTCACCATCGTCATACTGCTCAGGCTGATACTGAATGTAGTCGCTCTGCTCCGATCTCATACTCTTGGTCGACATTGTTTCGGTAGGTGTGTTGGGCATGCTATTCTCGGCTGTAACCCGACCTGAGCCGGGACCTGGGAGGTGGATGCCCTTCCTTGCTGCCTTGAGTTTGGCTCTCACGCGGGCCGCATCAGCATCGCGTTCCGAAGCGGCAAGCTTGGCTTGAATGGTCGCCATGGAAAGAGGGGATTGCTGGGCTTGTGTTGGAGACTGAGGGGGTTGCAATACCGGGGCGTTATTAGTAGCGGTACCAGCTGCGCAGGCGGAATTATTACTTCCGCTGCTGCCAGCGTTACGTGGGAGGGGAAGGCGAGAGTTCACGCGGCGAGGGGATTTTCCGGGCGCTGGTTCTGGGTTGGGCGGGATAGAGGTCTTGGAGCTCGATGAGACTGGCGCGGATCGGGTAGAGGTGGTCGAGGTAGCGGAGGTGTTGCGGGCGGTTGGCTTGGAGGGCTTGGAGGTATCGCTGTCCCCTTTGCGGGTCTCTGAGCGTCCACGGGTGATGGGTGGTCTGGTGGGACGTGTTACGGGGGGCCGGGAAGTGACCTTTTTCTGCCTGGCTTCGCTTTCCTGTTGCTGCTGCCGGGTAGTGGTGGTGCTGGTAGTACTAGTTTTCCTCTCTTCCCGCTCTTGTTGCCGAGATGGAGGTTTTCGTGTTTCCTTTACTGGTCTCGGGGCAGGGGATGGCTTCTTGATTGGTCTTGTCGCATGCGGTGGGGGCGTTGGCGCTGACTTTTTCGTGACTGCACTCTTCGGTTCCGCCGCGGCGGCCTTGGGCAACGAGACGCTGTCCAGAGAGATAGATGTATCAGGTGTAGAGACGGCCGCGGAAGGCGGTTGCGCAGCCGTGCCAGTTTCCTCAGAAGGCACGGTCCGTACTGATAATAGCGGCTTCTTGGATGGTGATTGCTGGGGTCTGTCGGCATGGGGAGGTGGTAACGGCGATTCTTCAGAAAGGGGTCGGCTCCGGACGCCTTCCTCGGCAAACTTTGGACGTCTCCTCAAATTGGGGCCGTCTCTTCCACCCTTGTTTCCGGCCGAAAAATGTTCGCGCAACGGGCTGGGCTGGGGGGCCGGAGCGACGGGAGGCGAGGGCATCACGACCGACTGCTGAAGGATCTCAACGTTAGGCTCCTCAACATCCAACTCGTCCATATCAATCTGCTGGTCTTCAAAGACACTCGAAGTATCGCTGTCGTCCTGTTCCTCTATGCCACCCTCAGGCACCAACTCCAAAGGACCCTCGTCCTCGTCCTGGTAGTCAACTTGATCATGATGATAACTCTCATGGCCCTCATGGACAGATTCCAATTGCAGTCCTAGCCCACCTTGAGCCGTCTCTTCCACGTTTTGAACCTTGACCGGACTAAGGCGCAGGCCCATCTTGAGCTCCTCCACATTAACGGGCCGCCCACTGGCCTGCATTCTCCTCCGCCAGCCATCAATGAGATGGACCGCCTCTTTCCATCGCGTCTCCATCTTCTCCCACCCGTCGCGCAGCCTGTTGATCTCATCTTCTCTCACCACCACTTCCTCAATCGGCACAAACGATGGGTTGGTAAGGATCGTCCTCAGATGTTCAAGGACAGCCTCAATCTCAGCGGCCATGTCATCGTAACCGGTGGGCAACGACAGAGCATACCCGTCACTGTCCACCATTCCAGCGTCCCAGCCGCTCATGTCCTTCAACTGTTCCGTCGTCCTCCTGATTAGAGTCAGAAGCCCCTCATTCTCTTCGCTCAGCCCCTTGGCCAATTCAGCGAGAAACGAGTTTGTTTCCTGACGGAGATCATACCCATCACTGCTACTGGCCGTCGTCGTGGGCGTGGGAGGCAATGGGTTGCCCTGTTCATCGGCGCCGATATCGCCAACCACTGTGATGGAGGTGACACCTGGGCTCTTGCTAGCGCCTCTCGCTCTAGCCGCTTCTGATACCGCCTTTTTCAGCCCTTCAATCTGGCGGTCCCTCTTGCGGACCTCTGTGGCGCAGGCAGATCGTGTTTGGGCGGCCAGCAACTTCGTCCTCGCAGCCTCTTCTTTGAGGCGGTGAATCGTCGCCTCGGCCGTCTTGATGTGCGCTCTCAGAGCAGTTTCGGCAGCGTCGCTCAGGCCGGCTTTGCGCTGGGCCTCTGCGTTCTTTTCTTGCAGGCGCTGGATGTCGTTGGCTTGTCGGAGGGACTCGGCGCGCAGCGTGCGGAGAGTAGCGGAGAGAGATTCACGGTGCTCTGCATCGCGCTGTGTTGGTTTCTGTCAGTACGCCGATGTCTTGGAGAAGTGGCGGGAATTGGGTATAAAAACTGACATCGCGGCGCAAAATCAAGTCATTCACCACCGACATGATCCGGCTCATGGTCTCGCCCATCTCCTCCTCGCTCTCCCCCGGGTTGGTAAAGTCGATGTTCTGGCCATCGCGCAGCAGGCCTCTAGACAGTAGCTGGTTGTTGATGTACAGCGACGCCGTACGCAGGTTTTCGGACACAATCATCTTGGTCGTTGTTTTCGCATCTCCCTCCAGCGCGGTTCTTCTTTTCTTTCTTTGGTGGAGCGGAAGAGAGAGTAAAGAATGGCCCCCCCGTCAGGTAGAAATGGCCCTCCAACAGGGATGCGTCTCCTTCGAGAAAGGTTGAATTGGGAAAGGGCACGAACAAATCGGGACAGTCTGGGACAGCCTGGGACAGTCTTGGGACGTGGGACTTGCTGAATCAAGGCGTCATTCCCGAAGTACGGAGATGGGTAACATTTCAGCAGTGCAGTTACAGTTGCTTCGTCGTCGTTGAAAGACCCACGGGTGCCACGGCCCACGAACAGCATGGCAATCTTTCCCAAGACGAGGGCAAAACCGCGGTTCGCTAGTGGTCAGCGGGCTCCATAACATCCCTGCTCTGTTTGTTTGGCGGGGCGTTGCTGCGACAACCACCTGCAACGGCCGTGCGCTAGCGTCACCGCCCAGCTGTTTCCCCAACCTTTTGCACACTCGGCACATGGGGAACCCTAACCCGACCCGTCATCACTCTCTTTTTTGTGCTGCCACGGCTACTCTGTACCTCTCCACTCGTCGACTGATCAACACACATTAGCATCGTACCATGACGCAAAACTCTTGTAAGTTTTCTTTCTCTTTACGTCGAGATGGGGAAAGTATGGAAATCACGGTGGCTGGGTACATCTTCAATGTGGATCGCTTCGAGAGGGAAATTACAACATTGCCAAGACTGTATTCCTATCCAGACAAGTTTTCCGGGTTACCCGCCGCCAGAAGATGCTCTCCCACTCCAACCAACAAGGTCTCTTCAACAAATCCCAAGAGCCCAAGAAGTCCCAGAGAACCCTTTGTGCATGGGTCTGTGCTCTGCAGACAGGGAAGACCACTCCCTCGGGAGGACCCAACAACCCCTCCTCCTCCACCCTTCAAACAAGTTCCAAGTCAACAGAGCCCCCTCCCCGTGGCCCCTCACCATCCTCCCTCGCCTCCATGTGGTTTCGAACCCGCCGCCGCCGCTCGCCAACGTCAACCCGTCAGACCTGCAGAGCGGCATCCTCCCGCGCTGCATGGGAACCTTTTTTCCATCCCTGGGTCGGATCATGTTTCGAGGCATCGAGTGCCTTCGCTTCACCTACCTTGCCCCAGCCACCTCCTCCGGGAGTTTGGATGATGATGCGGTCACCCGCCTTCATCGGCGCCGTGTTCTTGGCCCCCATGTTGATGTACCTCTCCTCCGTCTCCCCTTCGTCATCACCACCATCACCCCCCTCCCCTTCCTTCTCAGCCTGTAGCCTCTTCAAGCTTGTCTCCCAGCTAGCCTTCTGCACTTTCCTCACCCACAAGTTCAACCCCGCCTCCGCATCCTCACCCCCGGCCATGCCATACGGCTGGTAAACCCTCCTCTCGCTCAAGATCGACACCTGCATCGGCAACCTAAACTCAATATCCCTCACCACGCCATCACCACCCCTGTGCTGTCCCTTACCACCTGATCCCCTCCTGATGGAGAATTCCCGCAACAAAACCGGGTACCGTCTCTCAAACACCTCTGAATCCGTGATTCTGGTATTCGTCATGTGCACGTGAACTCCATCTGTCCCCTCCCAGTACGGCCCGGCGCCGCTCCCGCCCGCAATCGTCTCGTAGTACCCGAACCCTTTGACCTCTTTCTGGCCCGTGACGTTTCCACCAAAGCCAAACGTCAAGTTATTGCAGCAGCCTTGGCTGGCGGCACAGGCTTCAAAGGCCTTGAAGATGACGTCTGTGATGCGCTGACTGGTCAAGACATTGCCGCCCACCACGGCAGCGTTGTCTGACGGAGACAGCAAGCTCTTCTTGGGAATCTTGACCGTGATGGGGCGTAGGCAGCCTTGGTTCAGCGGGATGTCTTCCGAGATCATGCACCGGAGGCAGTAGATGATGGCCGAGTACGAGATGGCCTCGGGAGCGTTGATGTTGGCGTAGACTTCGGGGCCTGTGCCCGCAAAGTCAAAGATGGCTTCGCCCGCTTGGTCGTCAATGGTCACCTTGAGGCGGATGGGAGACCCGTCGTCCATGTAGTCAACTGCTGAGAGCTCCTTGCCTTGAAACCGCTTCGATACAGTCTTAAGCAAATTGCGCACCTGGAGTTCGGCGTTCTTCTGGATGGCCACCATGTAAAACTGGACCGTATCCTCACCATACTCGCTGATGAGGCCTTCGATGAGGGAGATGCCCTTCTGATTCGCCGAAACCTGGGCGCGGAGGTCGTTGATGTTGTCAGCGAGGGTGCGGGTACCACTGCATCCTGGGTACTTGGCTGGCTCTTGATAAAGAAGCTCAATGCAACGTTCTTCATTGAACTTTCCCTCGCTAACAAGCTTCTCAGACTTGATGGCGGCACCTTCTTGGTACAGTTCGCGGGAGTGAGGGGGCATGCTGCCAGCCGTGATACCTCCGATGTCAGCGTGATGGGCGCGAGAGGCGGCATAAAACAGAATCTTATCACCAGCCTCGTTGAATGCTGGCATCAGAAGAGTGATATCTGGTAAGTGAGTGCCGCCGTATGACGGGTGGTTGGAAATGATGACATCGCCCTTCTTGAGCTTGCCCTCCCAGATCTTGGCCTGGGTGCGAACACAAGTCGACATGGACCCCAAGTGGACAGGCAAATGAGGAGCATTGGCTACGAGACCTCCGGACGCGTCAAAAATGGCACAAGAAAAATCAAGACGCTCCTTGACGTTGGTACTGACGCTTGTCTTCTGGAGCGCTCTGCCCATCTGCTCCGCAATGGCCATAAACCGGTGCCCAAAAATGCTGAGCATGATGGGGTCAACCTCACGCTCTTCCATACTTTCAGAGGACTTGTCCTTCGCAGCCTTGGGAAGGTCGACCACAACGTGCGTCTCGAGAATCAAAGCAGTCGCGTTAGGGGTGACGACAATGGTTTGGGTGCCATCCGCCAACATGGCTGGACCCTTGATAACGTTGCCAACGGAAAGATCAGTAAGTTTGTAGATGGGGGTATCCAGCCGGCCTCCTTCAAAATAAACCTTGGCTTCGGAGTGCTTCTTCTCTGGAGATACATCTGTGCGCTGGACTGTCTTGAGCTGCTCATCGACTGTCTTCTCCCCATACTGGAAGCTCTTGCCAATGCCACGCACACGGACGTCGTCGATAATGATATCCCTCTCATCTAGCGTAAAGCCGAACTCGTAGCGGTGGTGCTCCACAAAAGCCCTGCCGAAGTCCCAGCTGTCATCGCTCGGCTTGATGATCATGAGAGCTGATTCGGTGCCGCGATATCTCATATTGAGGTACTCCTCAAAGACCATCTCGCTGTCGTCAAATCCCTGATCTCTCAAGGCCTCGCGAGATTTTTCCTTCAGACTTCCGACTTTTTGCTTGAGATGGCCAACAACCTCGCTGTCCTGGCTCCACACACTCGAATCTGGCTCTTGACGTTCATCCACCACGTCTGCAAGGGCCATGCCATAGGCAGAGAGAACCGAAGAGTATCTATGAACCAGAATCTGCTTGATACCCAGTGACTCGGCAATAGCAACAGCGTGCTGACCGCCGGCACCTCCAAAGGTAGCCAGACGGTGCTTTGATGTGTCGTGTCCCTTGGCCTCAGTGATGCTTCTGATAGGTCGGGTCATGGCTTCGTTGGCAACTGTCAAGAATCCATAGGCAACCTCATCGATGTCCATCTTCTTTCCCGTTTCCTTCTGAATCTGGTCTGCGATTTCCTGAAGCGCCTTTCTACTCGCCTCCGTGTCCAGGGCCTCGTCCTCATTCTTCCCAAAGATCTTGGGGAAGAACTCGGGCAATAATCTGCCCAAGAACAAGTTGGCATCGGTGACGGCCGCCGGGCCACCCTTTCGGTAGCAAGCAGGACCAGGGTGAGCACCGGCAGAATCGGGACCGACAACAAATAGCCCATTTTTGAAGAACAGCCTTGATCCGCCACCAGCGGCAACTGTGTTGATATCCAACTGTGGAGACTGGATGGTGACACCGGCAGTCGTTGTCTCAAAGGTATGGTCATACCTGCCGTCTCCATACCTCGAGACATCTGTGCTGGTACCACCCATGTCAAACCCAATGACGGGAACTTTGGTCTTCTCGTCGTACGACGTGATGGCGTAACCAACAACACCTCCTGCGGGGCCGGACAAGATAGCTTTCAGGCCTGTGAACTTGTCGACATCCACCAACCCACCATCGCTTTGCATGAACTCACACCTCGCACCCTTCTTTTCGCCATTTTCCTTGACACTCTTCGAGCCCAAGCTACCGCCTTCAAATCCATTCTGAAACCCAGCAATGTACTTTTTAATCGCTGGCGTGAGATACGCATCAGCGCAGACCGAAGTTGCTCTTGAGACCAACTTGATCATCGGCATCAGCTCATGGCTCAGGCTGATGTGCTCAAACCCAATCTCCTTGGCCACTTCGCCCACCAACCTCTCATGGTCTGGGAAAGTATACCCATGCATCAAGCAAACAGCCACACTCTTGATCCCTTTTCTGTAAATCTCCCCCAACTTGCCCTTGATTACCTCCCTATCCGGTCTTTGCAGAATCCTAACCGCCTCTCCACTCAGTCCCATGACAATCTCTTCCTTCTTTGCCTCTTCCGTCCCAGCCTTGGCCTCCACTTTCGTAAGCACCCGCTTCGGATCCTCAGCATAATCCTCCAACGTCACTCTCTCCTCCAACTCGACCACCTCCTCATAAAGCACATCCGGCTTCTTGATTGCCAAGTCAAAGATCTTTGGGCGAGACTGGTTGCCGATCAACAAAATATCCCCAAACCCTTTGGTGGTGACAAAGGCGATCTTCTCTCCATTCCTCTCCAGCAAAGCGTTGGTAGCCACAGTGGTGCCCATACGTATGCTCTCGATGGCTGACGTATCGAGGGGCTGACCACGAGGGATATCTTTCTTGAGAAAGTGGGAGAGGATGCGTCGGATGCCTTCGAGGGGAGCATCCGAGTAATTGGAGGGGTCTTCAGAGAGAAGCTTAATAATGATGGTCTCGCCGTTCAGGGACCCAACGCAGTCAGTGAAAGTGCCGCCGCGGTCAATGGCGATGCGGATTCCGCCTTTCTTTGAGGCTTCAGGTGAGGAAGACATGGTGGGCGGGTTTTGTAGGTGTTGACGTGGCTTGTGTAAGTCAGAGTGGTTGGTGCGAGGGAGACTCGATCTGAGGTGATGATGTGAAAAGGAAAAACAGAGTAGGTATTGGATGGGATGAACGCCCACTGAGCTTATGTAGAAATTGGAGGTTTGAAACAGATGGGATGAGAATATGAGATAGATGGCGTCACGATGGCTGCAGAGCGAGACTGATCAACAGCAAGCAATCCAAGCCATATACTCCGGAGTTTGCAGTAATCTTATTCGCTGCTTTGTATGATACCCGACAGTTAGGAAGCGGAATCAGCGGAGGGGTAGCTCGGGGTGGTTGCCCCACGGGAGCCGACCGATGACCGGATAGCTACTGTAGGGTACCCCACCATGTCCCCACGCCCGCGACTACCCGGGCTGACAAACCCTCTAACGTTGATGTCGCCGACTTGCCTATTCTATTCATCTTTGAAACCGTATTTCTTGTTCTGGATGTAGATACTGCCTGCTAATAACCACTTTCAGCCCTCCCGAGGCTCAACTCTTCACGGTATGCCTTGGTGACTCGTGGATCTTGCATCGGGATGAAGCCGAGCGGGGATATCGCGGGGAGCTAAAGAGGCTTGTGTATGCACCATGCAACGGTCGAGCATCAATTGCCTTAAACAGTAACTTTACATCTCGCCGCAATGATGCTAAGCCAGAATGTGTCTTGATCGAAAGGCCGGCAATTTTGGTCAAGATTTCGCTCCATCATGGACATAAGCTGCGAGCCTCAACTGTCAAGCATTTGTTGCCACGCTCAGGCATCACCGTCCCTCAAACTCTTCTGATTTTCCGCTTTGACAAACCTCAGTCAAGAACCTCTCAAAAAGCACAAATCCCCCGACAGGCAACAGGAGACAATAAATAAGACTATTTCAGTTCTTATGACCTTCTTCCCCCAATGCCATTGAAGAATGACAAAGACCAACCTAGGTCACAATAAAATCAAAGCTGTCCATGATATTTTACCCAGGTTGGTAGCCAACTCTGACCCCACAATAACCGCTTCAACCGCCCGGAGATAGCGTCTAATTACCCGCCAACGTCGCCTTTAGCGCTGCCGACCAAAAACAGCCGCTATAACCGCAACCCCGACGTCATCTCACAACGCTGTCCCACTACCACATCATCATCCGAACCATCTCATCACCAATCTCCCCGCTAGGCATCTTCTCACCTCCAAAATATGGCTCCCCTCACAGACGAAGACTACCACTCCATCCTCACAACCGAACTCCCCTCCCCCTCCGACCCCATCCTCCAAAAATATCTCTCCAGCCGCACCGCCCTCATAAACGAAGAGTATAAACAGCGAAGCGGTATGTGTACCCTACCTCATCCCCACCCTAACCCCACTCCATACCCAAAAAGTAACAGGTAGTAGTAACTGAAAGACAAAACAAGGCAGACTCCTCCTTCCGACAAGCCCTCTCCCCCATCGCCAAGGCAGCATGCCGCATCGTCGACAGGATACGAGATGAAGAGCACCACCATGTCACAACCACTACTCTCACCCCCGACGCCATGACCAAACCCAAATCATGGCAAATCATCCAGCGGCTACCAAAAGGCGGTCTCCTCCGCGCCCAGATGGACGCCCTCGCTTTGGCTAATGTCGACCACCTCATCACCCTGGCACTCGAGACACCAGGGATGTGTCTGTCATCCTCGAATGGAAATCTCGCTACGGCAGAGGCAAGGGGTGATACCACGAGAAGAGTCGAAATCCGGTTCCGAAAGAACGACCAGAAAAGCGAGCAGTCGATATGGAGTTCTGACTACGAGAGCGGAACCTTTGTGCCCCTGACCAATGCGGCGGATGACTACCCCGAAGGAGGCAGGTCAGGCTTCAGCAAATGGCTCAAGGTAAGATGCGGTGTAGTATCGAGGAGTGATGACAGCATTACTACTACGACGCCACAAACCGAAAAAACCGAAAGCTTCTCATCGGCCGAGGGCCGGGCAGATTCACGCCTACTCAGGGGCATGCTCTACTACGAGCCAATATTCCGAAAGTTCCTGCGTCATCTCTTGGTTCAACTAATGGAGGACGGTCTATCGTGGTCAGAACTACGGTAAGGATTTCTCTACACTCTATCTAGGCCACCGTGATGGGCCTCGTAATCCATCTCCCCCTTTTCTAAACCCCACGGGTGGCAACAACACCACTATGGTGATCAACGAGAGTGTGCCACGACTAATACACAACCCCCATGTTAGGCTTACTTTCCCCCTTGATTACTACCGCACAGGCTCAGAGTCGCCAGAACCCGACTCTGACCAGTTGTTCGTCGTCATCGGACAAGAAGCGGCCAGCTATTGCCGCCAAGCCACAACCACTCCCGACGACCCGGGTCAGCGACCGCCCTTCTGGGGACTCCGGATCATCTGGTCAACCACCCGCAACCAGGATCAACGGTCGATCATTGAGGATGCGGATAGTTGCATCGCGGCCAAAATGATCTGGTCTGACCTGGTGGCCGGCTACGACCTCGCCGACACCGACGCTCTCGGAAGATCGCTCACGGACATGCTACCAGAACTCTTCTGGTTCCGAAAGCAGTGCGCACTGGAAGAAGTCGAAATCCCCTTTTTCTTGGACGCGGGGGGTGGCATTGATGGAGCTGGCGAATGCAACCTCTTCGACGCTCTTTTGCTCGGAACACGGAGGCTCGGAAATGCTCCGTCGCTCTACAGACACCCGCGCATGATGGAGGCTGTCAAGGACAAGAGGATCCTGGTAGAGAGTTGTCTGGTACCGGGCAAAGGCGACATTTCGAACCACCCGCTCCTGGCCCTCATCGCTCAGGGTGTTCCGTGTGCCTTGTCACTTGGTGATGCGAAGGAAAATGCGGGAGAAGGTGCCGGCTTGGGAATGACACACCAGTTCTGGACAGCACTGCATGCGTGGGAGTCATTAGGCCTGGCTGGAATCGGGTCTCTGGCGGAGAACAGTGTTCGGTGGGCTGCCTTTGAGGACCAGCCTCCTGAGTCATGGTAAGTTGTGCCCCCATCCGGATAGTAGTATACGGGGATCTGGAGCGAGGATATCACTCCGTTCCCATCTACGTCCTTGTTGAAGAGGCAAGAGATTCTAACCACTTGTTAATTGCCTAAAGGATACGGGATATTCGTGCAGCAAGCGTGGGGTCTGGACTGAAAGCCAAACGCCTAAAGGAATGGGCGGTCGAGTGGGAGCGCTTCTGTCTTTGGATTGTTACTGAGTACGGCGATGATTACGGCGAGGGTGGAGATGGCGACGGCGATGGCGATGTCACTGCTTCGGCTAACTAAGGGACTGCCAGTCAATGTCTTTTATCTCGATGCCTGTTGAGAAGAGGGGTGGTTGGCAAGGTTGCTGGGGCAGTGATTAGCCGCGCTTGTGGTGTGGTTTACGACGAGAAATTTGATGACATCGTAGGCGCTGGTGATGTGTTTCACGAGCGTTTGCTTTTGGTGCTGTAACCGTCACATCGGGCGTGATGTGTCTATATCATGACGTTGGCGATGACGGATGTTTGACTCCTCTAACTTGGCAATCGGGGCAGATTTCATCCCATGTGCCCCTCAGGCAGCTCCTGTAATGGAGAAGGAGCACATCCGGTTGGCTGATTAGTTATTCCTTCTGGAATCGTTTATTTTCCTCTCTTTGATGGAAGGAACGAAATTGAAACAAGCAAACATGCTGCTTGCACTTCGGCTACTGCCGGTCCGGTTGTTTCGTCTGTGCCTTTCCCCAGGTGACTTGTTGCCCCACAGCCTCATCTAATCTTTTGCCTGGAAAAATGGGTTGTGCATTATGCGATCGATGCGATGACGTCGTGTAAGGTTAGATTGAGGTAGATGGTGGAGGGACTTGGATTCACTGTTGGGGCGCGGTGCAGGTGTTGTATTTATTTTCGCATATTGTTTGGTTACAACGGAGGGGTGCTGAATTGGATTAAAAGACTTGTTTGATGTTTGGATATCGCGGAATCGAAATGCTTCTTGACCTGGAAGTGGGTGTAAGGCAAAGAGCCGCGAACAGGTGGGGATCTAGGGGGTAAGGTGAGCTTCCTTCCCGTCGGGACAGTCTACGGTACTTGCTAGTGTAGTTGATGATAGATGGGGTGAGTAGCCAGAGAGGTGCGCTCAGACCCGGAAAAGTGTGCCTAACACTTCACCTACATCGATCATGTAGCCACATTGTTGAATGGGGCGTTAAACTGCTTTGGTCCAGAAAAGAACCGTACACGATGAGGACGTACGTATATCCTGTACATAGAATTCCCAGTGGACAGGGATCACCCAATCATCCCCACTGCTGGGCCAGCCCTATGGGTGTCCAGGGTCCTTCAGTGTCGCCCGGGCCGTGCCATCCTTGTGCGTCCAACTACCGTCGAGCACGGCGCACTCTATTTGGATTCCTGACCTTGGAAAGAGGAGAAGCGGTGGCATGGATAGCTTAATGGATGGGTTACGACGAATGTATGCATGGTGATCCAGATCCGGCGAACTAGAGTTGGCTGTTGGCTGTACGGCTTCCAGGTTGCATGTGAACTTCAGTGTGACAGCACTTGACAATTTGGTTGGTGGCCGCCGCCCACCGCATTTTTCAGCCCGCTGTTGAGGCTCTGTGGGAAAGCCCTGGAACTTGTCCATCTAACCTGAAGTTGTGGCTACCGTCTTCCAACCCTCTCTACACCATGCAATGCTGTTACCTCAGCTTCAGTAGCAAATGTCCGTGCCACCCCGCTGATGGGCTATGCGTGACAAGTGGTTGGCGGCGAATTTTGGTGATCTAGAACAATAGTTACCAGGCGACGACAGGTAAACATAGAAGAGAAGTGATTTATTATGAGACCAGTTTGTACATGGTAGTTTTGAATGATCTGAACAGCGATGAAAAGTAACCTGGTGGCTACTGGAGCTCCGCATCTATGCCAAACATGGGAAGAATCCCCAATGAGAAAATGCCAGGTGAACTTGTCACATCTAAGACAAAGGAAAGAGCCGCAATATTCCTGCATGTCACCAGCATGCCTCCACTGGTAGCCCAATCTTGTGTCCCAGACATCACCATGAAGATTGTGCTACCATGATTCAGCGGGAGGCCTAGGCTGCCGCACCCCAGAACCTCTCCAACCAAGCCCTAAATGACATGGGTTGTACCTGAACATCGTCGTTAAGATTGGGTGAATGGACGTGGTACCTTCCAAGGGCCGTCTGCAGGAGTCGCTGATAGTAGAAGTAGTAGTAGCCCCAATCCCCGTTCTGCCGGAGTTCTTCGACTTGTGCCTCGACCTCACGGTAATGGCGAGCAGTAAGGTTGAATGGAACTAGTGGACAGGTCAGTACCTAAGGTATTCAAGCACGATAAAGAAGGAGGGGCAAATACGAACCCCCACGAACATCGGAGCATGTATGAACCAAGTCAGTAACAGTCATCGTTTCGCCCCTCATGCGGTATTCTCTCGGCCAGTTGCTGATGCCGAGATCGATGGCTGCCGTGACAAATTGGGCCACGTCGTATACCGATGTGAGCGTAACACGGACTGACCGGCCACTTGGGTTGTTGGGGATAATCTCAGCGTTGCAGCCTTGAATATCAACAAGGTAGTCACTTGGCCCCTGAACTCCCGATCCTGCCCCGATGTGATAGGTCTGCAAGCCTCCTGGGGCAAAGCGTTCCATGAAGATGCCACAGGAGAAAATAGTGTATCGTATGTGGAGCTGTTCCAGCATCTCAATGGCGGATTGTCCGCCACGGTCCAGCGGGTCGTCAGTCGGTCGGCGTGACATGTCGCCCTCGAATTCAGAAGGGACGAAACGACGAACCCGAGCACGACGAGCAGCATCAATGAGATTGAGCTGCTCGGCGCCCGAGATGGTCGAAATGATAATATCGGCTCCCAGAACGGCGTACCGAAGATTCTCGATATCTTGATAGTCCACAACGACAAGCTGACAACCAGGGCATTGTTCATCCACCTCGGGCCGGGGCTGCTGATATGTTAGCTGAAAAGATCTGAAACACCACACACGACATTGGACTGACCTGAGTTGAAAGAATGAGAACAGAGTGGGTTTGGCTAATGTACTGGGCGAGAATACGGGCAAAGCCGCCAGCTCCGGCGATGGCCACTCTCATAGTTGCGGGCTGTTGGCTAGATCTGTTCTTCATGGCTAGAGCACAAGGACGTCGTGGATGTAGACTCGATTGTAACCGGGTTGTGTTATGTTGCTTGATATGCAGGTGGGTATGTCGCTGATGCTGCTGGTGATGCAAAGACAGATCTTCTACCGGAAGGGCAGGACAGACTAAGAGTATATAACTTATCTGAAGACATGTAGCTACGAGTTCGGTCACCACTCAGTGACGATACCCAATGACTCAGCCTCAAGTCCAGATATTGATGGTGTAATGGTCGCAGTTGTAAATCTTGACCCCATCACCAGTGGTTGCCAAAACAGAACACCCGAACGGATAGCCATAAAGAGGTACCCAGAGCAAGGCAACCAGGAAACACACTTTGCGCTTCGTGAGTTGAATGCGGCTTAGGTTCTTTGCATAACCCAGAAGCAAGCATGAGGCACCACAACCCCTTTCAGGGGGAGTAAGGAATTGGAGGTAGGCGGATATGGATTTGTAGTCCCGACTATTTGCTTCCGAGCCCCATGTAACCCACCATCTCGACATTACACCGTGAAGCCATAGGTTCGGGACCATGAGAGGGTATACGCAAGGGGGTGAAAATAGCAAGCAGTTGATCACTGAGCAAGCTTACATATACGGATTGACACCACACCTTGTGTGGTATTGGAGGGCGGTGAGAGGCAGGGTGATGTGGGAGGCAACGCCTGACTGGTAAATGAGAAAATACCTGAAATTCGGAAAGCTGGATACTAGCGTCCTGGTTTCTGATTCGATAGCTGGATCATAGTTAGTCGTTCCCAGTGGAACTGGTGCAGGCAGCTTCCAAAGAGATTTGGAAGGGTTGGGGGCCATGGTGCGGAGAACAGAGTGATTTCAAGAAATGATGGTCTTGACTCCCATTGAGACGAGTACAATGAGATAAGCTTCGAAAAAAAATCCTGGACAGCCGAGCAAATCGTTTGTGAACAGCCAGGTCGATGGGAGGTCTTGAAATGGGTCGCCAGGAACCGTACAACGTAGCGAAACGGCAGCAAAGGGGCTTGTTCACGGCTAGGCGAGGCAGTCAGCATATGTTCACACGGCATCGGGCCTGCGGGAGAGGATGAAGGGAAGGAATCGGCTCATCTGAATCGAGGACCAAAATGTGGTGCAAGAACCTGGCATTTGTAGACATCTCTGTAGCGACTGGCCATCCCAATAGGTCCATATGAATGTGTCTACTGGTCCGTTTGAGGCACATGAACCAAGCCTAGGTCGTGGTGTAGAAGAAACCGGACCTAGTAAAATCGATGAGCAAGAGAGGTTCCAAATTGAATCGTGGTTCCTACGAGCATTGCGCTGCCTCCTTGCTCCAGAAAAGATACCTACTGCTTGAGTGGAAAGCGCAATCGAGAAGGGTGTCGGAGCACTTGATGTTGAAAAGTACCAAGAGACAAACCAGCTGGACCAATCAAATGAGCATTTCATGCCAAGCCCAGCTTTAATTGCCCAAAATGGCAGCAACGCGACGCACACTGCAAGGAAGACAGCGAACAACAACCTCCACCACAGCTTCAATCAAGAACCGAAGGCTAGAAGAAGGCCGCTGCAGAATGTATCCTTTTTTAGAACACTGTACAGGTACCTACCCACGGCAAAAGACCTGGAGATTGGCACTCACCAAAGGTTAGGCAGACTTTGGGGGCCAATTTTCGCAGCCAGCACTGTTTCCCTTGTGGATAAAGCCTTGCCTCTGGGCCTTGTTCTTGGGCCTGAGGCACTACCTGGTACCTAGCCCAGCAAAGCTGCGTCTTCTATACGCATGACTAGCATCCAATGCGGTTGACAAATCGTCGTTGCCGGCCAAAAAACATACCTAACGGTCCGGTTTGTAATGTAAGCGGCGGAAATCCATAGCCAGTCAAAATGGACAATCTCAATATGGGATACCTCCCACGATGCGCAGAAGATACGGTCCGTGCTGCTTGGGAACGTGGGGGGGACGGACACCAAAAATATGGGGGTGCCCGGTGATGCTCCACTAAAACTTCACCGAAGTATCGTCATTTCTTCCTCCGGTGTAGTGAACAATATGCTTGGAAAGCTGACTGGATCAGGTTCTCACAAATCTCCAGCCTTCTCGATAGGCCGTTATGTTTAGGCCAATGAAGATAACTAAACTTCCAATGATGCAGGTTACCCAAGTTGGAACTCTTGAACTTTGCGATGGTCTCTTTGTGACCTTCCTGACTGGTCCAGCTGAAAAGCATTGACACCAGGGTAACTCGTTCCTGGCTCAATTCCTCACCTGTTCTTTGGTGTGGAAAGAGTCCTCAGACACAATGGGAAAGCATAGGACCCTAGACTCGCTTGAAATGAAGCTGCCTCGCAAGGAGGCTGTTCATGGTCCTTGATGATTTTACTGCCTGAAATTTGAGCACACGACAAGCACACAATTTCGGGTACTTTGCGGCAATGCAGCAACTTCACATGCGGGAAGAACTCTTGGCTCTTGGGTGTTCCCCAACTTGAAAGGTTTCCAGATCGGAGATCTCTACCTCGCGCCAGGCACAACATGTCTTTGGGAAAGCAACAAAAATAGCAACAATCACGAGGGTCTGCCAAATCAGAAAATTTAGGAAATGCCACCTGCATTCAACATCTCAAAAAAAACAAACTAAACTAGGTAATGTAGAGCCTTGCACTACTAACATCCGGTTCACTCTCCTAGGGTATCATCAACCGGTTCATGCTATTTCCGAATTCCATGCAATGAAAACGCCTGCTTCTCCCCAAATCATGATTTACTGCTTCGCCTCTGCCTGCTTGACAATGTCGTGTTCGGCTCCGCGTTGCTGAGTCTTGCCGGTGTCGTGCTGGTCCTGGTATTCAGCTTGCTTGACCCGGTCACCCGTCAGGCCGGCAATACCGCTGCCGAGGGTTCCAGCAGCACGATCGGCGGCACCGGAAACGTAGTCGTTGATTTGGCCCTTGGCTTCTTGCTCTTGACCTTGAAGGTTCTGCTCGCGGCCGGACTGCTTAAGGCTCTGCAGACACTGATTAGCACCCCTTCATAGTGACGAGCGAGACAACCTTTATTTTAGGAACATACCTCATTGCCGAGCACTCCTCCGACAAACTCCTTAGCAGCACCGGCAGTCTGGTTGTATGAACCGGCATTGCGATCGGGATGGTCCTTGGTCACGGCGCCGGACGAAGAAGCTGTGAAGCCGGGGAGTTTGGCTGTGGCATGCGAGGCATCGTACTCAGCCTGAGCCTTCTCCTTCTTGGCTTGTCCTTCGACCTGATCGCCGTTGCTGCCAATGATGGAACCGACAGCGTTCTGGACGGCTCCGGTAGCGGAGTCGACGTAGGACTTGAGAGTGGAAGTGTTATCGGTAGACATGTTGTTTGATATTTGCGATGGAAATAGTTGAAGTTGAGAGTGTTGTTTGTCTTCAAAGGTATTGATTGCTGTTCAAGGTGTTTGGTTGATGGAGAGAGAAGAGTTGTTGGTGAGAAAAAGCCTGTCTTATATTTTGCAGACGTCAAGAACAAAGCCAGGTCCGAAGCTACTGGTAGCTTCACGTCATTGCCTTTCTCTGAGCAGTTCCTTCCGCCGTCCACGATGTTGTTCTTGGTGTTTCAGGTTGCGAGTGATGTCATAGGGGTCATGGGATGGGCGGTGACATCATAGCGCGCACCCCGCCTGTTCGTTAGCGCGCCCGTAGACCCCTGCGCACCTACCAGCCTCAGCCCTATCAGATCTGTCTCGCGGCTCAGAAGCTCCTGAATCAGAAATGAGACTGTACTAATGCTCTCATCCTCACATGGTTCCAATTGATTGTGCATGCATCTACCGCATTCTCTCAGTTTGCCGTTGTTGCCAGCATATGAAAGTATGTTGTAGGATAGGTACACGATTTTAGCCCAACTTCATGACATCAGTGAAGCACAGTGGGTGTTGAGGAGCTGGCCATCTACAATTTATCTGTCAATTCAGGTATCCACTACTTCGAGCAGTCTGGCTATACAATTACAAAAGTACTTTACCGATAGAAACCCCATGGTGTCTTACCAATCGGCCCATAGATTTAACATGGTTTCCAGCTCTCCACCATAAAGACGAAAAAAAGGCTGAATTTCACCTCACGCGCTGATCAACACGAACAGGCCTCCTGCCGGGAATATAGTTTGATTTCTTCTTGAATCCGTACCCAGAGGAAAGTTGTTCATCTCGAAACCTCACAAATGGCTACCGTTCCCGAGCAGCGCCCCTCAGATCGACCCGACACGGCGGAACTAAGCAAATCACACATCGTAAAGAATATATGCCCAGTCCCTATATCCGGTTCATCCCGGCCTCCCGGTAACCACACTGGCGTGAGAACACGACGCAAAATCACACTCAATCATCAATCTTCCTAAAAGCTGTCTATTCCATATGCCCTGCATCTCCACACTCGCCCCGTAACAGCCACCCAACACCACCCCGATCCCATAATCCTCAGGCTCACTTCTTCCCTGTGAAACCCAGTATACGGGCCCAGCTGAGGGTATGAGTGCAGTTCTCTCCGATGCATACTGTACGATAGCGGCGTGTACACAGTAACTGCACCTAGCCAAATCACTCCCAAGGCTGACCTGCATTTACACAATTCGTAGTAGGATTTTCTGGCAACCATCTGGCTCGGCACACCAGCAACCTACCCTGCATGCCTTCTTTGCCGTCCACGATAACTTTACAATTTTATACGCCAGCTCTATACATACAACGCCTGACCACTACGTGGATTAGCCACAAAGGACGTCCAGTCTGAGCCACACACGTTCCGCCCCCCGTAAAACAACAACACTACCACCACCCAAATGTTTCGCAATGAGCATTCAACATCATCGAGACCATGTCAACGCCACCCCACTCCCAGGCTATCCAGCAATCGCGACCAGTCGTGCTTCTAATTTGAACAAACTACGGGCGTCCGAGAGTGACTACAATCTAGAACCATCTCGACGGGGGCGAGAACACACAAAGAAGATAAGGTCGGATATTAAGCAGCCAACTTCCATCCCATATACGACGATACATGTTCATGTCGTCAAGTCTGTCCTGTGAGAAATCTGGTCATTCGACGCCTTGGGTCAGCGATCAAGTCTCAAAGGACCGAATAGCAGGGGGAGATCGCCCAGTCAAAACACAAGTCGCAGCAAAGGGGAACGCAGCAAAGTCAAGCTCAACTCGGGACCAGTAATAGGGAGTCATTTCATCGTGAGGGTGCTGTTAGCTCCCCATGGTATCATTCTGCGCAGTAGGTAGATACACGTATTATACAGGTGTTGTGGTGGCTGCTGTTGCTTTTACACTCCCAGCCCGCCCAAATGAACAATTTCCAACGCAAGAAAACAGCCGCTCCATGCTTAGTGCTGACTCCACTCAATCGTGTTGAGGTCGACACCCTCCTGGACAAGCTCCCACAGAGGACTCAGCTCGCGAAGGAAGCCCACACGCTCTGTCACCGCCTTCAGGACGTAATCGATCTCTTGCTCCGTGGTGAACCGGCCGATACCGAACCGGATACTGGAGTGCGCACTCTCGTCGCTGTTGCCCAGGGCTCGTAATACGTAGCTGGGCTCCAGCGATGCCGAGGTGCAGGCACTGCCCGAAGACAAGGCAATGTCCTTGAGCGCCATAAGCAGGGATTCACCCTCGACATAGGCGAACGAGACATTGACGCAGCCGGGATAAAAGTGGTTCGGGTCACCGTTCTGGCTCGTGTGTTCCATCGACAGGAGACCGTTGAGTAACCGGTCGGAAAGGAACTTGATTCTCTGCGAATCATACTGTTTTGCCTGTTAGCTCCACCTAAGCAAAATATTCGGTTGTGTCAAAAGAGAAAGAAGGGAAGGTTTCAATCAGAAAAGGCGCTGTCTCTCAACAGTACAGTCTTGTCACGGACTTCAGAAAGCCATGCATGTATGAGCAGATCATCAGGTGAAACCAGGGGATGTGTATGTGTAACGCGAACCATGGAAAAAGTTGAGACATACCTTCATTTCTTCCTTTGCGATGCGGCACGCCTCACCAAACCCAACAACAAGGGCGGGAGCCAGCGTGCCGCTACGAAGACCTCTCTCCTGGCCACCACCGCTGATGATGGGGTCAATTCTCACTCTCGGCCGCCGGCGGACATAGCAAGCTCCAATTCCCTTGGGGCCGTAGATCTTGTGGGAAGAGATGGACATCAGATCAATGTTCATCGCGTTGACATCCAGAGGAATCTTGCCCACTGCTTGAGCAGCATCTGTGTGGAAGAAGACCTTGTTGGCCCGGCAAATCTTGCCAATCTCCTCGATGGGTTGAATGACACCGATCTCGTTGTTTACCGACATGATGCTGACAAGCATTGTGTCGGGGCGGATGGCGGCCTTCAGTTTGTCAAGGTTGATGAGACCGCTGGACTCGACGGGAAGATATGTCACCTCAAACCCTTCGTCTTGGAGATGCCTGCAGCTATCAAGCACACACTTGTGCTCGGTCTGACTGGTAATGATGTGCTTCTTCTTGCCGGACCTGCCGAAAAATCTGGCGACACCCTTGATGCTCATATTGTTGCTTTCCGTGGCTCCGCTGGTGAAAATGATTTCCTTGGGATCGGCCCCGATAAGGCTGGCAATATGTTGTCTCGCATCTTCGACCGCCTTCTCGCTCTCCCATCCGTACGCGTGCGTCCTGGAATGTGGGTTGCCATAAAAGCCTGTGTAGTAGGGCATCATGGCATCAAGCACGCGGGGGTCCAGTGGAGTTGTGGCCTGCATATCCATATAGATGGGCCGTTGGCCTTCATCCATTATGGTCGCCGCCTTCAGGACATCTGCGAGCTCGGAGTTAGCATGCTAGAGCCGAGATATCGAGTCGTAATGGGAAAAGACCTACCAGCCATTGGGCTGACATGCTCGGTCGAGCCATTCTCGGAGGTGATGGTGAGTCCGGATTTCTCCAGCTCCTTCCTGTCGAGACGGATGGCGGTTTCGGTTTGGACCTGGGCGTTATCCCGCTTCGACTCGGTCACATAGCTCCTCTTCTTGCCAGCAGTGCGCTGGACAGGCGCGGATGCTACTCGTGATAGCTGCTGGAGGCCATGACGGGGTGCAGCAGTGAGGGCCGACTTGGATGCCAAGCGAGATGCCTGTCTGATGGCTGATGGTGCAAGAGTTGCCATGGTACGAGAAAAAAAAGTTGTGCGAGATGTAGGGGAAGAAAAGTTTCCTTCTCGGTGGGCGGGACGGAGCTCCGATTTTGCGCATTCTCCATGCCCCATGGATAACCCAAATGCTGGGCGGCAGTCTTTTCGAATGATAATCAAGTGGCCAATCAGCGAAGACCTTTCCCCACGCTTTGTTCGCTCTGTGGCTGTTGCACGGCGCTGCCCCGCATTCTGCCGGTCACGGCGGTGGCGCATGACGAAGCTGAGAACGTTTTCAGGAATGACGAAGGTCGCAGAAGAACCGCATGCCGGGTGGGGCAGGTGTCTCTTAGCTGCGCTGCCGGTTCTGTCTGTCCCTTTGACACCTCTACTGCGTACATAGTGCAGCTACCTATCTCGAACTGAAGGCCTCCAATAAACTATCTGATATCATTTTCTTTTGGGTATCACCACCGGGCCCACTAATACATAATCCTGACCGTAATCCCCGGCGGGCAGTGACAAAACAAATTAGGGCATCCTTGGCTTGGCGAGAGGCTTGAAATCGGGTTTCGGTGCCGTTGCAGCGCCCACTTGGCCCGTCTTTCATTGGATTTCATCTGCCAAGGAGCTGGAGTGACGCCCGCTGAGCCCCCGGGCCATCGTCATCATCCGTCTCCCGAGAGCCATCATCAACCACAACCAACCTTTGTCGACACAGCCGCCAAGCTTACTCTTCCCATTCTCAACTCTCACACCGCCGGCGACGCTCCGTATTGCTTCTAGCAGCACTCTTAGCCCCGATCAGACCTTATCGAACGAGACAACAATTCAGCAGTAACTAAGAATGAGTTTCAGGGGTTTCCAGAAGGGCCTTATTCGAGTAGGTTCTGCCCCGCAGCATCCGTGTTTCCTCGAGGAGAGCTCTTGTGGTGATGAAGGAGGAGGGGGAGTATGATGCTGACTCTTGTGTTTCTGTGTTGCTTTAGGCCCCCCAACAGTTCAAGGCAAAGTTCAATGTCGGCGAGAACACCAAAGACCCCGTCTATATCGATGCCGAACGACGATTCCAAGAACTTGAGGCCGAGACCAAGAACCTCCACGATGAAAGCAAAAAGTACTTCGAGGCCATCAACGGCATGCTCAACCACCAGATCGAGTTTTCCAAAGCAATGACCGAGATCTACAAGCCCATTAGTGGCCGCATGTCGGATCCTGACTCGTTGATTGCGCAAGAGAACTTGGACGGCATCCGGGCGTGCGAGGAGTATGAGGCCGTTGTACGGGACTTGCAGGAGACTCTGGCCCCCGAGCTGGAGATGATTGACACGCGGGTTGTCAGACCGGCGCAGGAACTCATGGATGTGATCAAGGCCATTCGAAAAACAGCAACCAAGCGCGAGCACAAGAAGTTGGACTACGACCGACACCGCACCACCCTCAAGAAGCTCCAGGAAAAGAAGGAAAGGTCGGCCAAGGACGAGAAGGCCATGTGGAAGGCTGAGAATGACGTCGAGCAGTCGACACAGGAATTTAACTACTTCAACGATCTGCTCAAAGACGAGCTCCCCAAGCTCTTTGCGCTCGAGCGCGATTTCATCCAGCCTCTGTTCCAGTCTTTCTACTACATGCAGCTCAACATCTTTTACACTCTCCACGAACGCATGCAGCGTGTCGACATAGGATACTTCGACTTGACACTGGACGTCGAGGAGGCTTTCCTTGCGAAACGCGGCGACGTCCAAGAGCGAGCTGAGGCACTCTCTATTGTCAAGTTCAAGACGACTGGTCAAAGGCGGCCACCCAAGTATGGGCCTCCGCGACCAGCCATCGCGGCAAAGCCAGCAGCAGCGGGCTTGCTCACAGCAGGACCATCAGCTTCAGCCTCGACATCTGCGCCCTCGCCTTCGCCCTTCCCTTATGCGGCGACAAATGGTGAAGCCTCCGCAACCAAAGCGCCTGCAGTATCCTCTCTACGGCCAACATGGCGATCTCAGGAAAATGACGGTGGCGAACAACCACCCCCTCCATATTCTTCTGCTCCCGTCTCTCCTGCCATGATTTCGCCAGCGCAAAAAAGCCCAATGTCGCTGGCCGCCGCAGCCAAGTCGAAGCCCCCACCGCCCAAGCCCAAGCCAAAGAATCTTGCCGGCGCCTCGGTGGCCAAGGTGGAAACGGTAACGGCACTCTACGATTATTCGGCGCAGGCTGAGGGCGATCTCAGTTTCCGGGCGGGCGACGTGATTGAGATTGTATCAAGAACCAATAATGAGAATGAATGGTGGACCGGCAAGGTTCATGGGAAGCAAGGGCAATTTCCTGGTACGTTTCTATGTCCATCCAAGGACCGACTTGAGTGTTCGCAGCTAACCCTATTGTGTCGTTAGGCAACTACGTCCAGCTGAATCCATAGGCATTTCAGAGCAAATTGAAGAAGATAAAGGTTGTTATACCCAGGGAGGAGTAGACTGCATTGATTTTGTAATGAAGATGGAAGACCCTTTGGATGGGCGGAACCTCCGCGTATTGTACTACGCTAGAGCGTCAGCGGGCAGGCGGGATATCTCAGGTGGTGTAGACTGAGTTGATGAATGCATATCCAGGAGCTTTATATGGGTGTCTTGTTATTGTTGTTATATTGCTACATGTCGCAGCGATTAGCTGTTGCTCAATACAAGGTACCATCTTGACTAATAGACTCCAATTGGAAAGGGGTTGGAAAAGTGGAGAACCTCTGCTGTATGTCATGTCATGCCGTCAGTGCATTAGCTTTCAGTCTCCGTCTCAGTCTCATCTGAACATTTGGGATGAGGGATTTCATATTCGCGTAGTCTCATCTCAACACGGCTTTCTGATACGAGTTATATTAGCTGGAGGCGGTTCAACAACCTTAACAAACAGCAACATTGACCAGTCAAGATGGCCTCCGACACCGGCCCCAGAACGAACCAGGCAGGCCTTCCCTCTGCCAACCCGACCTCTTCTTACTGGCTTCGTGAACCGAATACCCTGCTTTTGGGACATCGATCAACACCAGATCTGCCAGAGGAAGCAGACATTGTGATTATCGGGAGTGGTATAACCGGTGCCTTTGCCGCGAGGTCTCTTCTGCAGGATTATTCCTGTAACAAGAAGGTTGTGATGCTCGAGGCGAGGGAGGCCTGTGGTGGTGCCACAGGAAGGGTGTGTGCCTGGACTGACTTATCTGATGAGTTTTACATGATAATTCTAACAGTTCCATCAGAATGGAGGCCACTGCCAGCCTCTCGTCTATGGCACCCACCCAGCCGTTGCTGCTTTTGAGTTGGAAACCTTTTCTTTTCTTGAAAGATTAGTAAGGGATGAAAACATCGACTGTGACTGGTATATCCCTTCTCATATCTCTTACCAATATTTCCCCCCAAACTAACCCCATCACCACAGGATAACCCTCTCCGGCGGCGTCCACGCCTTCATGTCAACCCCCCTCTTCCAAACTGCTGTTGCTCAAATCGACTCCCTCACCAAAACCCACCCCTTTCTCGCCTCCCAGCTAGAAGTAATCCTCCCAACCAACCCATCCAAACTAGCCCGCCTCAGAGCCCCCAACTGCCACGGCGCCATCATCCAAAAAACCGCCGCCTCCCTCTGGCCCTACAAACTAATCGCCCACATCCTCACCTCCCTCCTCCCCAACCCAAACTTCAACCTCCAAACCAACACCCCCGTCCTCTCCCTCTCCCCCTCCCCCACCTCCCCCGGTAAACACCAAATCCTCACCCCCCGCGGCACCCTCACCACCCCAAAAGTCCTCCTAGCAACAAACGGGTACACCTCCCACCTCCTCCCCTCCTTCTCCGACCTCATCGTCCCCGTCCGCGGCCAGATAAGCGCCATCGTCCCCCCATCCCCAGTCCAAACCCTCACCCACTCCTACCTCTTCGCCGCCGACCCCGAGAAGGGCCAACACGCACCGAGAGACGACTATCTCGTTCAGAGACCAGTGTTGACCCCCGACTCAGGAGGCGAGATGATCTACGGTGGAGGTCGTCGGTTGGCACTGCGGCTCGGACTGGGACAATACAACGATGATGAGCTCGAGCTGAAAGTGGCTCACTATCTGAGGTCGAACCTCTCTCCTCCGCTGGACTTGGGTGGAAAAGACGAAGAGTTACCCGCAACATACGAGTGGACGGGCGTGATGGGTTACTCTCGTGACTCTAATGCCTGGGTGGGAGAGGTTCCCTCCCACAGGGGAATATGGGTGTGTGCTGGGTACACCGGGCATGGCATGCCATCTGCTGCTCTCTCTGCCAGAGCTGTGGCGGCCCAGATGCTGGGTTTGCCAGAATCAGGACAAGGACATGCAAGACTTCCCGAGGAATTCAAGATCACGGAAGAGAGGATCAACAGAGCGAGACAAGGAGCCAAATTGGAAGACTGTGGTGGCTGGGAGGGGGCTTATTTCTCGGGTCCGGCTGATGGCGAATGACAAGGTCATCGTGTTACACCCGTCACATAATCACCACTGCTGGCACAACCAAACTACCAATATTAAACTCTGTTGTGCTGTATAACTCTCGGTCAAGCGGAATACCTAGCCAACCTCCCGAGTCACGTACTATCCATGTTTGATTCCTCTGCTGATGTAGCTGGATAAGTCAAACCGAAACGAAAAAGAAAAAGCAAATTGCGCCATCAGGACATAAAGTCCATAACCATTCAATGGATAACATGATTTCCTGAAGCTCCCCCGGTAAAGCTACCTCTGATTCTCCAAAGCAAACGGTAAAATAACTCATTCCTTGTCTATAGAACACCGGGTTCATGCTGAAAAAGAAGGATCGTAGCTATGTCTGTTTGCTGAGCTGAGATGATCGAAGTCAATATAATAAGATGGGGAACGGAAACGAAGGTTGCTAACTGTTGAAAAGAATTGTCCTGAGCGAGCGAGCTTTCGAAATGACAAGAATCGTATTCCGGAGCAAACGGGCATATCCCTCTTTTCGTCATCGTGTGCTTTATATGACCAATGTTTGTGTTTGCTTTTCATTATTCGTGTCCGGAAGTGTTTGTTCCTTTATCTCCGTGGCTCCAGAGGACTCTGCTACCCTCTTCACACTCATTTTGAATTGCTCCTTGAGAGCTGCTTCTTTTGACCTCCTCTTTTCCTCGGCTGCATGTGCTTCCAACGCTCCAGCTGCTGCTTTGGCCTGCCCAGCTACGGTCTTCCAGTCAGCAGTCTGCGCCTGTTGCTGGTATTGACGAACCACACGGTGTGCTTGACGCATTTTGCACTTCATGTGATAGCCAGGCTCATTGGCCTTTCGCCACTCCAGATACGATTCATATGCCTGCTGCTTCACAGGGTCATGGTCTCGTGGTTTCTGGGTGACGGGAAATACCGGTCGTGGTCCCTTGCCATCCTAGGCCAAAGGAGGCGGTGGACCGGCAACAAGAGTTGGACCGTATAGAGTAGGTGCTTGGAAGCTAGTTGCATTCGGCACGGCGGGCATAGGGGCTCTTTGCCCAGGAGGAATCGGGATAGGCTGAGAAAATCTTGGTCTGGGGGCTGGGGGAGGCCGCAATGGAGGAAGCGTGCTAAATACGGGGTTGGGACCTGGCATCTGGCTGGCAATAGGAGCGATTCCGGAAGGCGGGAAGGTTCCAAAGTTGCTGGGCGGAGGAGCGAAGGGTGGTGGGACCAACTGCTGCGTAACTGGATCAACAATGGGAAGAGGTGCCATTGCTATTGGTGCTACTGGTGGTTGGAAGGCCATCTCTGGGATAGGCTGTCCCGGTTCAGCCACCCACACTGGCCCTGTTGGAGGACCACTTGTCTGCCATGGACTACCTTGAAGACAATCGTTTGCCACAAATGGCACTGTCTGGGCCATGAAACCGGGATCTTCCAGTACACCAGGAAAGATATTGTTGAGTAAAGGCCGTGTCCGTCTTTTTGGAGTCCAGGGAGGGGCAGGATAAGCTGCAGGCGCGGGCTTGAAATCGCTCTTCACCCCTGACTTGAGGTCACCTTTGGTGACCGACTTGAATTCGGCAGCTGTGGGATTCAACTTGGTTGAGGTGGTTGAACATGATGTTGAATCTTCTTTGCGCTTCTGAACCGTAGGACCAAAATGCTCGACCGCCTTGGGCCTTGTTGGTTCTTGTGTGCCCTGCTTCATGAAATGGAATGTTGAATAGCCAGAATCGTGTGATTTTTGCGCCCATTTACCCTTCCCAAACAGCAAGGTAGAATCCCTTCCGAAAAAGGTACCTTCGCGCGCGCCCCTTTCCGAGTTGTCGGGCGTCTCCTCGCGCTCTTCGTCTTTGACCTTTGCGGCGATAATTGCAGGATCCACCACCTGAGCATGGCTCTTCGACGTCTCAGCATGATCAGGTGCTGTCGGCGGCTGGGAAGCTTCTCTTGTCTCCGTGGTCAAGTGTAGGCGGCTGAGTAGTGTCTGAAAGCGGTGACCTTCCGCAGGTGTTCGGTGATGTGCCCCTAAAGGCATCTCTTTCTGAAGGCCAGAGGTTTCAGAACTGGTTGAGATTCCAGAGTCATGGCTGCTCCAATGCCCCGATGACCTACGGTTTTGGCGTTGAGCTTCCTTGCTTGCCGCGACGACCTTTGGAGGCTTCCCACTCTGTTGGGACAAGAAGTCATCCAGATCTTTCAGAACGCTCTCTTCGTGAAGCTCGGACTTCATACGGCGTAAGCGGGCCTTGGGCTTGAGGAGCTTGAGAGTGGCCAGGATCTCGCCGTGTTCCCTGTTCATAAAGCAAGCAGCGTCTGGCTCTTGGATGTCAACAGGGGTAACATCCAAAGAGTACTTGTTGGGCAGTTTGATGATGTCGCCGTTGATGCTCACGTTCATTGGCTTGATGGCCTTAAGCCGCACCATCGTGGTGTTTTGGAGGTTCGGTTGGCACGCCTTGAGGATTGAGGACGGTATGCCTGACGACTCGCTGGTTCTCGTTTCCTCCCGCCTGAAATCGCACCCAGGAGCCGATGAAATGACCTCCCAAGCAATGCCGCTTGTAGGGTCCCTAGCATACTGGTACTGAGCCCTTGATCCAGTATTCATAGGCTTCATCCCCAGCACAAAGGGCGAGTAAAAGCCATCATTCTGGTCGGATGGATGTCTGCTATTCTCGTCTGAAATCTGCTGACGATTATCGCCGAGGCCAGAATCCGGCGCCATCTTTCTCCAGTCGGCTGAAGCCATCGCCTGGGCCTTCTCATCTGAAGGAATAAGATCGAGCGAACTTGTCTTGAGCCGAAGACCAGGAGATCTCAGCCGACTTGGCCTAGTGGTGGCCTGGGAGCCATGAGGCTGGATTTTGCTTGAGTGGCGTGGAAGAAGCATGTTGATGTTGGGAAGTCCGATCGGAGGACCAAGATTAAAATCGAGAGGAATGAGTGACGGCAGTAGACTGTTTCAATCCTTGGTTAGCTGACGTTGTTGCAGATATCCCCAGATGGACTCAATCCTCGGATCATCTCTCAATATCCTCGCCAAAAGAGGATCAACCCCCAGTGAATCATCAACTGAAAGGCCTGATTCATTGGAGAATGGGGAGCACCAAGTATGAGAAGACTTACAGAGTATGGTCAACCAGAAGATGGCCAGCCAGTTGAACGTTTCAGAAGCCTCACACCAAGTTGTACTGAGGCGAGATCGTTGAAGTTGTTCCAAGCTAGATGGTTGACGAACTTGCCAGGAAGCTTGCTAGTTGAGGAGAGACAAAGAAATTGTTCCTGCTTGTGGTCAGGTTGAAAAGACAGTTGCCTAGGAAGGGAGACGAGGGGTTTTCCCAGCCGCCAGGAAATTGGTCCTGTGTTGACAGCAAGATGTGACCAAAATGGCGAGAGCTATCCTGCCCTTGGCCCCGGAAACCAAGCTGATGATGTCGTCGATTGTAAAATTGAGCCAATAATAGCAGTTTGAAGAGTGGTCTTGGCTTTGAAATGCCTCCCTCCAGTGCAAAGCTCCTCAGTCTTCTCTTAAGACAACTCGCAGCCAATTTTACGCAGCCCAGGCACCCAGGTATCAGACGGGAATATTACGTGCCGAGAGACCAGTCCAAAACACAATAGAGACGGCAAAGAAGATGGGGAGGTAAGGTATCGAGCCTCTTTATATTGGCAATTGTAGTGCTCGGTCGTCCAAGATGATTCATGCAGTTGTGATTTGATTTCGATCGCTCGCTCGCTCCCAAAAAAACGCTCAGGTGGTGTTCACAAGGTGGAACAAGGCAAGGCCAGATTGATGAAGGATGCCGGTAAAGACAATATGTCACAATGTACCCAAAAAAGAAGAGAGGAGGCCGGGAGTGGGCAAGTTGGCTATGTAGGGCTGGAAATCCCAACTTCGCTCTGTGATGAATTGGTGGAAGAGAGGAGAGGAGAGAAGGTTTGGGAACACCAGAGCATCACTTTGCTGAGTCTGTCACATACCAGAGAAGGAGCTTCTCTGCGCTTGCCTACCCAGGAGGCGGGTCTCGGGGGGTATTTGACGCCGGTACAGCTGATCTTGGAAATGACCTTCCTGTTCATGCTCCCCAGTGACTTGGGAGCCACTTCCATTTCCAGTTCAAAGGAAATGCCCACGGCCCGGTGAGTAACTGCAAGCGCATGCCGGCTTCAACGACCATTTGAGACCCCATCGATGCAAGCTTGAGATCTAATGTCATTGGCATGCGAGTAATGCGTGTGTGTCAGTTAATTATGTATATACCAAGTCATTCATATCTCTTTTGTGGACATTGTCCTTTAATCACTGTTTTCAAATTTGTTCAAGATAAAAGACCAAGCTATCAAGGAGAAGTGTTGAATATAGAAATGGCTATCGAAGTAGTTTGTGCTTAGAAAAGTTACCAGGCAGAGAGGCCTCTTTTCCACAAACTTTGCAAAAGGTGTGGTGGTGAAGCGGAAGTTATTCCAATTTCAAGCGGAATCATATGTGTAAGTTCCCCTTGTGACACACAGTAACAAAGACTGTCATTTGAAGCTCACTGGGAAGATGGGCCACGAACAGTACTTCACAAGAGAAATGAATGTGTACCTAGGAAATCAAGCTTCGAATCGCTTCTGAGTCCTTGTGAACAGCATCGTGGCAAGAAAGCCCTATATAATCTGGTCATCCGGTGTCTCATGTATTTCCATGTCAAGATTTAGAAAAGAGTTGAAGCCGAAGTAAATAAATACTTACCGAACATGGTCCCGCTACAGCAAAGGGGGTGGATACCCCCGCACTAAACCTCCGCTCTGTCCCGCCGTCACCCGCTGCGGAACCGGCAATGTGGGGATGACATCAGTTGCCGTTGCCGGGCCCTTGTCCACATTGTCTGAATCACTGTTGATCTTTCTCTTTTCCTCTCAAAGGTGAGCTCACATGAAGGTAACCTCCATTCTCAGGCCTTGTCTCAGACCTCGATTAGGCAACTCCCGTTGTTGTAAGTGCTACCTGCTGTCTCTCATCACAAGATGAGAATGACTCGAGCTTCATATGTTTATACAAGTACTGACTCTTAGGTAAACAAGATATCCCCTATCCCCAATATCAAACTCGCAAAATGCGTCTCCCCTACATCGCCGACCCACCCCCAACGGCCACCCCAGAGGAGGCTGAGATCGTCCAGCGCATCCAGACCCGCCGCCACCCCCGTCCCCTTCAACCCTTGGATCTCACCCTCCTTCATTCACCCCCGGTTGCTGACGGCTGGAACTCCTTCCTCGGCGCGGTCCGCACCAAGACCACCATCCCTCAGGACCTTCGTGAGATTGCCATCTCCCGCGTTGCCGTTGTCAACCGGGCCTGGTATGAGTGGGCTCACCATGCTCCCCTCGCCGAGCAGGGTGGTGTGAGCAAGGAGGGCATGAACGCCATCAAGACTGAGCAGCCTCTCGTTTTGGGTGAGACCCAGAAGCATGCCGAGCTTACGGACAAGCAGTGGGCTGTTACTTGCTATACGGATGAGATGACAAGAAACGTTCAGGTGAGGGATGAGACGTTTGCCAAGATGAGGGAGATCTTCAGCGACAAGGAGATGGTTGAGATCACTGCTACTGTAAGCTTTGTTTTTTACCTGAGAAACAACAATGCAACAAAACAGCTAACAACATAACAGGTTGCGTGCTACAACTGTGTCAGTCGGTTCTTGGTTGCTCTTGATGGTAGGTTTTCGCTCCATTTTCCAGCTGGGTGGCGGTTATGCTGACAAAAACAAAACAGTTGGCGAAAGAAACGGAACAGGTCCCGATGCTGCTCACTAGAAGGACGATGCAGTTGTGTATAAGTGTGATTGTACAATTACATCTCAAGAGACCTGTATACATCTAAAGCCACCAATGGAATGGTGATTATACAAGTACTGAAGAGTTCAAAGTGAAGACAGATCAACCAGAATGTCGAACCTATATGATGCCCGCATGACATATAACGGAACATGTGCTTTGTTGCTCGAACAACCGGAAAAAGGGACTAAAAAGGGTATCTCGTCAAAGTACACCAGACAAACAACTGCCAAACCAATCCTGCCAGCACCCATCAACATCGCTATAGATCTATTCCACCATTCTTCCATTTTTGAATGAAGCTGGCTGACGCGAACGCCGAATGCTGGAATGTCATAAAGGTCGTAATGATCATAATCGTCAAGATGTCGTATGTATTCATAACAGTTCGTCAACAAACCGCTCGAGACATGGCAAGCTCGATGCTGGCGTGCCTCTCTCTCAATACCGGGCTTCTCTGAAGCTCTTGCATTACACCTGCCCACCCCGTTCGATGCGGCACCTCTATTGCTTCTGGATGGCCCATCGAATGTACCGTTAGCCTCCTCAAAGGTGGCTTGGACTTGATGGGCGAATCTGTAAACGCGCGTAGCGGTGGTGGTAAGGGTGGTGGCTCAGGTGTCAAAGGTGGGCTTGCCGGCGGCAGTGGCCTCTGTGACGACTCTCGTCTGGTGCTCGCATTGATAGCCATTCCATTCGTCCTGCTCGCCATTGCCGCCATGTCACTTGCCATACTGGAGATAATCCCCATGTGCACGACCAGAAACCGCATCCTCAACAGATCCATCCGGCGCACTTTATCCTCCAACTCTTGTCGGTGACTAGCCCATAGTAATCTCGCGCCGGTCCGTAGTTGGGCTGCCCTCTTCTCGCCCTCCCTTTCTTCCATCAACGCATTAAGCGCCTCTCTCAGCACGTCCCCTGCTTTCTGAATGTCGCGCAACAACTTCCCCAGCCGCAGCTTATCGTCAAACCGCTTCACCTTGGCGATATCATGGTCGTAGGACTCGTTCTCGGCGATAGAGCTATCGATGGCATCCAGAAAAGCAGACACCTCGCTGGGCGCATCAATGTAGGCTCTTGCATAGCAGGTTGCAAACTGCGATAGGATGGCCAGCGAGAGGACGAGGGTAGTAAGGGCCAGCATGAGGATCCACTGTTGGGCATAGCTGTCCCCGCCGAGGCCCGCTGATGTGTTGGCAACCGCTGTCATTTTGCCAGTAGTGGTGCGTGTGCCTGGATTACTGCGCTGCTTCCTTAATTTCTCAGGGCATGGTAGGTGAACGACATGACATTGTTGGCGTCTTTCGAACCATCAGAAGCCAGGAAGAAAGATGGCTGGGCTTTTTTCACTCGTTGGTGTGTGATTGCAAAGACAGTGGCTGCTGGAACGTCACTTGATTGTCCCCCGCTCACCACCACCGAACGACCCGAACCCTGGACCAGGCACATGTTTCCTGCTTTCTGGCTGTGAGAGGTGGTGACCTCACCGCCCGCACCGACAGGGGTGCGAGCCGCCGAGCGTCATCACATTCTGCCGCTTGAGAACCCCGCGATGCTGTTGGCGGTTCCTCGGTTGATGCTTCATATTCGCAGTCCTCGCTGATGATGATAGATGTCCTCTGATCTTTGAAAGGATGGGAGTTCGAAGTGTGGTGGATCAGGTCGTGCTGAAGTTTATCAAGAGAGTGCTTCACATCGGAAGGGCTTGCCGACTCGAGAGGACAAACAATCGTAGGTCTTGGATGCCTTCCGAAGCCACTAAGCGTATGTGGGACAAGGTCTGGAGAAGTTTGGTAAAGACAAAAGAAGAAGAGAGAGATAAACGGTCTTTTAAACGTTACAGACACCAAGTCTTCCCCTTGCATCGGGCATAGCCCATTCCACAGCATTACATAGCTCCGCGTGGGCGGGCAGATCAAGTGGGTAACATTTCTGCCCCTCCATGATCCATCCCACTTTCTTCAACTGCCCCTCTTCAACGTCCGAGGAAACAAATGCGACCGCCAAAATATTGAACAGGATATCTGTCCCAACAAACTCACACTCGCCGACGACAAGAACCTCGAGATTTCCGCCAGACAAAAGAAAGCAGATTCGCCCACCATGACAGAACCAGCAACCGAATTCCCACCACCAAAAATCCTCACCCTCTCCCCTGCCCACAAGCCCATCCTCATCACTCAAGGTGCCGAAGGCCGTCTCTACAAAACGCCCTCCCCCTTCCAACCAGACCAGTTCTGCGCCCTCAAGTACCGCCCGCCAAAACCCTACCGCCACCCCATTCTCGACGCCCGCCTCACCAAAGCCCGCATCTCCTCCGAAGCCAAAGTCCTCGACCGCTGCTACCGTGAGGGCGTCCCAGTACCAGCTGTTCTCGCCAAAGATGCCGCTGCCGGCTGGATGATGATTGAGTGGATCGAGGGAGAGCCGGTCAGAGTAGGAATCAACAAATGGCTAGGGGAGCGGCCAGAGGACGATGCCGTTGTGGATCACAGCCAGGAAGACGAGACGCCCCTGATTGATCTTATGAAGAGGATTGGAGTCGCCGTCGGGGCGCTTCACAGGACGGGCGTGGTACACGGAGATCTGACGACGAGCAACATGATGCTGAGACCATGGGCAGACGACAGACTACCAAACGGGCACGGGGACAAGGCTGAGAAGGCAAAGGCTGTAGCGGGCGATGTGGTGGTGATTGACTTTGGGCTCGCAATGCAGAGTCAGTCGGACGAGGACCGGGCGGTAGATCTCTACGTGTTGGAGAGAGCGTTCGCGAGTACACATCCCAGGGCGGAGAGGTTATTTCACCACATCTTGGACTCGTATAGGGGAGCCTTCAAGAAGGCGCCGGGGGTGCTTCACAAGCTCGAAGATGTCAGGATGCGCGGGAGGAAGAGGAGTATGCTTGGATAATACAAGGACCACAACGAAAAAACAGAAACAAAAACAGCGTTGCTCGCTACATGCATCTTGGTCGTAACATACATACACTCCGCTTGATATCATGTCTGATCCAGTACCCAAAAAAGAGCAGATAACCACCCATATGTAAATCCCAGAATATTTCTAGATTACTTCCGGTCTCAACCTTCTGTCAGCTCAGCACCGGCAAAGTACCCCTTATTCTCAATCACCCCCCGGTCCCGCACCACGGCTGTGTATTTGGCAACCCATTGCGGTGCTAAATCTCCCTTCAGTCCACCGGCTCCCGTCTCTGGATCAGCGAGTATACCAGCTCCACCGAGCCCCTGGCCGAGCAGCTCCCTCAGTGTTCCCTCGGGAAGAATGTCGATGCAGTCGCTATGCGCCAGCAGCTCGATACCTTCCTCCTTGGCCAACTTCGTGAGTGGTGGTGGTACATTGCAGCAGTTCTTGATATTAATCTGGTTGACCGACGGCCGGACTTGTACCCTCTGGAGGAAGCGAGCGAGCTTCTCGCTGCCAAACTCGGCCAGGCCGATGCTCTTGGCCAGTCCAGCTCTGTGCAAGTCCTCAATCGCCGCCCAAGTTGCGAGCTCCTGCTCGTCGTTGCCCTGAACCGCGTTGTGTCTGTCGGCTTCCCATTCGCAGTCGCCCTCAAAGGACATGCCGGGGAAGGATACAATCAGCAGGTCGATAGCTGGCGCATCCAGCTCCTTCAGCACCAAGTCCAGCGCCTCCTTTGCAAACTGCGCCCGCCTTTCGACAGAGGCAGACGGCAAGAAAAAGAGCTTGACCGTGATGCTGTATTGCGACGGCTCTTCCTGCAGGCCCGCCTCTGACCAATCGATGCGGGGTACATACAGGGCGCCATCCTCTTCGGCAGTCCAGACCGATACTGGAGGGCGTCCGCCCGTCTCTGTGTTTACGTGCAGCGCATTGCCATTGCTCTTCGCTGCGCCATTTTCGACTCCGCCGTTAGCATGTAGCTTCCCGTCCTGGGCTTCGTCGTCGGCGGCGGCGGTAGCGTAATCCTCCTGTGCGGCCAGGAAGTTGCTTCGGAGCGAATTGGTGAGTTCAAGGTTGGATCGATATGCGCCCGGCTTGCGGATGATGGAGGGGCCGCCCGAGACGATGTTCCTAGATAGATGCCAAATCACGCAATCAGCAGCCACTCTCATGCGACACAGTCACAGCGCCAGCGCGGCAAGGGAAGGGAAGGGGGAGGGATGGGACGGGGAGAAATGAGGAGGTCGAGTGTTACCCGGTAGAGAGTATCAGCTTTGCCATGGTTCGCTTTCCCCCAAGTCGTTTCTTTCTTCCGGGCAGGAATAACCAAATTGATTGTCCGGTGTCCACCAGGAGCAAGTAGAGCAGTTTTAGAAATCGCATAGAGAGAAGAGCAAAGGTTGGAGATTTCGAGGATGGCACAGCGCGAGCGCAGCAGGCGTTCTCTCTTGGTGGGGTTCCAATGAATTATTAATGATTCATGTCAGAACAACAGGAGCCCCGCCAGCTTGCTTCGTCAATATGTGTGTTGGTGATGTGAGAATGTACGCTGGGGAGTAATAAACGGTTGAATATTCATGAGGCGTGATTATATAGGAAAGTATACCCTGAAGGACTGGGAGAGGTCTAGTATATGTACCTCTCTCGTAGAGCCGGATTGATGTACCCAAAGCGGAAATCGAACCAGCTTCAACAGGGAGTAGTAATGATGGGAGCAGACTGTTCAATATTGACCTTGTGATTTGAGAGCGTGGGATGAAAGCCCGTCCCACCTCATCAACGGACTCTGTCGCGGAGCGTGGGGAGGGACCTAGAACCTCCCACATGCCATACCCAGGCCGTCCCTTCAGGAACTCTACCCACGCTTTCAAATCCCAGACAAGGAGCGATGAATAAGGAAGTTGTTTCCACTGAGACTCTGCTGCTCCTAGGTTGTCTGACCCGCTGTAAGCCGAAGCTGCACAGTGCACCCGAGGAGCACTGGCTGGGTGAAGAGATATCTTATTCAGTGAGCCGAGACTTGGAGTTCTAATGAGTTGTTGAAAGGGTTTCACAGACCATGAAGGCGAAGGACGGTGACGACGGAACAACAACACCTTGACGGAAAGTCGGGTATACTACCCCACCACGCCCACCATCGATCCCACTTGTGAGGCGTTCGAGATGTCCAGTGGGCGATCTGCCCAAGCTCCTCTGCCCAGGGATTGCCCCGCCAAATTGGGGTCCAAGCGCTGCAAGTTTGTTCCTCAGGCACTCATCATCGGCGATTGGGAAGGCGCCAAATTTCCCCAGGCCGAGCGTCCAGTCGTGGCCGACCTTCCAGATGGTTGGAGCAAGGAGACTTTGTTCATGGAAGCATGCCAACCGACTTTCCCCAAGACCATCCTGACAACACCCACTCCTCCCTCAGACCTACACAACTTCCTGCCAGTCGGTGAAGCCTGAATAGCTTCATCATGGCCATCAAGTAGGCAGTTTATCCTGCAGTGCTGCCATCCAGGCTCTTTGCGCTAATTACCGTGTTTGCAGCTATCTCATCCTCCTTTCGCGCCAGGGCAAAGTGGTCAGTTCTCATTGTCTCCAACATCACGGTCGCTTCAACGAACATCTATCCTAACCTCAGCTGTAGCGCCTGGCCAAGTGGTTCACCACCTTGTCCCCAAAGGACAAAGCCAAGATTGTCAAGGACGTTTCACAGCTTGTTCTTGCCAGACGAACCCGGATGTGCAACTTTCTGGAGTACAAGGGTGTGTCATGCCTACTTTGGAGAATGCCAGTGGTGATATCTTTTTCGGCAGCATACTGACCGCATGATCAACAGATACCAAAATTGTCTATCGCCGATATGCCTCCCTCTTCTTCATCGCCGGCTGCTCCTCCGAAGACAACGAGCTGATCACGCTCGAAATCATCCACCGATATGTTGAGCAGATGGACAAGTACTACGGCAATGTGTGCGAGCTAGATATTATCTTCTCTTTCACCAAAGCCTATTACATCCTTGACGAGCTATTGCTGGCGGGAGAACTGCAGGAAAGCAGCAAGAAGAATGTGTTGCGATGCATCTCCCAGCAGGATGCCCTTGAGGACATGGAGGTTGGTTTCTTTCCCCCACCACTCGTTGACTGCTTGGCAGAGATGCCTCCCCTTTCTTTTCCTCATCACGGCATTCCACGCGAGTCCCTTATTGCGGCCAAGTCTGGTGATCTTACTGACACGTCAACCCTATCCCCTCAGGTCGAGGATGAGGTCACCAAGATCATGTAGAGGATCGGCATCATCACTTGCACCTCTTTCTCTCCACGGATTCACCCACCCTTCCCACTTTGGGCAGCAGGTCCCTCCCTCAAACTGTGCACCGGCGACACAAAGATCATACATGACTTGACTGAGTGCGCTGGCTTACACATGCGACACAGACTTCGGAAGAGCTCGAGAAGGCTCTCAAAGAGGCAGGAATCCTGTGAAACAGGCGGCGGACGCGGCATGATACCCCCTAGATGACGACGAAGGAAAGACGAACAAACCAACAAACCGAAGGCGACGAAGACGGTTACCACAATAAATACAGCACGGACACGGAAATGATGATGGCTATAGGCAGGAACAGACCGGCTGCAAAGAAGCAGACCATGGCAGGCCGTGGCAGGCGGCAACAGCGGGAAGGCATTGGGCTAGGCTACATTTACCCATGAGGAGGGAGCAAACTCCATCCTTAGATATTAGATATGGGCATTGTGTAGATAACTTGGCTGTCTGTCGGTGCTGGTCCGCAAAGAAGGACTGCATGCAACGCACAGGTCATCCTCGGGAATGCATTCTGAGGAGACCAGCAAGCACCCGGCACACGTCAGTTCGACTTACTAATAACTACAACATTGGAACGCTACCAAGGCGCTCCACCAACCCTACTTGAATCTGTCATCCGCATTGCGACCATGTGTTTGAAGGGTTTGTTGGGAGATGCTGAGATGTGATTTCGAGTCCTATACCTGATGCTATTCACAGATTCAGCCCGTGGTTACAAGAGAGTTTCCCATTCGTTCATGGTTGACAGCATGATGACGGGAGTGCCGGGTTCGGAAAAGGGGGAAGGGGTGGTGGAGGACCTGGGACTGCCGATCATTTACCCCCGTGCCCGCCCGAAACCGGGATTACGCTACCTGGGCCAGGTCAGGCCAAGCCAACGTGGGCAGAGCCAGCGGCCAGATGATGCAGCACCTCGAACACCGGCCCAGCCCGCCAGCTGAAAGACACTCGACTAAAACAGCAACCAGCTTCTTTTCCTGCATTCCACTTCCCCTCTTTCTGGGTTTCAACTGTGCAAAAGGCGTTTCTCAAACGTGCCTTTGATCACGAATCAGCCAGCATCTGGCGCCGAGCCATATCGCATCATCGTATCGCATCGTCCCCGGCAACTCACTAACACCACACCACCCCCGCCGAAACTTGGCTCTTTGTTCTTTATCAGTGACCACACACAACACAGGCAGTCTTCTGCGACATTCCCAGGATTGCGCACCACTTCCTCCGAAGCCATCTCTCAGTTTCTCGGCCTTTTCATCAGTTTTTCGAATCATCACGTCAACAACAGGACAGCTGCTCAGCATCCCAGATCCGTCAACATTACCCACAATTCACACCACTCCGCCTGGTTGGTCACGCGCTGCGTCCATCCGGCAACCTTCCGCATCTCCATCTTACGACACGTTCCCGTCTTGATGCCCCCGCAAGATAGGGCTACCTTTTCCAGAGCACATCTCCCCAAGATATCACACTTTGCAAAGTCTGCTTCCCACCGCTATCAGCTTCCAAAATGAAGGTATGCGTGCTGTGGACACTTGACATCATAGTTGCCGTCTATGCCAGGGCAGCGAGCTGACAAGCCGCGACAGTACCTATCTCTCCCAGCGTTCGACAAAGTGACGAGCGCCCTCAACTTTGATACACCCGATTGTCACATACAAGGCAGCTGTGATCTTTACACGACCAAGGCCGCCGGTTCGGACAAGAAGCTCTACAAGAATATCTCCCAATCCCTCGAGTCACAACATGCCGCCCTTCTCAAGTTCGACGCAAGCCTTTCCCCACCTCGGCGCAGTTCAATGGCAGCGAGTCTTAACCTGGAGCGCTCCTCGCCCTTTGGCTCCCTAAACGAGGTGTCGAACCGGCGCACCTTCGCCTACCTTATCGCGACCCTCAACGCATCGCACACTGATTATGACTTCTCCAAGGTTCTCCGCCCGGGCGATTTCAAGCGCGAGAATGTCCTCCGCTCCGTCATGACCCACATTGACAACACACTCCGCAGCGTGCGACCAAACACCAACTTCCTCGACCCAATGGCCGCTTACGACTCCCTGTCCTCCAAGGTGTCCGAGTTTGACACGGGCGTCTCACCATCCCCACCTTGGGGCCCTGAGATGTGGTCGTTGATCGACCAGGAGATGGATCTGAAGGAGTGCAGCATCTTCTCATACCAACCCGCCAATGACCCCTTTGAGGACGATGAGGGTGCCATCTGGGCCTTCCACTACTTCTTCTTCAACAAGGCCTTGAAGAGAGTCTGCTACATCCACGTTAGAGGCGTGCCTGTCATGAGCCAGAGCCCCAGTGTCAGACCGCATGCCCTCCTGTCGCGGGGAAGCACCCAGTCGTGGGCCCACAATCAGGATGATGACACTGTCGGCGCGAACAAGCGAGCCATCTTCTGGCTAGGCGATAGAGTCGCCGAGCGGATCGAAATCAGTGACGATGACATGGATGACGGTTTAATATGGAACCGCGATGCCGACGGCGACGTCTCATACCACTACGACGACGACGACGACTACGATTACGATGACGACCTCGACCTGGCTGCCGACGACAGCCACTTCGGGCGGGGTGTGAGCGAGGACATCGCTTCAAGGATGGAGATTGACGTCTAAAGAGTTTGGCGTTTTCCAAGCTTTTTTTTACGTAACCGCCCCATCGCCGCCGACGGTTGTATTTTGTCATTATTTACGCAATCCTGTGCTTTTCGGGATTATTTTTTTCAGCATCGTCAAAGGGGGGCACTACGACCTCGGCTGTAATTTCCATTCAACATTGTCGGGTGCGCATGATACCCGAACGAGGTGTACTAACCGAGATGCCTCTACGCGTCATGACCTCTTGTACTTTCCTTCTTCGTGTTCTTTTTCGTTTCTTGTTTTATTTTATGGGCTTTAATTCGGCGTGCTTGTTGGGTTTTGTATCGCAGGTTCGATGGATGGCAGGTGGACAATACACACACACAACATGCATTTGGGCCGGGTAGGAGGTGTTCTGTTACGCATAAGGGTGGATAAGGTATCCAAGGGGCGCTTTTGGTTCTCAGGTCAGTGAGAGAGGCGCTGTGAATCGGAGTTCTTGGGTGGGCGGGCATGTTTGGTTTGCGAGGGGACTTGAGTATATGTTCTTCTAGCGTGTACAGTCAGTCATATTTGATGACAAGAATTCAATTTCAAGTATCATGACTTGGCCTCTGTTTTGCTATTGACCGTTTTTGAACCGGTCAACGCTCCCATCGTTTGTTAGTGTCGGACGCGCCGATACAATACGTGGACGGTTCTCCACAGTGCGGGGATCTCCACAGTGTAGATAGAGGTCAGCCAATTGGCGCTCGCTATGACGACACTCCTTCGGCGCCGTTCCCCTAACAATATGCACAGTGTGTACCTAACCTAGCATCCCTCACTTGTGAGGGTCTCGTCAAGTGCTCTTGCCATTTATCTCCGTTTTGAGGGGAAGCGCAACTTGCCATTTCTTCAATTTGGACCCGCCCTGTCAACATCGACAGGTGCTGACTTGTCATCAGGCCAGGCCCGGCGGGTAAAGCGATCCCAAGTACCTCTGACGGTATCTAACTTATCTTACCTAACCTGCCATTTTGTCTCCCTCTGGCTTTCTAGACTGGGGATTTGTTATATATCATCTTTCAACTTATACCGCCGCGCACCGGCTTTTGGGTCCTCAAGAAAACCAAAATAGAAAGAGAGAAAATAATGGCAGCACCACCCCCCTCCCTCCTGCCACCTCCCATCATCTCACCACCGGCGGCGGCACCGTCCATCATTCCGGCCCAGCTTGGGTTTCTGGCGATTTACAACCCGAGCTTGTCTTCGCGGTCTGGCGGCGGCGGCGATGATGAGAACAGTGTCAATGACCAGATTGTGTATTATGCCTCGCTGAACGAGCAGCATGCCTCGTCGCAGGGTGGGAGTTTGAAAAAGGGGAGGAGACGGCATCGGTCTTCGACTGGTGGGATGGAGCAGCAGGTGTCAAGGGAGATAAGGAATGAGAGGTTGAGGCAGGTTGGGCTGGCGCAGGGGATGGTGGAGTTTAGTAGGGGTTTTGCGGGGGAAAAGGCGGTGGAGGGGATTGAGACGGAGAGGAGGAGGGTGGTGGTGTATGAGTTGGAGCCGGGGTGGTGGATTTTGGCTGTGAGTTTTTTACTATTTTTTTTTGCCGAGCATGGGGAGGTGAAATGTGTTACTGACAAGATGAGCGGGATAGTCGATTGATCTTACGCAGCTGCCTTCTGCTAGTACTGGGGAGGCAGGGGCGGAAAGGAAGATGGAGTATAGCTCCAGGGAAGTGAAGCCTACGTCGCTGTTGTTGCAGAATTTACTGAGGGCACATTCGGTGTTTTTGCTGCATCATGCTAGCTCGCTTTCGGCCTTGTTTGTCAAGACGCAGAGGCAAAAGTTTGTGGCGGTGTTGGGGCGGTACTGGGATCTGTTTCTCAGTACCTGGAATGTGATGCTCCACGGAAATCCGGCGTGCGCGGTGTTTGGGGGTATCAAGATTGCTGCCTGTGGAGAGCTGGGGATCGGAGTTGGGGAGGAAGAAAGGGGCAGCGGGGAGAGGGAAGTATTGGAAGGGTTGGTCGAAAGAACAGAAGGGCTGGTTGACTTGGTCGTCGGAAGATATGGAAAGGCTCCTTCTGAAGATGAGCAAGATAATGAGGAAGATGAAAAGTGGCTTGGGAACGGAATTGAACCTGGAGCGGAAGATGGAGCGGTTTTTCTCGGGACTGGAGCGCTGTCCAGGAATTCCTTGAGGGCCCTGACATTCTGGATGGAAGATATGTATATGTTTGGGGAGAATGCATATGGAGTGAACGACAGCCCTACTGCGACTCGATCACAGGCTGCGAGAAGGAGAAGAGCTGCTGGAAGGAAGGCTGCCGCTGCTGCTAAGGAGGGCAAGCAACAACAACAACAACAGGCTGCATCTTCTGGAAGTAGTGGTGAATCTTCAAAGGGTGCCGATGAAGTAGGAAAGGGCGGTATGGATACACTTTTTGGGTACATGAAGATGGGATACGGGACATCTTGGTCTCTGACTGGGAAAAGGATCACGGAAACCACTCCAGCTGCGGAACAAGAAGTCCCAGCCGCTGAGGCCAGCGAACAGCAGATTCCCACTTCGGAAGAGGCTCCCAAATCACGACAGCCTTCTCTTAGCACCGGCCGCTATCTCATTGGGCTTATGGGTGATATCGAGGAACCAACGAGTAAGGAGGACGATCCAGACGCCCAAGACCCAGCAGATGCAGCCGACCCCAACTCGAGAACTCTCTTGCGCACCCTCACCGTCGAGCTTGAGAAAGAGGGCGAGGATAAGCCAGAGTCAAAGATGACCAAGGACCTGGGCAGCCAAAACACTGAGCTAGCTGAGGAAGGCGTTTCTGATAAGGAGGGCCAGCCCGCGGATACCTCCAACACTGAATTCGACAGCCAAGATCGTAACAAGACCAAGAAGCTACGGGTGGTGGTATATGCCAACCGACCCTTCATCTACATATTCTTATTCCAGCTCCGAACCGACTCGTTGGCCTGGGACGGCATGTACAGATCGCTACACACCCAACTTGCCCCCCTACACAAGCCATTGCTGTCCTCCACAGCATACCGGCCCGAGCGACCAGACGTCGGTGGTGCTGCGGCGACAGCTCAGATTTATGACTTGGTCTGGGACCCCAAGCTGCTCACGATCCATTCCACCATCCCCAACATTCCCGAGCCAGTATCGGTAACGGCGCATGGCGTTAAGAAACCAGGTGCTTGGACCCGTGTGGAGTCCCTCAACACCCACAACCAGATTCTCAACGTGTACAGCAGCACGCGAGACGATCTGTCAGAGTTTGAACGGACGTGCAAGACCAGCCGGGGGTGGTGGATAGTCTGGACCAGGATCCTGGAACGGAGCAGCAAGAGCACCGACGGCAGTTTGACGCCTACTATCACCACGGCGACAAGCACCACCGGCACGGCGACGATCAGAGGGTGGGTGGATGGCCATGGCTCCTCTGATGGCGGTGGTAGTGAGGAGGGTGGACAGAGGGGGGAGGTTGGTGTGACAAAGGAGATTATACTTATCCGGCGGGCTAGTGATCACGGCGGGGGAGGGTTGAGGGGGGTGAGTACGTCTTATATTGCCAGTGGGAGTGCCGGTGGAGGGGGTGGAGGGGGAGGAGGGTGGGCGGATGGGGCGACCAAGTTGGCTCAGGGGATTGGGGTTGATACGAGGAGGTATATTGAGGCGTTGTTGAGTTTGAATCGGTGAGGTTTGAATGGACTGGGTGGGGTATATATACGTGAGGATGACAGTACATATTTTTTGTTGATTGGGTGGGCGATTTTCATAGCCTTGGGGCATTGGTCGGTCACGACTGTTGAATTATTATTACATTTGAGTTTTTGTCAGAAACATTGACCTCTTGTGCCCGGGAAATTGTCTCCTAGGTTCGGTAGCACAAATAACCAACCCTCGAGAACGAGACAGTGTTACACTCACTGCATGGTAGAATTTGCCAGTCTCGATGCGACAGACGCCATTGCGCAGAAGCTATCCCTCATTGACATGTAGATGGGTTGACACTGGGGTTTCCATGTCACGGAAAGCGTCCAGTTAAAAAGAGGTTAGTATAATTCCTCGACTCGTAAGGTCGTTGATTGGTTGGAAAAGAAGACGAAAGATAAAAGTTGGTATATACGAGAAGAAGCAAGTCTATATAGGTATCCTTCTAATAAAAAAAACCAAACCCAAAAGTGATTTTCCCCAACGCGACCAGGTCTTGTTCTGCTGTGTTACGCTCCGGTCCGGTTTAGAATCGGAGGCAACAAGCTTGAAAGTATCACAACTGATTTATTCTTTCCGACACTCATAAGCCTAGAGTGGGAAAATGATACAAGCCCGCCGAAGTCTCCAATCCTTTTGCTCCTTTTTTCCCTTCTAAAAAAATGCCCAAAATGGCTGAGGCGAATAATGATCTGTTGATTTTTGTTTTTTCGGTTGCAAGAAAAAAAGGGCAAATAGTCGTTACGGCATCACATGATCTCCAAGTGTCCAACTTGTCGTCTTTGTTGTATATATACCAGCACCCCCACCAGCCGGCCGGATAGGTTGTGCAAGATACGAGACTGGAGCGAGTCTCTTAGTTGTTGAACCACCACTCGACTGGCCTTCTGCCGGCCTCTAACGAGCCAAACAGCTCCAAGAACATCTTCTCGGAGCAGTCGATGGCCTCCCGCTCGCAGCCCATGCACTTGTCGCGGACACGGGCCTGGACGGTCTTGCTGCCGACCTTGACGGTGATGGTCTTGTCGCAGTAGGGGTTGCCGTTGGACTGAGTCCCCATCATCAAGTGAGAGAGTGCAACAATGTTGTCAGTATGGTCGAGCCCGCTGTCATCGAAGCCGCAGGCACCAAGTCCGAGATCGTAGTAGGTGAGATCGCCGTTGTGAACTTCGCCGCTGGGTTTGGAGCTGGAGCCGGATTCGCTGCCACCTTTGGCAGCGGGAGGGCTGTTGTTCGCCGGGGGGGGAGCAGGGGCTTGAACAGGAGGAGGGGCCTGGACAGGAGGAGGGGCCTGGACAGGAGGAGGGGCCTGGACAGGAGGAGGAGCCTGAACAGGAACAGGTGGGGGATGGGGAGAAGGAGTAGGAGTTGGCTCCACGACAACAGGTGGAGGAGGGGGAGGGGGGTGGTGCCACTGATGTGACGGGGCCCACTGATGACTTGGACTTTAGGCTCTCGAAGAACTGGCCAGGACGGGGCTCAGGGAGGTCCGACACCTTGACTTCGGCAGCAGCAGGCTTGGTGGGTAGGATGACCTCGGTGGTGCTCTCGTCGATGAGAACCGTCACAGTTTCGTGGACAGTCTCGGTCACCCACTCGGTCACGATGGCACGCTTGTCATGATGGGCCTTTCTGCGGTGGATGTGGCCGTGGCCGCCATGGTGAGGCTGGGCGAGGGCAACAGATGCCAATAGACTGGCGAGAACGGTGGTGGACTTCATGATGATAAATGAGTGGTTGAAACGCGCGGTTGCTGAATGTCTTGTTGATCTGTCTCCGGGATCCCGCTTCGCTTATGGGCAAGGAATGTGAATGCCGCTGTGAATCGAGTACCACAGATGATGAAAGAAGGTTGAGTGAACGTCAGCTAGGACGTTGGTCGACGGTATCTTGTGGTGGTGGTTATTGATGAATGAAGGTGAGCTCACTGAGCCTGGTCAAGAAGGGAATGAATGTATGGTTGTCGGTGGGTCGAAACAGACAGCGAACGATGAGATGAAGGAGAGAAGATGTGGAAGGGAAGATGCCGGGGTTTATGAACCATCCCAGTGTTTTGGGCGGCCAAGAGAGGGAAACGAGTGAGGGCACCAGCAAGGACCAGGGCAAGGGGGGTTCCGGACCTTGACTGTGGTGGAATACGCTGGACTTGGGGAGCTGGGGAGCTGAGAGGCGCAGGCCTGGTGGAATTTTTTCTCTCGCCAAATTCGATGCATGCTGGGCAGCATCGCGCTTCGTCTCTCTGCTAACACGAAGGCCTGGGACGGTACTGAAATTGGAGACGCGGCCGTTAAGCCGCCCCCTTGCAATAAGTGGTTGGCACCGCGTTGCTTGTTAGTGGCCGCTGCGGTGCCGGGTGTACCGAGCTAACAGGGCTTTGGCGGGTACATCGTCGCGGGGGGTCAGCAAATGTTAGCACAGCCCTGCCGTCCGAATCTCGACAGAAAATGGCGCCAGTGTGTTGTTCCTTGCAGGATGCTGCAAGGCACGGGGACAAGTCCCGGGAGCCCTGACTTTTCCAGGGAAGCGAACCAACTGCCATCCAATGCGGAAACCACCGCAGCCAATCACAGACGCCGCCAAGAAGGAAGGCCACGTTCGATCTACCCCACCCCCTCCAGCTTGAGCCAAAGAGTCGCCATCCACATCCCACTCATATTCATCATCGACTAACAGACAACCTCCAGTTCGAGGGAGACTGACTGCAGACTGCAGAAGAAAAAAAAATTCTGCTCTCTTTCCCCTCTTTCTTGCATCACAACACTGCGGTGGCGACCCCATCCGATGGGCCGCTGATTCTCCCGTCTCACTCTCTTACTCTCACTATGCACACTTCGCCCAACTTCGGCCAGACCAAGTCGCGAATCTCGATTTCAAAGTATCAGGACAGGAGAGAAACTGTTCTTCCGAAAGTTGGGTGTGGCTCGGTAAGGCACGGCTGAGTGCAAACCTCCGTGGGGAAACATAATCCATTCGTGACATGCTTTTTACCAGCCTGACTTGGAATTAGAAACACGCCGTTGAGAACCTTGGTTCTTGCTCCGGGCCTCATCTACGGTCAACATCAGCAATAACTATGGCAAGTACCGATAGTCCCGTCTCTTTTCTTAGTAATTTTGAGTCGAGGCCGAGACGCTCTGAAGCCGCGGGGCGTTCCAAATCCAGTGCATACGTGTTTGTCTCTCAAGGGCGGCGGCTACTCGACAGCACACAGTATGGCAACCAATCATCTAAAAGTTTTCATTCTTATTTCGCTGTGATGGTATACAGAAACAAGCCCTCTCTGGTGAAAACGGGCCGGTCTTCATCCTCGAGCTCAGTCACTCGAAAGGCTCTCCTGGCAGACTTGAGGAACTGCATATCAGCCCGCCGTCTCTTCTTAAAACAGAAAAACACGATGGCCGAAGGGTTCAGCGTCAGCAGATCTTCCAGCGTCTGCAGAAGCAAGGGAAAGGCCGGCTCAAAGTAGACGCAGTCGGCCGCGAGGATGGTATCTGGCTTAAAGTCGATAATTTCCTGTGAGAGAGGTTCGCCCCTGAGTTGTCCCCATTCGCCGTCAGAACAAACTCCCATACAACAACGCAGCCAACCGCCAGCTACCCAACAATGTCACGGAATAAAACCGGGGAGTCACACAGCTAGAACTTACCAGTTGAGGATGCGGCCTCTGACCCGGTCGTCCAGCTCGTTCAGAGCAATGTTGTGTTGCATGAGAGGCTCCATGTCTATCATGTCGGTAATGTAGAGGGGCTGGTCTATCCTGCAGCCCTTTGCAATCGTGAGTCCGACACTACCGCCGCCAGCACCGAGCTCGAGACTGGAAAAGTTGGAGATGTCTGTCAGTTCATAACCGTCCCAAAGCTGGGAAACTTCCCGGCATCAAAAAGATCTTCATGTAGCGTCTGAGGGCACAAACACTCTAGAGGTCTGCAGCTTATCCCGATGATAGTGCAGCATATGTTTGGCGAGCACCATCCCCGCAGGCCAAAGCTGTCCTCCACAACCCGAAGAGAGATCTTCATGAAGCTTTAATGGCTCATCCAAGAGGCCTGAGAAGTCCAGGGCCGTGGTGGCCGCGGCCTTGTAGACGGGCAGAGGAGCCAAATCCTCTCCAAAGTCCAGCGGTGAGATTTCAGGCGACGATGACCTTGATCGGCCGTTCATACTGGGCGAATTGGTGCGGAAAAGGCCGAATATCAAAATGATGTTTTTTGTGTATTTTGCTGGTGATGTGAATTATGGCGGGGTTGGAGAAGGGGTCTCAGCGCCGTTTTTTTGGCATTTTTTTATGGTTGGGGTTGGGTTGCAACCGCCGCCCACTTTGCGCGAGCAACGTCCCCTGGCCCGCTACATCCACGAAGCTTGGCGGCCGATCTCTCCTTATCTGATATCAAGATGATAATCTGGCTTGCCTGCCCGGCCATGGACCCCATTCTCAACCTCATCTCATCTTTAAGGGTGCCAATACCCGGGTCGTCGCGTACGTACACGTCGTGTAGTCCTCACCACGCGCCTGTCTCTCCCTGCCTTCGCGAAGACCTCCACGCTGGAATGTTTTCCCGTCATCCAACCCGTTGTTTCAACGTCCAGCCCAGCAAAATGGACTCGACATTCCCCTCTGTTCAATTTAATCTAGCACTATCCATTCTTAAGAATTTAGGGACAGTCTGTAGGCTCACTGCGCCCCCTAGTAACGGGTGCAATTCTCATTCTCATCACAGTGAAAGCAAGGGGTGGCCTCCGTAGTTGAAGATTGAAGTCCCAGATGACAACCACCACCTCTTCGACATGAACAACACTTCCTTTCTCTCTTGCATCTAGGCATTCTGCAACTGCTGTCTTTTCTGGTCTTTGCTTGTCTATACCACCACGTATTCAGCGCACCTGCATGCTGCTATTACTCTCACCCGCAGCAGCAACTTGTCTGCCGTCGCCATCATGAGGCCTCAGCTTGCGGCCTGGATATCAATATTCCTCGCAGACCTCGTAGCGGCCGCCCCTACCGTCTCCTTCCCCATCAACTCGCAGGTGCCCCCGGTTGCTCGGTTCGGCCAGCCCTTCGCGTTTGTCTTCTCGCCCTCGACCTTCACCTCGAGCTTCCCCCTCACGTACACGCTGGCCAATGCCCCCCGATGGCTCTCGATCGACAGCAGCAACCGGCGTCTTTTTGGCACGCCAGGTGAAGGAGATGTCGCCCCAGGCGAGGTGGTGGGAGTTCCAGTAAACTTGGTGGCAACAGACCAGACCGGCTCAACAACACATGAAGCTACGCTTGTTGTGTCAAGAAATCGAGGACCCAATGTCGGGATCCCTCTGGAGCAACAAATACCAAACTTTGGCATATTTTCCAGCCCATACTCGATTCTGTCTGGCCCAGACGCGCCATTCTCCTTCGCCTTGGACCAGAAGACGTTTACAAGTGTCTCGAACAGTCGCTTAGGCTACTACGCTGTCATGGCTGACAATACACCGCTCCCGGCCTGGGTTTCATTCGATCCAGACAAACTGTCCTTCTCCGGACGAACGCCTCCACTTGACTCTTTGATACAACCGCCACAGCGCTTCGCTTTTCACTTGGTTGCTAGCGATGTGGCAGGTTTCGCAGGTGCCGCGTTGCAATTCGATCTCGTGGTGGGAGTTCATCAAATCTCTGCAGAGGAAACGACCATCATCTTGACTGCCGTCGCGGGGAAACCTGTATCTTACACCAAGCTGAAGGATATCGTTAAACTCGACGGGAAGCCACCCAGCACTGGCGAGGTCACACTCAACACAAGTTCCGACATGCCTGCTTGGCTGTCTGTCAACAAAGACAGCTGGCATATTACGGGCACCCCTACGGAAAAGTCCACATCGACCAATTTCACCATAACATTTCAGGACAATTTCTCCGATACTCTCAACATCACCATGCTGGTGGACGTGGAAAGCCAGGCCACGAGGGCGGCTGGTGTCTTCAAAGGAAGTTTACCGATCTTGACAGCCACCCCTGGCCAACATTTTTCCTTTGATTTCCGGCCCCATCTGGTCAATCCAGACGACATTGAGATTTCAGTTTTGCAGGGCGACTCAGCATCCTGGATCCGGTTCGACGCCGGCCGAAAGACCCTGTCTGGACACCCTCCCTCTGTCTCCAAAGACACCATTGCTGCGCTGGAGGTCTCGGCGCAATCGAGATCATCCAACAAGTCTGACAAGCTGTCCATGAAACTACTCATTCGAGCGGCAGCACACTCTACACCTAACTCCGATACGCCCTCAGATGCAGATTCAACGCCTCTCGGCGGTGTCCTCCCAGTCGGGGGAGATGCTGCTCCAAGCGGGAAGGTCAATGTGGTGTTGTTGGGGATACTTTTGCCAACAATTTTATCCGCTTTTGTCGTGGCATTCGCCGTGTTCTGGTGCTACCGAAGACAAAAAGCGAAGCAAAGGCCACGGCTTACCACTCGCGATATCTCAGGGCCTCTACCGGGGTCTTTTGTGATCACGTCCAATGGACCCAACACCGCGCCATCTCTCCCCGATATCAGTCACAACTTTGACAGAAGCTTCACTGTCGGCGATGTGTTTACGCCAGAAAAGAAGATGTACGTCGAGTCACGCAGCTCGTTTTCGACCAAGGGGAGCGCGCCTACATCCCTGGCTACCGTCAAGTTACTCCCCCCGAGCGTCCGGTCCAAGCACGGGGGTGCCCGTGGCGGACGGATACCTTTTTTAGGGGGCGGAAGTTTTGGTGCCATGCGGCTCGGGAGCTCTCTGGCGTCTATTTCCGAGAGAAGTGTTAACGACGAGGCGGGCGAGATGGATGCACGTACAGCCGGGCTGCTTGGGAACAAGACAACAGGGTCTTTCCGGGACGGGATTGAGATCAACATTCCCAGCGTTCAAGGGACGCCCAGGTCGAGGTACAATGACTCTCCAAACTCGCCATATCAACCTCATGCGATGGCAAGTCCTCGGTCCCGTTCTTCCTCGGCAGAATCCGACCCAGAGACGTCCCCGCTTCGAGCAGAATCGAGACTGGCACATTACGGACCGCCGGAAATCGCGAGGAGATTCATGTGGCCGTGGTTCAGGGGAAACAACTTGAGGAGCCGCAGCTCCAAGCTCCGCTGGGGCTCAAGGACACATAGCAAGCAACCGAGTACGTCGACGGTCGATACATTTGCCTACAAGAGAACAGGGCAGTCTATCGGCCTAGGGTATGCCGATGCGGGGATGGCGCCTGAGATAACACCGCCTCCTCGTGCAAGACTTCTTGGGGCAGTTCCACTGGCTCGGCCAGTAACCAGGAGGGGGCCTACCGATGCGAGTCTGGAAGGCATGATCCTCAGTCAAGGCCAGAGTGGGATGAGTATTCCCGTGAATGCGCCGCCCACAACCCCTGGGGGACCTGGTGCTCCAAGCGTCGCCTCTCAAGAAGACATCTCTCTACCCCCTCTACCCGACTGGCGAGAGTCACCCGACGACTTCCTGGGTCTCTCCTATGATGATCTGGTCAAGAACTCACCTTTCCACCCGTCGGCCACATGGCAATCGATTTCTACAAATACAAACGACGAGTGGGTGGATGAGACAGTCGTGAGCATGGACACGCCACAGAGGGAAACGGCCAAGAAGGATATGGGCACACCGTCTAACTGGGTCGTGTTGCAAGACTCACCATTTATCAAAGACTGGGATGCCGGGATCGACTCGCCGTCGCCCGTGTCGATAGGACCAGGAGACGCTTCCACTCCTGCTGGAAATGAGAAACGGGAGCAGCAGCCGACGTCATCGAGGACACAGCCGTCCAACATAAGTGCTGCAGTAGGTTACAAGAGAGGATTCCAACGGGACCAGTCTGGACTGCCTGGGCGTAGTGAGTCGAAAGGGGTATCGTTAATGTCGGGCAAGAGTAGGGGGGAGGAGTCAGACTTTGCGGTGTATATTTGATTGGAATATCTTTCTAATATCTTTGGTTTTCCGTTTACCTAGCCAAATACCCAGAATTGAACTCTTCCTTGACCTCAACGATCCAAATGATGGGGGATGTTGCATAGTATGTGCTTTAAAACTGTTACTCAGAGCACACAAAATGTCGTCATGGGTGTAAAACGCCAAGGAAGTCAATACGGTAAAATACGCAGCCTCTCGTGACGCTGAAATCTTGTGCTCCTGAGCCTTAACAGAAAGTGCGGACGGACCAGGCAGGCACTCCAGGCAGCCGCAGGGGTAGGAATTGGCACAGTGGAGAGTCCCCCCAACCCCGGCTTCCCTTTTTAGCAGCCCACGGTCTCCTCATTGCCCCGCAGTCTTTTTTTTGCGCACTGTGAGGTCTGGTATCGGCAGGAGTCCACTGCGAGCGTGACTGGAGAGAGGCCAGACCGTCAGCCGTCGACTCAGGAACGACCTTCTCTTGCGTTTCGCATGATGATGAGCTGAGTGAGGGCTGAGGTGGTTGACCTGATATCTCAAGGCGCGCTCATGAGATGGATGTTCCAGGCACCTTAGCTACACCTATCTACCTATGACTGTCTGGGTAGAGCTGTCAAGGCTGTGACTGATAGATAGAGCTACCCCACACGCGACATCCTTTGGCCAGGGAGGGCAGGCAGTCTGAATAGCATCACAGCTTTCTGCCTTGCGAGAGGTGACAAGGTTGTTATCTGGAAGTGGATGTGCCCATGTGTCTGGTGCAGCAGATCCTAGTCCTTTGTTTCTGAGACGCCTCTCTCTTGTATGTAGTGTTTAATCTCGCACTTGTCTCTACTCGTGGTCTATCTAGTCCAGATTGTTGATGACATATGGAAGATAGTGTAGTCTCTCTACTCTGCTTGTCATTCATCAGCTAGCCGCCTAGCTGTTGCACAATTGCCACACCACAAAAGATAGACGTCTCTCTGCTGCTGTCTCTTCCAGGCACGGCCGGCTCCCGCCCAACAACAACCCCGCTCCACCACAAATTTGCTCCGTGCGCCACCCAGCAGGACGCAAACCCGCCAAACCCGCCCAGCGACCTGGGACTGTGCCAAAGAAAGGGACCTGACCTGACCTGAACACCTAACGGAAAAAAAAATAACACAAAGCGCCTGGTGACTACGGGATACCGCATTACACCACATCACCGACGTCCTTTTTCGCGGCTCCCTTTTTTTTTCTTGATTCCCATCTCCGACATCAACGTCATCGGTATCGGCATCGCCCACCCCACGAGCTCGGTCCGGCCCAAAATCGACTTGTCGTTAAACTGACTGTGTCGCCTGCCCTCCCTTCCCCCTTCACCCTTCTGCCCAATCTCGCCGACCAAAACCCCTCCCCCCACCGACCACCGGTAGCCGCGCTGCTGCCGCCGAATTCCATATCACCACCGCGTCATCATGGGCCAGACACTTTCTGAGCCTGTTGTCGAGAAGGTATGTGCCTTTTCCTGAAGAGGTGGTTGTCGCAGCCCTTGGCCGTCCGTGCTGCCATCCTGGCCATCGCGGGCGCGCACACACTTTGCTCGTCTGCCCCTCTCTGCCTCAAGCTCTCCTCCCCAGGCCAGGGGCCGATCATGGTGCTCACATGCCCGCGCCCATGGCTCCCTTCCTTGCCAATATCGTCTTCCAGCTGCTCGCGCTGGATACAAAAACCAGAGGCTAACGCGGCAGGGATAATGCCTATAGGCTTCAGAGAATGGCGGAGACGAGCGACTACTCTATGGCGTGTCGGCCATGCAGGGCTGGCGCATCAGCATGGAGGACTCTCACACGACAGTACTCGACCTGCTCGCTGGCACTAAGGCTGCCAAGGACCACAGCTCGAAACTCTCCTTCTTTGGCGTCTTTGATGGCCACGGCGGCGACAAGGTAGCACTGTTTGCGGGCGACAACATTCACAACATTATTGCGAAGCAGGATACATTTAAAGCCGGCAACTACGAACAGGCTCTCAAGGATGGCTTTTTGGCGACCGACAGAGCTATTCTCAACGGTATGATGCCAGTCTGGTCTTCTTATTCTCACAAAACGGGGGGTTCTGGACGGTCCAGATTTGCTAGGGGAGGAAGGCTATGTGATTCAACATCCCCAAATCACTCAGAAAATGGCGCCCTTTCTGGAACGAGTTCGCTAACCTGTTGCTGCCTCCTGAACAGATCCCAAATACGAGGAGGAAGTGTCCGGCTGCACTGCCTGCGTGGGCCTGATTACGGAAGACAAGATCTATGTTGTATGTTTGACCCCGTGCTGCTGAGGAGAATTCCCCTCATTGTGCACCCCCACTTTGGCCCACTGATGCTGACTTTGCCTCTCCGCGGTAGGCGAACGCTGGTGACTCGAGAGGCGTCTTGGGCGTAAAGGGCCGGGCGAAGCCCCTTTCTTTTGACCACAAACCACAGAACGAAGGTGCGCCGAAAACACAGCTGTCACTCTTCTCTAGCCGCGCCTGTCCGCTAACCGGGTGATTGTGTTGCGGATGTGTAGGCGAAAAGGCGCGAATTACGGCTGCAGGTGGCTTTGTCGACTTTGGCCGTGTCAACGGGAACCTGGCCCTGTCAAGAGCCATTGGTGATTTCGAATTCAAGAAGAGCGCCGAGCTCGCGCCAGAACAACAAATCGTGACAGCTTATCCGGACGTTGTGGTTCATGACCTGGGCGACGACGATGAGTTCCTCGTGCTTGCTTGTGACGGTACAGTTTCCCCCTCTATCCCCTGTTTCTTGGACTGTTCGCTGACCTTGTCCATTTACAAGGCATCTGGGATTGTCAGTCTTCCCAAGCCGTTGTCGAATTCGTCAGGCGTGGAATCGCTGCCAAGCAGGATTTGGACAAGATCTGCGAGAACATGATGGACAACTGCCTGGCCTCCAACTCGGAGACGGGAGGCGTCGGCTGCGACAACATGACCATGATCATTGTCGCTTTCCTCAGGGGACGGACCAAGGAAGAGTGGTATGAGGAGATTGCCCGGCGGGTTGCCAACGGAGACGGTCCTTGTGCCCCGCCCGAATATGGTAGGGAATCTTCGCCGTCTTCTTAAACGCGCACGCTCTGGTTGTTTTCCTCCGCCCACATCAAGACCACCACCTGCCCCCATATCCTGTATCTTTCTCCTTCTCGTCTCCCTTTTCATATGGATCATCATACTTTTCGGAACCGAGCGCGCTCTTGACACTGGTCTACCGCACACTTTTTCTACCAAAACATCATTACTAATACATGGCTTTTTCACACATTTTAGCTGAGTTCCGCGGCCCCGGCGTGCATCACAACTTTGATGATAGTGACAGCGGGTATGATGTCGAAGAGAACAAGCAAGGTGGTGGCGCTGGCAGAAGCTTCGGCATCGGTGGTTACAAGGGCCGCATCATCTTCCTGGGCGATGGGACCGAGGTGCTGACCGACTCAGACGACACTGAGATGTTTGACAACTCGGAGGAGGATAAGGATCTCGCAAGCCAGGTGTCCAAAGCGTCGTCAGTCGAGGGCGGCGAAGCTGCTGCCGGGAAGGAGCAGGAGAAGAAGCCCGAGCCAACGCCAGAGGCTGCGGGGAAACCTAGCGGCGAGGCGGAGATGAAGAAGGACGCTTAAGTATAGGGTCAGAGGGGTAGTCTCTGGAGGATGGCATCTCGAGCATGTCTGTATGGCTTTTTCTGTTAGCGTATCGACGGGAACTGTTGTGGGAGGGGGGAGGGGTTGTGGAATACGTGTAAAGGGGTGAAATGGAGAGGGTCTGGGGGAGGGTCTGGGGAGGTAAAAGCCGGGAGCCAGTTGGCTGAACTGGACTTGGGGTCTTGGGATGGGGAAGAATGGGTTGAAAGGGATTTCAAGGAATCTTTTTTGTGGAAAGCAAGACATAACACTCGTCATCATCTCCCCCTCTTCAACAACACCAGCACAACACACACGAACAACAAGCATGATTCGTTCAAAAACTCTTGATCCTGCTCCGCCTGTCTTTCTTCCCGTCGTCTCGTTACCATTGTGCCTGTACTGTTGCCCCTCTGGTCTGAGAGAGAAGGGGAACCTCTTGTTTTCCTTGTTTTATTTTCTTTTTTTCCTTTTCACTCTCTTGTTTTACACTTTTACCCTATACCTATCTATCCTACGCGATTTTTCATGTCCTGCCTTGATACATGCCTGAAGAAATTGATGACAAAATCCGTGATTTGATCACTGAGCAGAGTAAAGCTGTCTGGTCCTGTATGCGTATAAAGGCGGAAGAGAGAGAGAGAAAGAGAGAGAGCCAAGGATGCCAGCTGTATTGACCGTAAGAGCCCGTGTTGGATGAACTATGTATATACCATTTGTAATGTGGCTGGTACTCTCTGCGCAGCGTGCGTTCAAAGATGAGGAGACAGTGACGACGTAGCCGGCAGAGATCCCCATTGTTTACTCGCTGAGAGAAGGTCAATGCATTCATCTTATTGTCTTCGCGTCGCCATTGTTGCCGAGTGTAGTGGGGGCATGGGTAGATAGATCAATAGAATGACTCACATATTGAGGACAACCACAAAATCAAAACCGTCGTCTTTCCTCCCCTCCTCGAGGTTCTCGTCTCTCCCCTTTCGTTCACTTCTTTTTCCGCCTGTTCGAAGGTTGGCAGAGAGAACACCGCCACCCGCAGCTTCATCAAGAATCATCACCAAGACACCATCAAATCAGGCACCACTTCTCTCAATATTCCGTTCGCTTCGTTATACTCGGCATTAGATTAACGCACATTCTAGGTTGACAAAGATGCTAGACCAGTTGCGTCCGAATGAACCACCCAACCTTGCCCTCTAACCATTCGAATGCATGTCATCCGTTTGCCCCATCTCCCCCGTCTTTATGTTCGTCGTCATGATCGTCATTCCCATCCCCTTATACCCATCGTCAACCGTCATATCAACAAGGCAAGAAAGGGGTGTGGGTGTGGGGAAGTTTTTGGTCGACTAGTCTACCTCCAACAAACGTTGAATAGCGTCGAATAACACCAGCAACATGAGCATCTATCGACCAGAAACAGCGCTGCCGAAAGCTTCCCTCTACCGAGCAATACGAATACCCATTAAAAGGAAAAAACCCCGCCGTTGTTGCTTTTATGAATCCCGACCCAAAAAAACGACCGAAGCAAAAGCCGATGCTGTACGAAGAAATCATGGCGTTTAGGCCTTGTTCTTTCTTCTCTTGCCAACCTGGGCCGAGAAACCAGTCTTGATAGCCTGGACGGAACGACGAGAGCCGCAAGAGTTGCAGGTAATGAAGCTGAGAGGTTGTTAGTGCACTGCCACTCGCATGAACGGCAGGGGCAGGAAAACATACTAAAGGCGATTCTCGCCCTTGGAGAGCTCGGTATTGGGGGAACGGCACGTCTTACAGGTAACATATTCTAGTTTCGAAGCGTTAGCGTCCGACGGGCAAGAGAGCCACAGAGACATGACGACATACCTATAATATACGTGCGAAGAACGTTCTCAATCTGTTTCTGTTGGAAGCGACCCTTGATGACCAACCGCCTGGAACCGTCGACGGAACCGCTGGTACCCAACTCAGCAAAGAGGTAGGCTGTGACGTGCTCGTCGGCACGCTTCATGCGCTTGCAAATCTCGGCAAGGTTGGCGAAAATGGTCTTCTTGTTGCCTTCGCGCAAGCACTGAGGAGGAGGAATCTTGTAGGAGCGGGTGCCGGTTGAGGCGTGGTCGGGGTTCTTCTGCGACAAGAGGGCGAAAAATCTGGAGAGGAGTGGGCTGTAGTTGATAGTGCTGGTCTCGTCGTGCTTGAAGATGCCGGTACCCTTCTCCCAGTCACCCTCCTGCTCCTCCGACTCAGGAGCAGCCTCTTCACCCTCCTTGCCCTCGATGTTGAGCTTCTCGAGCTTCTTGGCGAAGTCATCATCGTCCTTGGCAACCTTCTTCTTCTTCTTTTTCTTGAGCGAGAGATCGATGCCCTCCTCGCCGGCAGCGGGGGCGGCGGCTTCGTCGTCACCCTCAGCGGTCTCGACCTTTGCCTTCTTCTTTTTCTTCATGAGTCTGAGATCGAGCCCGTCAGCATCCTCAGCAGGAGCGGCGGCGGGTGCTTGAGAGGCAGCATCAGTAAAGGCACCGAGAGCGGCGGAGAGAGGCGGCGTACGAGGGGTATGCGACATGGCTGTCTCTTTGGTATCGTCGTTCGGGGAAGCAACCATGGTTACACTGCCGTCTGCGTCGACTACAAGCTTCTCGTCGGTGAAGGCAACTGATTTGCGCGAGGCACGTCGTTGGAGAGAAGGTTCCTAACGATGTTAGTGATGCTGTTTGTCTCGAGTCGCAGTCGTAGGTTGTCGAGTCGCTTTGGAACTAAAATTTCCGGAGGGGCGGGCGATTGTCGGGTTTGGTGGTTAAAGGAAGAGTCAACCGTCAAAGGGACAAGGGGAGGGGTGGGTAGGGTCTCGGGTGGCGCAAAGGGAGTAGGAGAAAAAAAAAGAGGAGGGTAGTCTTTGGAGGGGTAGTGAATTTACTGTGGGAGTGCTTGTGCTCGTGCCTGTGCCGGTGAGGGGAAACGGCGGGAGGTGAGGGCTAGGATAGACAGATGTAAAACTTACTTCAGTGCTCATGTTTGGCCACGGATGTCACAGGGTTCTTGGTTTTCTCGTTTCTCGAAGATGTTCTGGACTCTCCACCGCTTTTTTTCGCTAGTGAGGGAAGGGATCGGGGTGCGCTGGTTCGTGGGGTGCAACAAGTGCTGGGTTCACAGCAGCCGTCTCTTTTGCCAGGTTGTTTCCTAATGCCTTGCCTTTTCTCGGGAGCCGAACAAGTGTGGTTTCTGTGTAGAGATGGTCGCCCTATCACTGACTTGGCGCCTTCTTCATGACGTTGGATTCACTCATTGTGACTCAGGCCCTCAGTCACCTGACAAGCGGGGGGTTTTTGCTCCCACCTCACTGCCAGCTGCCGATAATGACAACGATAAGCCTTGTGGTGAGGAGACAGTGCGTAGACAGTGCCCAGCACTCCAGCCCGCTACAGCAGCTACTGCAGTACAAGCGAGGCGCCCAGTGGGACAGGTGAATGAATGCTGGATTGCTCCATGCTTAGGTTGCCGCACCCATACAATACATTCACCACTGCGCCGGTTGCCACGAGTCTAGTGTAGACAGTCCACGATACCACGAGAGGGAACCATTCACTCTAGTGAAAGCTCTACCGAGACCCGATTCACCCCCCGTCCTCAGACATCGTGACGTACTCCAACCAACGCTGCTCTGCTCCCCACCTCATCGCCCAAGCTCCATGATGGCGAGCACTTCAGACTCCTTCGTCATCTCCGACATGGCTCCCTCCTCAGACAACGACGATGTCGATTCCCTTCCATCCATCTCCAGCAGCATTCTCGATTCCGAAGACGAATCCGATGCCCAAAGGGAGTGGGAGACAAGTCTAGAGCAGCTACAGCTTTTGCTGACAATGATTATTATGCCATTTGCGGGCAAGTATCTTGGCCGCAAGTTTGCCTACTGGAGTATGCTGGCTCTTGTGCCTGGTTGCTTTTAGGTCCCATAATGCTAACTGGAGTTCTTCAGGCTGGGCGCGGTATATGGAATGGATGCACAACGTCGAGATCCGGTGGACAAATAAGAGAGAGTTTGCGGCCGTGGGAGCTGTACAAGCGGCTTCTTCGTTATGACTTGGTGGTTTCACGGGCTGGGAAGAGCCATTCTGAGCAGTACATATACTCTTTTCGACAACTGATTAGAGGCATTATATAAGGGGCAGCCCCGCGAAGCGTTTATGGCGTTATTGGGATATGTATACACACGGCACAAAACATGGGAAAACAGCTACATCAACGGCATACTGAACTTGTCGTTCAAATGCGCAGATAATACAACTGTTGGTATTCAAGTCGACCTATCGACATCGTTGCTATTTTGAGTGTACAGCTCCAGGGGCACCACTACCGCATCCCAAACACACGATCCCACTTATATACCAAACAAACAAAGACAACCCGTCTCCCAAACCATGTACCTAATCCATCATTACATGCCCCAGCCTTTGCATTCCCATCATTTCTTATCATTACGAAGCCCAGGGAATCTCCCTCGTCATAGCCCTCTCGGCGTTGGTCATTAATCCTCATTACATTTGTTTCCTCCTCTTTCCGTCGTTCATAACAACCAAAGGGAGCCAATAAGTCAGCGCAGCTTATACGCCAATCTGGCTCATAGTCGGACCAGTCCTCACGCTACCACCCCCCCTGCGAAATCCCATGAGGCTCAGCACCAGAACGGCCGTGAACAGCGGAAACAAGAACCACATAAACACGGTCGACGCCTGGATCTGTCTGCACCGCTTGGTATCGTCGGCGCTGCCGTAAGCAATCCAATCGGCCGCCTTATCGCCTGGGTCGGCGCAGTTAACAACTGTCAACTTGGCAGCCAGCACGATGGCGGCGATAAAGGTGAAGAGCGTAGCGGCAGCGTCGAGGGCGAGAAGGCCGACCGGGTAGGAGAGACGCTCAACGACGGTGGAAATGAGACCGTAAAGGGCGGCTAGCCAGGTGATTACAAGGACGAACATGGTGAAGTTGATGGCTGCTGTGGCCGACGAAGCGGCCGAGACGTTGGTAGCGATCACATTGCCTATCAGGGCCGTGGTGATGAGAATGAAGAGGAGCTGCGCTGAGCGGAAGTAGAGCGGTGTTTTTTCCATCTTGGCGATTTCCTTGTGCGAGGTAGTAGCTGTCGTCGGGTTTTGTCGTCGGAACTGGATCAATTCGGCAATTCGTGTAGGTGAGGTCTGTGACGTAAATAGCTATGGGTAGGTGTTGTTTTTTTAATGTGTGCTGAGAAATATAATACGACTCGTGGGATAGTTCTGGTCTTGTAGGCGAACTGTTGGCTATCCGGTGTGTAGGTGCCCAGGAATGCGAGTCGTCACTTTCTGCACGGATGATGGATGGTGTGGTTTTGGGATGTGTGGATGGGGGGGGGTTCGGTTTTTAGGCTGGCTAAGAGTGCTAGTCGCAATAAATCGGAGGGCGGTATTATTAAGAAAGCAGCCCGTCACATATGATCAACAAAAGAAGGAGCCATACAACCTCGAGATAATGCCCAGGATGGGCCGAGGGGAAACTGGGGAAGAAAGAGCATCATCGAGCTGTTGCACAACACTGCTGAAAAGTGGGGCAATGACGGCAGTTTTTTGGTGGCGACAGCGGCCCAAGCTCCTTTTGTCGACACCGCATGTCAACAATGGCGCTTCCGTCCACGACCCCGAATTCCTCTTTGTCTGCCCCAGTCCGAAACAGCTGCTCCAAAAGAGCGACACTCTCATCCACACAAACTTTCTGTGTCTCCATAGCCTCCATAGCCATGCGCCGAGCTTACCGCCAGCTCCTCAGTCCACGCAAGACATTCTGTGATCTGCTACAAGGATGTTGAAGGGTGATGGGGTCGGTTGGCTGGGACACAAGCCACCTTTTTTTTTTCTGTTTGAAGCCGTTAGCGCCATTGGGCCAATGCTCCGATAAGCCGTCACACTCCTCACAAAATATTGAGACAGCAAATAAGCTGTCCCATATCATAAACCCATGCCTTAGAAGCAAATCAATAGGCCTTGTAAGCATTTTAAAAGGCCTATTACTATCTTTATAGGCCTATTAACTATCTTCATAGGCCTACTAACTATTTTCATAGGCCTATCAAATATCTGGAAAGGCCTATTAAATATCTTGAGGGCCTGGTAATTATCTTCAGGGCATAGTTCACAATATGGTATGAGTTAACCTACTTGTATGTCAATTATTTTGTGGCGAGGGTTGCAGTCCACCACCCCTGATGACAGCCTTCAGCCTTTTTGTTCTCTCTGACCCAGCAACGGCGATGCATGAGTGCCACGCGTGCTGCTCCCCCTCCCCCTCATTGTGTGGAACCCCGTTTCCAAAGCAGCGGCTCCGGAGAACAATGGACTCTATTCCGCGCACCCGTATCTCGGGACTCGTGGAGAGCTCCGTGCCCGGTTGTGGTGAGCATTCCACACCGAGGCTTGGCACCCGGTGGTGTTGTGAAGCTCTTGGTCTAAATATCTTGGCGGCCTCTTTTCCCAGTTTACCTATGAGAAAAGAGTGCCATCCGTGGTGCCATTATCACCCACCTCCCATTATCCGTAACTCCGGATCACTCAACACGTTGCCATATCGACATGTGGGTACATCATCAAGAGGAGAAAATAAACAGTGGCTGTGCTACTGTCTCATACCAATCAATAGATCAAACCCAGGCTCAAGCCCCATTTTCCTTCGGAAACAACCTTGGCCATTTTGCTACCGCCACTCCAGAATCATATCCAGAAGCCTGAGTAGAGACGCCGTCACCGTTCAGTGCCACTTGAGACACTACTCTGGGACCTCCCACAATCACACCCCCTCCCATTCTCTTCCGGTCATAAATAACAGTCCCATTCACAGCCCCCACGCTCCTCCAGTACAATTCTTCTCCGTCACCCGTAAACTCAAACTCTTGGCTCGACTCGCCCCATCCTGTACTGCTCATCTGATCGCCTGTCTGGCGATACTCTGCTATGCCCTCTTTGATCGTGTACAGCTTGGACCTGCTGTATCCCGTGTCAAAGGCTTCCAGTCCGGTCGGGAACACCACCCCTCCTCCCCATCCGTCCACCTCTACCTGCCTTCCCTGAATGGCGTGCGCCCAAATACTCAAGTTCCCCTGTTCTGATACCGCATAGCTTGAGTTCACGGACAGCGGGTACTGATACAGCACCTCATACCCTCCCCGCTGGTTGCCTTTCTCCAGATCGTTGGAAACAAACCCAGCCTGGTCTCTCCCCTCGATCGTCAAATCATTTATCGCCTGCAATCCATGCTGAGAAATCAACCCCTGATTTGAATACGCCAGCTCCTGCACCCATTTCACTTCCTGCATCTTCTCCCGGCCCAGAAAAGCCGACACCTGCCCCCTAATCTCGATCTTTCTCTTGACCACAATAGAGTAATCCAATGTCTCATTACCTAGCTGCTGCCGATCCAGCTTGACCTCACTGCGCGCCACAATCTCAGGCTCCGGCGCTGTAACCACCGGCTGCTTCAGCCCAGTAGTGATGCACCCATCCCCCTTTGCACAAGCGTGCTCATCCTTCCTGTCGTAATCCAACCAGATAAACACCTTGCCAGTCACCACCCAGTTGTCCCCTACCTTTTCCGTCAACTTCCCATCCCTGCCCACGCCGGCAATCTTGATCTCGAACGTGTGTTCCTCTCCATCACAGAGCAGAGGTAACCAGGGGCTGATGTCGATCTCCTGCTCCTTGATATCAAACGCCTGGATCCCAACGATGGGCCGGTGCAAACTCGGTACTACACCCCCGGTGAAGATGACGGGAAAAGGCCACGACACCCCGGCGAGTTGGTTGTCAATGTAGAGCTGCACCTCTCTAAAGGGGGACAGCCCCGGGAGGGGGTCACCTTCGAATGTCGCCGTGTCTGACTCGAGGACGTTGGACCAGAAGAATTCTTCGCTTGCCTGTCCCGTGGTGGAGAGGGAGACGACCGCGCGGCGGATGTCACGGGGAAGGGAGCCAGCGGAAAAGGTAGTGACGGCACGTTGGGAGGGGAGGGTGAACACGCTTGGCGAATTGGTCGAGGACAACCGGGCCGAGATGGGGAGGATCAGGTCTGAGGGAGGGGCTTGCTGGGCTAGGTTGGCGGGGTGGGGGTTTGGGTCGTTGTAGAAGATGGCTGTCATGGTGGTGTTGAAGATGCCGGTGTATTTCTCGTCTTTTGGTTCACGTCAACACCGAAACGGACGAGATCGGCTGGCACGGGGTCTTACTGATCAGGTTTCCCAGGTCAAAGATGACTTTTTGAGGGCGTTTCCAAAAGTACATGTAGTGCGTCATGTCCTTGAGGTAGATCCAGCTTATTCCGGGAGGCGCGGTGGGCTGGGCTGTGGAAGTTCTCCCTGAGAAATTTACTATTAGTTATCTACTTCCTCGAGGCATGATGTGAAGGCGGATACACTTACAAACCTCGGTATCCCCGAAGTACATCACCGCAAGCCGGTCAAACTGTCTGCCAACAGAAACGGAGCTAAAGTTGAGCACCACTCTGTTGAAAAAACAGTCGGGAGGTGTATAATCCCCTGGTTATGACTCTTGTATCAGAATCGACAGCTCAGAAAACGACAGAATTTCATGGTGCAAATGCGGCATAGTGGTAAAGGGACATCTGTACCAATGAACGGATCACCATAGCTCCACGCAAAGTCCCTTCTCATGAGCAAAACCGTGCACAGCTTGGGGCTGTACTCATTCCCATGCCGGGTCGAGCCGTCGCTCTCAACTGGGCCATCTGGCATCCGCACTGGCTGTGAGACTTCAAAGGTTTTGAGAACAGCCCGCATGGGGGCAGGGGCTGGCGGGGGATCGTCATTCTGTGCTGCTCGAGATCTGAGGGATTGCCAGAAATCGTCGAGATGATGCTTAGCAATCGATGCTGCCGTTGCTGGTCCATGCTCTTTCAAACAAGGCGTCTGGTGAAGTGCGGAAATAAGCGTTAGCCCCGCCAAAAAGGCCGTTAGCCAGAGCATAATACGCCGCCGGCGCCGTAGTTGGCCGTTGTTGGCGGGAGTGATGGTGTCTTGAACAAGAAGAGGGCGTTGAGGGGAACCTTCTTTTAGATCTTCATCGTAGCAACCCTCAGGGCCCGCCATGACAGCATCCATCAAGTTTCGCAGTTGGGGAATGTTGTTGGCCTTGGTTTGTCAGTTGCGATCAATGTATTGTTACTAGCAGACAGGAAACCTTTCAAACACAAAGATAAAAAGCATACAAAAGGGAAAGAACAGTAAACCAGGCAGAGAGAGAGAGGTGAATACAGATGCGGTGCTATCTACCCCAAGTGCAACACTCCCTCCTCCATTCCCCAAACTCCTGATAAACCAAGCGCAACCTCAAAACACATCGCCGCTTGCTGTCCTTCCATTCCCCGCGCTCCGAACCCGAGATAGCATGCACAATAAATAATAAGGGGTATATTAAACATCAAGGCACAATTCAGCCATCAGAAACTGTGGCAGCCGGCGTTGGCTTGTTATCGGCTGTTGTCTTCCCCCGCTCCGTGGTGCAGGCAGTTGATCAAAAGGGGAAAAGGCTTGGCGGAGGGGCAGTTCCGGCAAACGACCGCATCTTTAATTTGTGAGTTGGGGGGTGAGAGGCTATCGGTGAATCTCCAGGGACCGCGTGTTTTGAAAATTATTTGGAAAAGCTGACTTTTTGTTCCATCAGGCCAGCCCTGACTCAGGCCGTTGCCTTCGTTTCTGTAAGACGTCGGTTGAGCTCCACAATTCCGGTTTGTGGATCCCCCGAGAACCGACCCCGACCCCGACCCCGTCCTCGATCCAAACCTGGTTTTTCGCGGCACGGCAAAAGTGGAGACCATGACCAGTCCCGTCATGACCGGCGCTGGCCTGCGGGAGTCGCAAAGGCCCAAGGGTTGTCCCAAAACCTGGCTACTGCCTTTCTCGCAATCTCCTTGTCCGGCCAGAATGACTGAAAATAATTGAACACGGCGAATTCTTGTTCTGACATGAGGTAGAGATCAGGCCTGGTCACGACTTTGTTCCAGATTTTGTTGAAGGCGTCTGTGAGGAGCTTCGCGACCGTTGGTTCGATGGCCCCCTCCTCGCTTTCCCGAGCGAGTTCCAAGGCGAACATGACCGAGGAAGACGTTACTTTCTCGCGCAGGATCAGCTCTTGTTCAGGTGTGAGCCCATGCAGGGCTGCCAAGGCGGACTGTTCTTGTGGTGTCGTGAGGGAGGAGGGGACCATTGCGGGCGACTGTGACGGTATTGAGTTGGTTGTAGTTGACTGTTGATCGGTGGTCATTGTATGAAGGGAAGGAGGGTTGGTGGTCAGATCCGGTGGTGATATGGCAGCGAGGCAGCAAGGGCATAAAGTGGGCAGTGGGATCTGGTGTTCCTGTGTGGACAGCATGATTAGTGGGTTTTGGGGGTGCAAGACGGGTAGGAAGTGGTTTATACGGGTGAGCAAAAGAAGTGGGCAGAATCTGTTTGTCATTCATATGGCTGCCAACAAGGGAGTGTGATCGCTGAGCTTGACTCCTCCCTCCTATTTGATTGGCAAGAGAACCCTCCCTTCTTGTATCGGATGGCAACACAAGCGAGATCCATGTTGGAGCGTGTGAGGTACAAGTCGTGGGTGGATCAAAGCACACCAGCTTTGCTCAGCCACCACCATGTGGGTATGCATCCCGTTTTCCGCGTCCGAAGGACATGCAGAACGCTATTCATGAGCTAGAGGAGAGGACGTATTTGTACCGCAGGGCCGAAAAGCAAGAAATAGAGCGTCTCGTAAACTGACAGCGGCGGGGATCTGGAGGTAAGGCAACCTCGGCCAATGCCACGAGCTACCGGCCAGCTTCCGATTCCGTCCAAGGCAAGGTAAAGTGTTAAGAGGTGTCTGAGAAACGCCGTTGGGCAAGCTACTCAGCACACCAACCAGCACCTGGCAAGGAACATTCGTCCGAGTGAAGCACACGTGGATGGGCAGCCGTTCATCCCATTTTGGCACGTCAGATTGCTCGAGACGGGATGCTGATGACTAGACAGTTATCGTTCCAGTCTTGGTCTCCCATATCTGGTCAGTTTATGGTGATATTTTTGCATTCACTTCGAGTTTCAGGATTGTAGAAGGTATGCTATCTGCCAAACTCACAGCGAAAAGAAGCCAAACTACGTCGATGTCAAGATCGTAAGACTTCAAACGTCTGCCAAGATATGTATTTTCGGAGGGGTGGTGGGATGGGGGGCGAGCGATATGTAGCTGAGGGCCCAAGCGATGAATCGTGGAGCACGATGAGAAAGGGGGTAGTCGGGGACTTCTCGGGGACCTGGAAAGCAGATATCAAGGTAAGATCCCGCAACCATCGGACCTTATTCTCGAACCCAACGCAGACCTAGGGTAGGGTATCCTGGCTGATTCATCTGACTGTGAAAGCTCCAAGGAGGGGGCTTGATCATGGAGACGGGCTGCCTCCTGTAGGCGTTAGATTTCTCACCACAGGGCAAAGGTTAAAGTGTCCCTCGATTGGTAATGATGATGATGCCGTCAACCACTCTTCCAATGCCAGAGCCTCGGTACGGTCCATCCCTGGTGAGTAAGTCCCTGTCACTGGGCCATGGCTATGCCTCGCTCTGCTACCTCGTACCTCTCCCGTAGGGACCACCCGGTCTCCAGACGACGCGGGAGGGGTTTCCCGTTAACCGCCACGAGAGCAATTGACAACGCGAGGCGTGATTTGAAACCAGGAAACCTTGAAAGTCCGTCCAGAGAAGCAGAGGTGATTGGTCCTTGTACGAACGTTGCCCAGTAGCGTAAACCTTATTCTGACCTCTGCACTAATGCACAGGGTTCCCATGACCATGCCATGCAAAGTTGTCTCCGCCTCCAGACATTTCATCCCACATCATTGCCCATTTGACAGGACTAGTCGCTTGCTGCGGCTCTGACGACATGCTCCGACGTCGACTCGGAGAACTAACAGGAGGCAGCCCGCGCGCACTAACATCGCTTGCCTCGGCGACCCGGAATTGCTTTGCGTTTCGAAACGAGAGAGAAAGCTAAAAGTCTGTGTTTTGCGGAATTGTTCCGCAGTTCCATGTTGGACAGGACTCAGGGGGGATCTGCGCTGAACTTTGACGCCCCCCCCCCATATATTATGCTCGAGACATCCACGATATCCCGGGTCAAACAAAAGGAGACGATAAGTGGAACAGAGGTGATGTTACATATTCTATGAGGGAGAGGTTTCTCTAGACAAAATGCAGCTTTGACATACCATACTCAAACGCTATATGTCGGCATACAGTTGTCACAGGCGCGAGCAACCGCTTGGTCCAGAGACCACAGAGCCTACTCGAGGTCCTAGTCAGATGCCTTTTTGTGTGGCCTGACCGGGCGCTTGCCGATTTGCCAGCCCCAACCCCGAAGGGTCTTTACGATCTTGGGAGTGATAGCTGCTGTCAAGGGAATGCGGAAGAAGATGAAGCTTTTGTGAATAGCGTAAGCCAGCGCGAGCTGGGTTGCCAAGCCTAGACGAAATGTTAGGTTACGTGTCGTGACATGGCACAAAAGCACCGCATGAACTTACTGGCTCCCTCTCCCTTGTTTGCTTCCTCCGCTTCGGCTACGCCATGGCCCACCACTTCGGCATCAGCCTTGCCAGTGAGCTCTTGCTTTGCTTCCTTCAACGACTTGCGATACTCGTTCCATCGATTCTGAACTCGCTCCGGAATCACCTTTTTTGCGTTCGACACCACTACTTCTTCGACATGAGCTGTTCAACGCCAAGGCCACCAGTCAGCTTTGATTGTCCCAGCAGTATATACTACACTGGGGTAGCTCCTACCTATCCTCTCCGTGCCCACAGTCCGCACCAACAGAAAGCAGAAGGGAAAGTCCAAGACAGACAAAGCCAGGTAGATACCCATGGCCGTCCAACCGTACTCTCTCGATAGCTTCTTCAACCTATCGCGCAGGCTCAGCGACCCAGTGGTCTTAGTCCCATTCTTGGCCGACTCAGAATCCCCCCGCCTCGCTTTGGAAGAGTGAAAATTCCGCCGTGATGTGAAAAAAGAGTTTTTGAGTTGTTGGCGCGGGATGGCTTTCGAGGGGCTCTTGTTCGAGGCGGACTTGGTTGGTGAAGCCTGTCTAAGCTGTGACAACCTCGCCCTCCAATGCCATGGTAGTCCGTTGGTTGTATTGGCCGATATCCGTTTCGCCCAAAGCTGTCTCCCTGTGGTATTTCTGGTAATGGACAAGGCGCTCCGCTCCACAAGGGCCTCGAGCGTCCCGAAGGCTGTTCGTAACATGACGGCGTGAGTAATCGAAATTGTGTCGGTTTGAACAATGCTGTCTACAGTCCACCTCGCCCTTCCACCTTTTTTAACAAAGTCGTCACCGAAGGTTCCTTGCGCTGGTGGGGTTGTTGTCTCTCCGTTAACGCCGAGCTAGGGCGCGGCGAAGAGCGTCGTCACGGGCTCCCTCTCGGCTGACTGAGGAAGGGTCAACGGCTGGGCGTTCCTTTTCAAGGCTCGAGCTGTCGTTGTTGTTGTTGTTGATTTGTTGATCACCGAGCGGGTCACCGGGGGACGGTCGGCGGAGTGGTTCGATGTGGATCGGGATCGGGATGTGTGCTGAGTGAGTTCCGGACGTTGGATCTTTTTTTTCCCTCGTCAGGATAGCTCCGGGCTCCCGACGAAGCTCCTCCCGCTTTGGCACATGCGCAGTGATGCAATCATGTTCGATCTGGTGCGTTCTAATTGGACAATTATCTGTAAGCGGAGATTTCACCGGGCCGTTGGGGGAATGGTCTGGACCTTTTCCTGGAAGGGTGCCAGCCGCCGTCAGCTGCGATTGCCAAGGCCTGTGACACCTCACCTATACCCATGCATTGACTTTGGATGAAGTGACAACTCTCAAGGGCACCATTGTCGTGTAGAATGACAGGATCTATAAAAAGCCCCGAGACCGCCAACGACATGGAAGATACCCTAAAGATGCACCATGCAATCAATTCCGAATCGACGCCCAGATGGCTGGATGCTGATGAAGAATGCACTGGTACGACCCCTATGCTTGGCCGGCCAATCAACAGCTCAGTCTGCTCGCACTCATCCATCTAAGCGCCCTCGTCCATAAGCTCCCCGTGCCTGCCCACGGTAGGTGAAGCTGTCTGATTGGATCGTCAGCCATTTTCCCCCCTCGAATGCCGCTGTGGTGGGCAGCCTCGACAAGCTGCAAAAGCATGGGGAGGCGGCTGCGGGGTCGTTCGTTGCGCGGCCCTTCAAAAGCTGCCTCGGGTTGGCCTCTTCCCCGTTCCTGTTCCTCTTTTTTGTCTGTTCGTGAGGCTGTAGCTTGTTACTTTCCCTTAGTATTGTCAAATACATTCTTCTTCTTCATCTTCTTCAAAAACTACAGTGATACCCAGGACCTGTCACCAAAGTGAGTCCCTTGTGATATCAACGCGGGGAAACTTGTAAGTGCGGGGTGTAGGTCTGGATCCATGATCTGAAGGGTGCATGATTTGCTGCGCAATGCTAACAGTGTTTGAATAGAAGAAGAGAAAGTGCATCATCATACCCTCAGTGTATTCGTGAGTTCTACAGCATGTCCGGCTATTATCCTCGTGAGTCTTATTGCTTAACTCAACTCTGGCAACTGGATGCGCTGACCAGAATAGCCCCTCCCGGATCGGCCGGTGCTGGAAGTACGATGGACTGTTTACATCCTCAGTAGAGAGAATTCCATATGCTAATAACTTTTGACCTATCCAGCACAGAAGAGCTACCCGCCTCCACCGATGTCAGCTCCCCCGACTCAGACCAAGTTCTCCTACCCAGCTCCCCCAAGCAGCTCTCAGGGTAGAAACTACCCTCCTCCTCCTCAAGCTGCTGCCACACCACCCCCTGCTGCCTCTTCACCCCAGCAGTACCCTCCTCCTCCCCAGCAGCCACAATTCTCATCACCACCCCAAGCCCCCTCGCCGGCGCAACACGCTGCGCTGCCCACACACGCACGCAGTCAATCACAGACATCCCAGCAGCAGCAGCAGCCACAACAGTTCGCACCGCCTCCTTCATATCCCACAGAAGACAAGGATGCCTCTTATCCAGCCGAGAAGCAGCAACAGCAACAGCAACAGCAACAGCAACAGCAACCCGTAACCATGGATCCCTCCTCAGTAGCCAGCACCCTGCTCGGCGCCCCAGCCGCTGGCCAGTTCGTCGGTGCTACCTCCACAGTAGTAGACGACGTGGGCACCTTCAACGGTGGCTCCTACCGCATCAGCCACCGCGACTGCAATACCGTCCTCACAATCCAGCTCGCCATTGGCTGCCCCTTTGAGGCGAGACCCGGAGCCATGATTGCCATGTCCCCGTCTATCCAGCTCAAAGGCTCCTACAAGTTCAGCATGAAGAAGCTGGTGGCGGGCGGCGAGATGAGCCAGTCACACTACACCGGTCCCGGAGAGCTGCTGCTCGCGCCGCCGATGCTGGGCGACATCACGAGCTTGAGGCTGACCGGGAACGAGTCGTGGTCGGTGAGCCACGATGGGTATCTCGCCAGCACGCAGCATGTGATCAAGGACTACAAGAGGCAGGGGCTGGGGAAGGCCATGTTTAGCGGGGAGGGGCTCTGGGTGTACAAGATTAGCGGGACGGGCCTGTTGTGGCTGACGAGCTTTGGTGCCATTATCAGGAAAGACGTGAGTTTTGTTTTTTCTCCCGCCCAGTCTTGACAATAAACATTCCGGAATGCTAATGTCATGGAAACAGCTGGCCGAAGGCGAGAAATACATCGTGGACAACGGCCACTTGGTCGCCTGGAACGTCAAGTACATCATGGAGCGGGTCACCTCGGGAGGCATCATTTCGGGCTTTGCGTCTGGTGAAGGTCTCGTCTGCAAGTTCACCGGCCCAGGGACGGTGTTTATTCAGACCAGAAACGCGGTATGTTTTCTTCTTTTTTCTTTCAGACCCCTTCTCCTGACAAAGGACTGCGTGACTGACAATAGCAACAGAGATCATTCAGTGCTTACATGACTGGACAACAGAACGGCCATGCTTAGGGGGGGAGGTCTGAGTTTGTCTTGGGAAGACGGAGAGGAAGAGGTTATACCATGAGAGGATGTACTCATTCTGAATTTTGAGTTGATAACTTTTGGTTTGGTTCGGGTTGATGGTCTGACGGAGTTTGATTGGATTGAGCACATTGAACGAATGCCTTTGCCGTTGGTTTTGAGACTGAGAGCACGGTTCAGCAGTCGCGTTGTTTGGGCAGCAAATTAGTGTGCCTTCTCCTAGGGTCTTCATAGTGCAAGTGTTTTTTTGTATGATTACGATGATAATTTTAAATGGCCGCTGCTCAATTTGGCGTCATAGTAGAGGTGAATATGGACCTACCCCTGAATCCCCCTTTTTGAAATGAGACCCCCTTAGGCCCTGACCCTACAAAACAACATGTATTCACAAATTTCAGACATAAAGTTATGACTCTCAAGACAAGAACAGCTCCTATATTTGCAAACTAACCACACCCTTCCAACCTCATAAGCAACCTCTGCCTACCGCGGCCACCCATCCCATCAACAAATTGACAAGAAAAATTACTATGTACCTCTGCATCTTCTCTCGTTTTTGCTCCTGACCAGTTTTTATGTTGGTCGTTGGCACAAAGAAAACCCGACTGACCCTTTTTATTCCCCTTGCCTTGCCGGTCCAACACTAGATACCCAAAAAAAAACATGGCCCATATACACGAGCTACCCCATCCCAAGAAGCCCTCGGCCAATCCTACACTTCAATGAGAAAGGGTTAAGAAAAGAATAAAGAGCAAAGAAGATAGATATAGCAGATCCTGGCGGGCAAGCCCGTCTCGTCCAGCATAGCAGCAGAGACGGCAAACCCACCGAGCATTCTAGAAACCCGCCCAAAAAGCAGATTGGGGGTTGGAATCGTGCTAGAAGAGAAAAAAAAACAGCAAACGCCCTACGCCTTGCTCGGAAGAACGAAGAGAAAAAAAGACCAAAATCCAAAAACGCCTTGCACCGAAATAGTATGCTGATTATATCTTCGTCCAAGAAGCAACCGCCAGATTATAAGAGATATGACAGAAAGTGTATTGAAAGGCGGGAGATCAAGATGCAGTTCAGGCCGAACCATTTATACGAGGGCCATGGGCAGTTCCCTTAGCCTTAGGTGCAACGGCGTCTCCATTGGTGAGAGCAAGGGGGTCGGAGCTCTCTTGGCCTGGCGTCTGTGCCGGGGTCTGGTTTGGCGAGGTTTTCTTTGTCGTCAAGCTTGATGTCTCGGGCTCTTCCTCAATGGTGGCAAACTTCTTGAGCACTTGTTTCAATGCCGGCCGTCGGATAGGCTTGCTCAGGAACTCATCCATTCCCGATTCCATGCACTCCTTGACATTGGACTCCTCGGAGAATGCGGTCAGAGCAACAATGGGAGCAGAGTAACCCATCTTTCGGATCAATCGAGTGGACTGGAGACCATCGAGATTTGGCATTTGAATGTCCATGAAGATGACATCGAAGCGCTGGTTGTTCTCCATGTTGGCTTTGACAAGATCATATGCTTCTTGCCCGTCCTTGGCAATGGTCACATCGTAGATATCTTCCAGCTTGAGCATTCGACTGACAACTTCAATGTTGGTCGAGTTGTCATCGGCCACGAGGACGCGGAGCTTCCCTTGCTCAGGTGGCTTGTTTTCCATGGCGCGATCAATCACGGCCAACTGATCCTCTGCAGTAGGGCGGGCTGTGAGATTTGTCGCAAAAAATGGCTGTCTCAGGCCTACTAGGCGGGGTTGCTTATCGAGCACGGTAGATGGCGGAGGCTGGACGTCGTTGGAGGCTCTAGATAGCGAATTCCGCCGGTCAGCCTCAGCAGCCGCGCGCCCGTCTGCTGAAGACACGCTCTGTGGACGAGACCCAATACTACTGGATGCTGTACTGGAAGCGCTACGAGAAACAATTAGCCATGACCACGTCATCACCATGAATAAAAAGGCTTGTTGACTTACCGATCTCTAATGTACTTGAGTGGTATCTGCATGGTGAACGTCGTACCAACACCAACAGTACTCTTCAGCGAGATACTACCGCCCATGATGGTCGCCAGCTGCGAGCAGATGCTCAGTCCCAGACCGGTGCCGCCATACTTCTTACTCAGGCCCAAGTCGCCCTGTACGAAAGGCTCAAAGATCTTTTGCTGCATGTGCTCGGGGATACCAGGGCCTGTGTCTTCCACTTCGAATTCGAACATGTACGTTCTTGCATTCGGCGGTGGAGGTGTTGGTGAGCGCTCTCTGATTTGAATGTGGGTGGAAACCTTTCGATCAACGGGGTTGATGGAGAGCGCCGTGCCATCTGTTTTTGGTGGTGGTGACGCTGGAGACTGCCCGCCCTTGGAACTGGCCGAATGTGTCGACCCGGAACCCATGCGATGACGCGTTCGTCCCGGGCGGTTGGACCCATTTTTGGAGAAGGACGATGTCCTACTCTCATCACTTGGCTGCTCGATCTCACCAAGACACCTGATCCTGAGCTCAACCTTGCCTCCTGCTGGCGTGAACTTCAAGCTGTTGCTCACCAGGTTAATGATGACTTGCAAGATACGATGCTGATCTCCCCAGAGACACATATCCTTCAACCTGCCGACACCAGGGGGGCCCAGAGCAGGAAGCCGTTTGTCGATGCTTGTCCGTTCTGGACTTGGGTTTCCGTCGATGTATTCGGTGCCGACAAAGTTAACAGCAAAGCTGACCTTGTTCTCCCGGACTTGCTTGTCAAAAATGGCAAGCATCTGTGATCGAACCTCACCCAACCGGAAATCCCGCTCTTCAAGGCTGACTTGTTGCCCAATTTGGTTCTTGGAGAAACTGAGCAAGTCCTCAAGCAGATGGAGCAGCAAATCTCCCGATTTGTAGAGCGTTTTGAGCGATTGCTTGATACGAACGATGTCGTCTTCCTCCATGCAAACTGCACACATGCCCATAATTCCATTCAACGGTGTCTTGAGCTCGTGCGAGATGTTGGCGATAAACAGGGTCTTGCTCTCGTTTGCAGCCTCGGCAGCCTTCTTGCTGATCTCGAGCTCCCTGGTCCGTTCGGCCACTTTCTCGTCCAGCGAGGTGTATTGCTTCAAAAGCTCATCCGTCATTTCGTTGAATGTTTGCGTAAGCTCCGTCAGCTCGTCCGTCACAAAGTGCTTGCGGTCCTCCACACGTGCTGGTATCTTGAACTGTCGACGAGTGGGTTCATTCGAAATGCCCTGCCGAGCCTTGGCTCGTCTACGTCTGCGGATGTGACGGCGAATCTTGCCCACGATCGTTTTTTCGGATAGCCGCCCGGAAGTTGTGCCCCCCGAGCTGGGGTTTTCTTCGTCATACGAGTCGCTGTCTTCATCCTCGTAACCTGGCGGGGCGATCGACTTCTCTGTGGCAGACTTGAGCCTCAAAATGGGCATAACACTGAGATGGGCGCAAGGGAAGATCAGGAGCAGCACAAGTCCCAAGGTGCCAAACACACAGGCCAAGAGGATGCTCCTGAGGGTGTGAATGGGTTCAAAGGCCTCATTTGCATCTTGTTCTACCACCACAGCCCACGACACCAGTGATGTTTGCGGTCGGGCAGCACCCACCGCCACCGAGTGCCCTTGTTCGTTGGTAGTAGTCAGGTCGCTGATTGCATAGTTGGGATGCTCAAGGTTTTGCTTGCGGAAGACGTCGTGAACCATGGGATAAGAAGTTACGGGGAAAGGAGCGCCAAAGTTTCCCGACTCATAGCTGTGTTGGTCATGACGATCATCCTGATCCTCTGGCGGATGGGGTGGGAGGAGGAAGTGTATATCTTCTTTGGAGAACTCGTCCGGCGGCGGTTGCCATGTTTCATTCGATGCCGCTACCCGCCTCTCAAAGTGATTCCAAGGGTTCGTAGAGCCCATGAAAAGGACCACTCCCGTGCGACCCAGCCCTTCCCGAGACCTCTGGACATCTATCAAGGTATTCGCAGTGGCAACGAGTGTCATGTATCCCAATATATAACGGGGCTGGTCGTTCTGGCGAACGGGGACGGTGATGGAAACCAGGGCAAAGCTGGAGTTGACAACTAGAGGGCCAAGCAGGATGCCATTTCCATCACTTCCGTTGCCGAGAGACACGCCGGGGAAGACCTCGGCGGAGAAGGATGTCGTGTTGACGAACTGGTGTTGCCGGCCGTTATTTCGGTAGCTGATGTTTGGATAGAGCATGGGCGGGAAGCCGTTGCCATAAGTATCGTCTCCAAGCACAACCGGCAAGCCGTTACTTCCCAGGTAGGGAAGATAAATGGGGCCACCGTTTCCGTTTCCGGTGATACTCAATAGCCCATTGGCATTGCCGGTTGAATTCCTCGAGTATAAGCGGCCTTGCACAAGTCCCGAGAAGCCTGAGCTGCCGAGAGCGCTTTTGAGATCGGCGACGGCTTCCACCCAGGGATCTTCGCTTCCAGGTTCGGTTTTCCCTTGATAATAGTTCTTGAATGCTTGTTGCAGCATCAAGCGCGTCGAGATGGTAAGACATGTTGTCTGAATCAGATCGATTTCGGATGATATCCTTGCAGCCTTGAGCGAGGCAGTCAGAAGCAGACCACCCGACTCAACGCCAATGACAAAATTGTTGACAAATATCCATGTTGGAATCGAGACAATGGCGAGCGCAACGAGGACGGCAAATATCACAAGGGCTGCGAGCTGCTCCCGGATCGCGACTCTCATCTTCGGCAGACTTCGGCAGACTATAAAAGACAGTCTGGACGGGTCTGTCGGGGCCGATGCATGCTGCTTGCTGTAGGGAGGCTCGGAGCTTGGTGGGCGTGTCGACGGGACCGTATCGTGACAGTTCGGGGGAGGGAGGGCGATATCCAGGGCTTCGGTTGCTCGTAGGTGAACGGCGATTAGACTCAATACCGGCTCGACCGAGTCATAAAGATGCGGACAGGATGGTGGCCGACAGGTGTCGTCTGTGGGTTATGTGCGTCAGTTCGGTTTTCGGATAGTCAAAGCAAGCCGAGATAGATCGGGAGGGCCTGTCAGGTCAGGAGGTTCGGATGATCTGATTGCTGGGGACAACACGTGGCTGACAAAGAAGACGAACAGGACAGGCACAAGGCGGGCGAGAGACGGACAGACTGACAGCACTGACAGACAGATGATAGAAGGACGAAATCAATCAAAAAGCGAAACCGTAAACGACGTCTGAGCTCTGAGCTTCTAGCCCCAGGGCGGGAACCTGTCGAGGCTCTCAATTGATTGCGGCGGCGGGTTCGCGGGTTCAGATGGAGCAAATCTCCAGGTTCCAAGGATTTTTGGGACAGGGAAGCTGAGCGAACACGTCCACGCTATGCCCGTCGGGGCTAGCAACCACCCTGAAGGCGGACACGGATATTTGCAAGCTCTGGTCTGATTCGTCCCGGCCCTTCGGTCGGGCCTAGAACAGTGCTGCCAAGCCGTTGCAGGCACTTCGTCGGAGCACGTCCCATGCCTGTTGGTCGCTGCACCTCATCGCTTCATCGCTTGGTGATCGCTGATCTCAAGAAGTCTTGTCTGCTGAGTGAGCCGAGCGTGCCCATTTTCGATCGCTTTCTTGGTTGGACGGCATGGGATTGTTATCAATGCTGATGCCTTTTTCTTGGACGCCCTCGAAACACCAGCACTTGGCAGCCAAAGCAGTCAGTCAGTGTCACAGAGTTTCTGTTTCGGACCCTGTCACACCGTCTGCTGTCTCTGTCCTAGGTAAGGTAGGTACTGAGGGATTTCTAGAATTCAAGGTGCGCATAGTTCGGTGATACCAAAAGATAAGTAAGGTACAGAGACTTGAGATATATCATATCATGGTAATGATCGTCAAGTCGATGATGATAAATAACAATGTTCAGAATAGTAACGTAAAAATGGTCGTAAATGTCATAAAACAACTGCCACCCACCGCCCAATCACACACCCTTCCATGTCCCGCCATCCCCAACACCAGCGATGATGCCATTCCCAAGGTATCTTTGTTTGACCGGTCCGTTGCACCTGTACCTTGCCAAAGTATGCCAGCCAGTCCTTTTTTTCCGTCCTTGAATCATAAATACATAACACCGTGTCTTGTCATCCCCGTCCGTTCATTCGTTAACATGAGAGAAGACAGAGAAAAAAAGGTGTTGATAAAGAGTGACAAGAAACCCCATTAAACCACCTCAAGACCTGGCAAAAATAAGCGGCACCAACACGCTGCCGTTACTCTCCATGGTCACCCTCTGCTGATCCGACCTGCACTCGGCCACATTCGCCATGCTCTTTCCAAACAGCCCTTCCCGGATCCTGCATCCGATACTGTTATTGCCTCCGCCCACATTGTGGCTGCTAGCATTGCCTCCGGTATGCAAAGGGTGCAAAGGTAAATCGGCAAGGCTCATCATCCCAGCGACCTGCTGCACCGCCGCCGACCCCTTGTTCTTTTCACTGTTCGCGTTGGCCTTTCTCGAAAACTCTCTCGAGAGCTTCGTCATGACTGCCTCCCTCGCTCTCTTGAGCGCAGACGACCTAGCCTCACGCTCTTGCGCTTCGGCAAGCATGTCCGCTTCGATCAATCTCTGTGCTGGGCTCAGACCGTCGTCTTCATAAAGCCCATGGTCTTCCTCTCCGACAACGGAGCACACGAACGGCCCGGTCTTGGCCGAGGGGTCGTAAACTGTTGGCTGGAGGAGGACGGGGAAGGGGTCCGGGTTGAGGAGAGGGACTGAGATCTCGATTCTGGAGCTGCCCCTGTTATTTCCGGTAGGGGATGGGGAAGGGGCCGGGGAGACAGAATGGGAGGAAGACAGAGAGTTAGACCGGGTGAGGGGGGGTGGCGTGGATGGACCAGGGGAGGTATAGTAAGGGTGCTGCGAGTTGAAGTAGGACTCGTCGTCAGAGCCAACCACCTCCGGCATGGACGGCATTGTAGGGAGAGCTGGGAGAGCATCATCCAAGGAGTGGTGGCGACGGTGACGGCGGCGACGTTGGAGACGAGGACGGGATTCAGAGCGTTCACGATCTTTGGTTTCTTTGGGGGTGGTGGAAGCCGTCTCGTCGCTGCGGCTGCGCGAGTGTTTGAGCGTAAGCTTGCTGCTGCTCTTGCCGAGGCCGGGAAAGTGGCGAGTGCTCTTTTCCTTTTCTTTTTCGGTGCTCTTCTGGCTCTTGCGCTCGTCTTCTTCATCGTGGTCATGGTGCCTCCTCTTCTTTCTCAATCTCCTCTTCCTAAGCGTCGTGCTGAACCCTTCGCTCGCCTGCTTGGCGGCCTCAATGTCAGAGGCGACGTCATCATAGTCATCCAAGCGGTCGTTGCTGGCAGACGCAGAAGCAGCGGCAGCAGTAACACCCCTAGCCCACTCCTCCACCCCGGCCTCGAAGTTGTCGACGTCGTTGACGCCGCCAAAGACCATTCCCTCCAGGTCGACCTCGAACAACTCCCTGCTTGCCTCGGCCGCAGCCGACGACGGTGTGACAGCTTCGTCCTCCGACGAGTTTGCCACCGCAGACCCTGCCGAGGTATTTGTCCTGGATGTCCCGGGTCTTGTGTTTGAGCCTGCGGAAGCGAATGATTTTCTTGACCAGCTGTCGGGACTGCCGCCCTCTTCTTTGTCCACCAGTGGGCCCAGCGCATCGTCCCAACTGCCTCTGATGAGTGCCACATTGTCAAAGTCAAATTCCCTGACAGTGCCCCGATGGTCGGCGACGAGTCCCTTCACCTGCTGCCCATTCATCGTCGCGTTTTTGACCGCCATGCACCTCAACTTGGGCATCACGAGCGAATGTCTAAGTGGTTTGGGCGGAAGAGGAGACATGGGGGAAGTGACCTCGTTGAACAGCTTCTTGGAGTGTCTTGGGGCGGCGAAAAGGGGGTCGCCAGAGAGGGCAATGGGGCAGGGTCCCTTCCTCCCAAGCCAAGTGAATGAAAACTTTTCCAGCTGAGGGGCAAACTCCCGGATGTAGTCGTCAATAATCTTGAGGTGGTCGAGACCGGGGGCAGGGCCATAAAAGTCCCAGCTCTCGACAGAAATGTACAGCTTCTTGATTTGACGCCATCGGAGGGCCGCCGAGGGGAGAGCGCCGAAGCCCGGCTTGTGACGGAGGTAGTTGAAGGAGGAAGGGTGAACACCAGAGAGCGAAAGCTTGGTGAGCTTGGTGAGAGGCGCGCGCTCGACTGAGATGCGGAGGCTGATGAGGGCGTAATCAACAATGTCCCTCCGGTAACGCTCACTGGGCTCCTGGCCGGGAGTTCTGATGGTGAGGTGGCGCATGTTGGTCATGTGCTTCATGGCGTTGATGAAGGAGGGAACATTACTGGCCGCATGGAAAAGAGGCGGGTACTGCTGCGTGAGGATGTCGCCGAGCTCCGAATTGCCATACTTTGGCCTTGTGAGCGCCGAAGCCATGGACGTGTGGGGGTTGTACAGAAACAGGATCTCCTGGCCTGTCTGTGGGTGAATGAGAGGGGGTAGAAAGGTGGCATTGGAATGGGGAAAGGTGAAGCTGAGGTGCTCGATGTGGTGGCCAATCCTTGACAAGGCCTGAATGCGGTGAGGATTGGTGAAGGTGTTTGATGTGAAGGTCAAGTTGATGCGGACAAACAGCCGCCTGGTGACGAGATTGCAGCAGGCCGAATTGGCCACTCTCACGGCACAGAGGTCCTGCTTGGACAAGAGCTCGAAGAATCTCTCGCGCACCGTCTCCTCCTGCCAAAGGTGGTAGAATAATTGTGTACTTGACGCCATAGCTCTAGCATGTCGTCAAGAAACACAACCAACACTGGAATGTTTGGGAACTGCCAGGAGCCCTGCGCCAAGCAAAACGTGGTGGTTTCAAGTGAGGTGTGTAGGTGAGATGTGTAAGTGAGATAGGTGTATAGCAAACGCTGTGGAGGTGAGAACCTGAGAACCTGAGATTTCTGTCAGAGACGAGAGAGAAAGAGAACGGGTTGTATTTCTCGCTGAGAACCGGGAAATAGATATCTGCTTGATCTAAAAAGAAGAGGTGTGATGGGGAAATGGGAACAGAAAAATTCTTGATCACCGGACGCGCGAGAGAAAGCCCGTGGACCAAGTTATACAAGCCCCCCCTTCCCCTTCTCCTCCTCCTCCTCCCCTACCGACTCAACAACCTCCCAATTTTCCCCCTTCGCGGTTCCTCTCTCGTGCGCGATTTCGCTAGGGGTCATGGTTCGTCGTCGCCCCAGATGGCCGACCTGGGAGAACGAGTGGTGGTGAGTGACTCATTGTCCCATGTCCCTCTGCAGCTCTGGACTGGACATGCAGCTGGACAAGCGTGGATTTAAGGTAGGGCCAGGGACATGAGAACAGTGCTGCGACCGCGACCGACGTGTGCGGACCGCGCCGGGTCTCCTGAGTGGCCTGGAGGCTACGAGACCTGCATGCGACAACTGCGGCCGTCTGCAGGCTGTCTCAAGGCCGCCTCTTCTCGACCACTGGGAGATGTTGAAACGGCACTTGAAGTTGCGGGGAAGGCCAGGGGGGGAAGTCGCTATCGATAAAAGACAGGGCGGGAGGACAAGACAGGGTCCTCGTCGACGGTGACTTTCTGTCCAATCGATGGCGTCGAGAACGTTGAGATAGCTCTTGGCAGGCCACGTCGCGCGAAACACGCGCGATTGGTGCACGAAACTGGCGCGATGCTGGTTCCGCGGCCGATCACATAAAGCCATTAAGCGCCCCGCCCGTCTTCCAGAACAATGTCGCCTTTGCCTTAGGCCTCCATGGCCCACGTTGGGTTTCCTTACATGCCGATATCGAATATTTCACTCAAAAGGAGCACCCATCCCATGCTCATGCTCATGCTCATGCTCATGCTCATGCTCATGCTCATGCTCATGCTCATGCTCATGCTCATGCTCATGCTCATGCTCACAGTCGTGGACATATCAAAAACCACCGCCTTCCGAGGCCTCACTTTCAAATTGCCGAGAAAGTCTTTTGAGTCGCGACCAGGACGCGCCCCCCACTTCCTCCCGGTGCCCAACTGCCGGCCTATCAGAAATGTTTCGAAACTTCTCCCCCCCCTGCTGCATCGTCTGTGATTCGCAAGCGGTGTGCTTCAAACTGCCACCACATAGAGAGGAGCAGTTGAGTGGACTGGTCATGGCATGTGGATCATTGGTAGCATCATGTCGTGGTATTCTTTCTCTTCCTGCAGGACTTCGCAACTGGTAGAGGCTTTATCTCATCTATCACTTCTATTTCTCGCTGTTAATAGCGACCTCGGCCCCTACCCCCACCTCCACTTCTGCCCCCGCCCCTACTTCCTCCACCGCCGTGTTTTCTCCCAAAAGAATTGTGCCCTGGAGGTAGCGGAGGAGGGGGCCCACGCGGTAGTGGTTGCACCGACACCGCCGGAGGCTTTGGAGGGAGGCTGGATGGGTATCTCACGCTGGGTTTCTCCTGGTTTTGACTGCCATTCCCACTGTATCCAGAGAAGGTAATGTGCCCAGACCACGCCGGCTTTTGAACAATGGGTTGTATGAACTCATCATCATCGTCGTCGTCTGACTCGAACTGAATGTGCTGGCGAGGGACAATGCTTTTACCAAGATCCGGTCTGCCACCTGATCTGTAATCTCCTGCAGACCGGTGACCGCCGCGGTAGGCAAGGGCCGTCTCTGAAGAGTTTGGATCCACGTACTGGCTTGCGTTCGCCTTGGTGAATGGGTTGAAGCTGCTGCCCTTTTTCTCCAGCGCGCTGAGCCCGCAGTCGCCACCATAGTGCCCCTCAGCACCACATCGGTAACAAAAGACGGGTAAGGACTGGACTTTGGGGGTGTTGGAGGGGTTGGGTCGGAAGCTTCTCGTCAAGTTGACGCAGCTATACTCAATGTGGTCGCGCGAGCCGCAGAGGGCGCAGTCCATTTCGTCCTGGGCTAGTATCAGTCGCTCTTTGCACTCAGCCACAGAATGCCCAAGTTGCTTGCACTTGGAGCAGCGTTGTCGAGCAGGGCAAGTCCAGCAAGGGTGGTCTTTGTGGCAGAACTTGCAGGCCATCTCGGGGCACTCGGCCGAGTTGTGCTCCGAAGAAGCGCACATGACGCAAAAGACAGCGTCCGGAGCAAGGCCGGGAAAGTACCGGTCCCGGTACGCCATTTCCCCCTCTGTGAGCGGAATGAATTTGACCTCCTCGTTCCCGTCGTTGACTGGTGCTGCGAGAGGCAAGGTTTCCTCCGCAACCACTGTTTCTGGGACTGGTTCCTCCCCGGCCTCCTTCTCCTTGGGCTCCTCTTCTTCTGTCTCTTGCTCGTCGTCTAACGGCCGACTAGAAAGCAGAGAGGCAACCCTGCCCTTGTTCTTCGCCAGGTAATTGCTCGCATTACGCCTGGCTGCCGTGGCTCTGATTTTCGGCAGCCCATCAATCGTACCAATCCATTGATTGTAAGCCGTCAAGATCCTGTTGAAGTCTCGCGGTTCCTTGGTCTTGATCTTCTTGGAGTTGATTTCAGCCAAGTCCTGGCACCATATGGTGAAGATGTGTTCCCATGCTTGGTCGTCTTTGGCGTCCAGGGGAAGTGCGGACTGGTTTGGCCGAATGGGTTGGGTCATGCCTCCAGCCTCCCAAGTTGTCAGTGGCTTGTTGCTGTTTTCGGATTTGCCGGTATCGCTGGTCGCTTTGTCTGTGCTGCGGTCACTCTGCTGCTCTGCAGGCGATGCTGGTTCGTTCTCCGGAGCAAGAGCTGCCGATGCCATCTCTGTGAGGGCCTCTGGAGTGAATTCAAAACTTTGAGCTGCCCGTAGTGCCGCCGTCTGCGCCAGCGGGTCTTGCTTTTTTCGATTTTGCAGCCAGTTCGACCAGGCCTCTCGCAGAACCTTTGGGTCTTTAACTCCCTCGTGGTCCTTGTTCAGCCTCATCAGTTCAATACACCAATGCTTGAACCTGGCATCCCAGGATCGTCGTCGAGAGTTTTTAGGCTGACTCGGATATCCATCTGGTGTAATCAGACCCTCAATAGACGGCCTTGCCTCAAGCTCGACGGCAGCATCTGGCTGACCTTGGACCTGGGGTTTTTCTTCGGACGGCTGCCCGGACTCCGCTTCTGGGGCCTCTGGGACTTGATCACCCTCAGCGTTTGTTTGGGGTGGCTTCCTGAGCGAGGGAAAGGATATCCTCAACCCGCCATTGACACCAGCATTCCAGCCATTATGAGCTTTGGCGAAGGGCTGGACTGGCGTGAAGCTCTCCGGTGCCGGCGACGAGCCAGACTTGGAATCTGTGATCTCCCCCTCATCCTTCTCATCAGGCTCGACAGTCCTTGTGCGTTTCCTGGTTGAGTCCACATCCTCTTCGCCTGCTGGACTGGAAGGTTCCACCTCTGAAAGAGATCTTTTCCTGGCAACTGGGTGGTCGTCCACCACAGTATCTTGCGCTGTATCCATGTTGAAGGTTCTTAAAATAGCCGTGGTGAATGAGAGGACGAAAGGGAATGATGGTGGTAATGTCGTCTCGGCAGGCAGGGGATGACGCGTCTGCGGTCTGCCTTCCGCGATGAGATGTCAAAAAATTAATCGAGAAAAAAGCGGCCGGCCAAATCCCTGTCACTGCCAAGCCAGCTGGTGATGTTCTCGAACCTTGATAAGTAAGCTGTCTGTAGCTTTGGGGGGAAGACCCAAGATGGTATAGCTTCACAGTATTAGGGGGAGACAGTCAGTCTTCACCATGACCGGGGCCAAAGCCCAAAGAGTAAAGAGTAAAAACGTAGATATCGTTGACGAGGCCTGATGATGAAAGAGATGATGTTGATGTTTTGTGGGTCGACTTTGGAAATGGAGCAAGCAGCAAACAGGCGGGAGAGAAAGCCACACATCTCTGATAGCAGCCTAACGGCAACAGATGTTGGGCCGCCTGACAGTCGGTTGCATCACTATCAAATCTCACTACGCCCCAGGGTACAGGGCATGGAAGTCCCTAATAAATACGAGGTCGGCCCATCAGCACATGTCGCAGCGGCCGCAGGCAGTAATTTGCAATGGCCGGCATTTAAATGTTAGTGCTGCACGTCTTCTCCTCCGCAATCTCGGGCCAATCTGCGCAGTGGAGGTACCTGACAGGCCATCGCCTGGGGGGGTCTGATTCTGGCCAGATTGCCACCTTGAACCACCACCTCTCACCAGCATTTGCGCATTTTCCCCATTGTCACTGGCTGTCGTGGCTATCCCGGCCATCGGACGCCGAACCCAGCCAACTTCCGCTCGCTGCATCTCCATATCAACACCCGCTCAGCCTCTCCCTCTGGTACCTGAATCCTGTGTGCTCTCACTCCGAGTCTCGAAGAGCAGTACACTACCTACTACAGAATACACGTTGTAATAAAAAGCAGAATACGTCGCGAAAAAGGGCAGCCAGATCAGTGCCCGTCTGTCCTGTCAGGGGGGAGCCGCGTCCACTATTTGTCTCCTCTTCAGACCCCTTCCTTGCCTCACGCACCTCTCTTCGGCTTTCACGGAACATCGATTCTTCAAACGCCCCCACAAGCTCTCCGCCGCAGCCTCACTCATGCACTCGGCTTCTGGACAGACCACGCAACTTCTTCCTGTGCTGTCTGTTGTCCAGCTCGGCGATTGGTTGTGACATCATCCCACTGGCGATACATCTGGCACTGGCATTGGCTGTGTCAATCCTCCGCGTGTGACCTCGCTCGACCGACCGCATTGCTCCCCAACCTAACTCCCGGCCGACCGATCGTGCTTCGTGCCCGTTTCCTCCAAGCTCCCGGTCCGGCTTCTCGATCCTGTGTGTCGCACCCTTCGCCGACCGCCAACACCGCCAAGCTGTCTTCCCCAATCCTCATACCACGCACCGTCTCTTACGACGCGGGCGCCAATCCTCCGCGTCGTGGATCCACGCACGGAAACATGGCAGACAAGGCCGGCCGAAGAAGGAGGTCTAGTAGTATCCTCCAGGTCTACCATGAGCCACCAGAGCCGATTGAGCAACTGAGCGACCAGTCTGCCCTGCCGAACCTGAACGCCAACTGGGTCAATGCTAAAGGTACAGCCTTTTGCCTTTGTGCTTTTGTGATATCTGGTTTGCCGAAATCAACTCTTTCAGGAAGGCTGGGGGGAGCAGCGGAGAGTGTAACAAGCTCTGAGAGGGGAAGACGATCAAGGAAGGACTCAAAGTAGAGGAAGACCCATGCTAATATCTCTCTCTCTCGGCCAGGTGCATGGACAATTCACTTTGTCTTGATCTTTGGCCTCAAGATCTTCTACGACAGTCTCCCCGGCGTTTCACAGGAGACATCATGGACGTTGACCAACATCACGTACATGTTTGGCTCCTACATCATGTTCCACTACGTCCGCGGCGTGCCATTCGAGTTCAACGGCGGAGCGTACGACAACCTGAACATGTGGGAGCAAATTGATGATGGAGCCCAGTACACGCCCGCCAAGAAGTTTCTCCTGAGCGTCCCCATTGTGCTCTTCCTCCTGAGTACGCACTATACGCACTACGATTTGGCCTATTTTACAATCAACTTTCTCGCTGTTCTGGGAGTCGTAATTCCAAAACTGCCCGTCGTAAGTTTTGTTCCCCTCAGTCTGTTTGTTCCCCTTTGGCTGGAAACGTCACTTCTCACACATGATAAACGTACAGAGTCACCGCATGCGCGTTGGACTGTTTTCGGGAGTGCCTGAAGATTAGGATGCATTTGGGGCGTTAGGTTCATGGTTTCGATAGAGGCAGAGAATGTGAAGGTATCACCAGGCAACAGGTAGCGGCGAGGAGGTAGGGAAGATAGGGTGGGGAAGCAGCAGTCGATGATATCGATCATTTCCATGGGGAAGACGGCATCGTCAGTTGAACAGGCAATCAGATACAATCATTGACCCGATCCCAAGAAGACCCGGTTCCACACTCGCCCCTGTACTCGTACCCATTCCGACTTGAAGGTTTGCCCCAGGCTGAGCCGTCCGGAGGAAGAACTCGGCAGCAACTCCACCTGCCCCTCGCAGCCGACTCAGGATGGCTTCGGCAATGGGAGATGTGGCAGAGGTGTGTGCCCTCAGAAGCCCCTCTCTGGTCAATACGGACTTCCTAACACGCCAAAACTACGCCACAAAGCATACTCTTGACAGCTCCAAGACCGGTCCCCGCTGTCAATACTGTGTTTTCGTGTCTTCCATGCCGTGCTAGGGACGCCGTCGGTCCGCTCCAGTCCAACACATTCGGAGTCCATGGTGCCATGGCCCATGGGGGCTTTCCCCAACAAACCTAGATGCAAGCCGGACATTGATGACGGCACGGAACCGATCCTGTGATCAGCCATAAAATCAATTTAGAAATGTCCTTCCCCGAAACGCATCTTTCTAGATCTTCTTCTGTCCCCTCACTCGGTCACTTCCACGACACCCCTTCTTCAGTTTTTTTCAGCGAGGTAGCAGCAACCCTCTTGCTCCTCCTGTGTGTTGAACGTCGCCTCCGGAAGCCATGAAGGCCTCAATAGTGGCCCTTGGTGCCGCATTGGTTATCAAGGCTGCTCCCTTTCCGGTGTCATCTATATCACCTGAACCGCTCGAGGCAGCATCAGCCGATACCATTCCCCCGGCTTCTGCTGGCCCCATCTCCTCTCCCCTTCCCTTTTATCAGGGTGCGGAAGGAGATGACGAGCTCGCCGACAGACTGTGCAAAGCCGGCGGCAGCGGTGTCTTCTGCCACACCAAGACTCTCGTGAGACCAGGTCTCACAGTCTACTCAACCAGGCCCATCGTCATACCCATTGCCCACACCAGAACCGTAGCTGCGTGGCAGCCAACATCGGGAGCTGCCACAGTTGCCAGTCCTCACCCCTCGGCCGAACCATCCGCCCAGTCTTCTTTGCAAATCTCTCCCATCGCTTCTCCTTTGGCCTCCTCGCTTGTCTTTCCCCGGCCTTCACCTGAACCGAAGGTCGAGGTGGAAGTCAAGACTGAGGTGAAAACCGAGGTCAAGAGCGAGCTCGAGATCGAAGTTGAGGAGGAGGTCCCGACTGATGTCGAGACTGATGCTGAGACCGAGGCCCAACATGAGCTACAGGATGAGCTAGAGGTGGGGGGGCAACAGGAGTTTGCCTCTGACTACCCCTCTGTCCGGGCCTCTGCTACCATTCCTTCTGTCTGGTCAGACCCTTTGCCTACACCGCAGCCATCGCCCAAGCCAGAAGCCTCTGCCCCCAGTGCTCAGCCCAACCCGTCCACCGCTACAGAGGTTCCTTTCCCCGAGCCTTCTCCTGCCGGTGCGGAGTATGACCTCGGCTGCCACCCGAACAGCAAAACACCATGCAATGCCTCCAAGAAGTGGGGTCACTCTGTTGATGAAGGAAATTATAATGGCTATGATGGAGAGTCTGGCTTCAGACCCGGCAAGTCTCGGGGCGATCTTGAAGACTGGGAAAGCGAATGGACAGATGATGACTATTTCGGCGGCGGTGGCGGCGGTGGTCCAGGCTTCGACTTCCCCGATTATAGTGATTTTGATGATGAGAAGGGAGGAAAAGGCAACTTCCCTGGCGGCAACCTGGACAAGGACAACAAATTTGGCGGCAACCAGCATGACGACAACCACGGTGACAACAACCATGATGACAACAACCACGATGATAAACATCACCACAAGCACAAGGACCACAAGCACAAGGACCACAAGCACAAGGACCACAAGCATGACAAGCATGACAAGCATGACAAGCATGACAAGCACGACAAGCATGACAAGCACAAGGATAAGCATCATGATGAGGACAAAGATGAAAAGAGTCCATTCCCAGGTATTCCTCATCTTCCAGGCGGCAATAACGACAAGCACGATGATCACAAGCACGATGATCACAAGCACGACAATAAGCACGACCACAAGCACCATGACAACAAGCACCATGAAAACAAGCACCATGATAACAAGCACCATGACAACAAGCATGACAAGCACAATGAACACAAGCATGACCACAAGCACGATGACCACAAGCATGACAACAAGCACGACAACAAGCACGACAACAAGCACGATAACAAAGACCATAATGGTGGGAATCCTTTCCCCGGATTCCCTGTTCCTGGTGGTCAGCACGGTCATGGTGGACAAGACGGTCATGGCGGACACGATGGACATGGTGGAGGATTCCCCGGAGGTCACGGCAACGGCGGTCATGGCTTCCCCTCCTATGGTGACAGTGGCTTTGGAGGTCATGATCATGACCGTTTTGAGGATGAGTCTGGACATGATGACTTCGGCCATGGCCACAATGGCAACAACCATGGCAGCGACCCCAACCCTCTCTACCCTCCTCGGGTGTCTCCCGATCATCTACCAGATCATGACGGCCGCCCTGACACCGGACCATACGGCGTTCCGATCCCTCCACCGCCTCCTGTGCCTGGCTTCGACAGAAACGGACATAGCAACGGGTATGGTGGCCAAGACGGATCTGGGTTTGATCGCGGTCACGGCCACAGCGGCAATCTTGGTGATGATTATCACAGAGCTCGATGCCCTGAAGGCTATTCTTGCCGCCCTGTTCAATACTGCGACCGAAGGACTCCATTCTGTGAAATCGATACTGACCGCTGCCCTCCGTTCCAATCTTGCCAACCCAACTACCCCGAACACGCCCATCCATTCCCCCCGCGGGATGTCAACCTCAACACCACAGGCGGTTACCGGCCCCCGCCTCCTGTTCCCTGCGAGGGCGAACACTGCAACCATGTACCGCCGCCGTATGTGCCTTGCCATGGGGACAATTGCCCTCCTCCCTATGTTCCTTGCAGAGGAGCTGGTTGCCTTCCACCTCCTCCGCCTTACGTGCCTTGTCAGGGAGACAACTGCCCTCCTCCGCCGCCAGTTCACTGCGGTAATGGGACAGACTGCGGGCCGTTCATTCCTGCCCCTCCTGCTAAGCACTGCAAGGGCAGCAACTGTGAGGTGAATACCCAGGAGCCCGCTAGCTGCGATGACGATGACGATGACTGCTGGGACACCTCGGACGACTCGGGCAATGACAGTGACGGTGACTGCGATTCCAGCTCCGGGTCTGACTCTGATTCAGATTCGGATTCAGACTGCGACTCCGGAAGCGAATCCGACCACGAGCCCACCAAGTGTGTGAAGCCTCAACAGCCTCAACAGCACCCCCAACCTCAGCAGCTCCAACCTCAGCAACCTCAGCAACCTCAGCAACTTCAGCCTCCCAAACCCGAGTGCGAAGAGCAGCCCGGGTGCGGGAAGCCTCAACCTCCGGCCCAACCTCCCAAGGCAGAGAATTCCCAACCTCCAGCACCCCAGGCTCCTCCTTATGAGCAGCCCAACTATATTCAGCCTCAACCTGCTCCTCAAGGGAATGCTTCCAATCCGCCACCGGCCCCTTGCTGCTCGGGCCCCGAGCCGGTTCCGGTCCCAGTCCCAGCACATGTTCCGGAGTATGAGTCTGACTCTGGCTCTGACTCCGACTCTGGCTATGACTGTGGCTCTTCCTCCGACTCTGGCTCCGACTCTTGCTCCGACTCCGACTCTGACTCGGATGATGAGGATGACTATTGGGCTCCCCCAGTTGCTCCGCACGAAGAGTGCCCCGAGGACGACGGTGGTCCGAGTGATTGCGGCGGTGGCAACCCCCCTGCCCCTCCCATTGATGATGGAGGCTATGTTGAAGAGCAAAGCTACGTCCCGCCTCCTCCACCGGTCATCGGCGGCCCCGGCCCTGTGATCCCCTCTCCTCTGCCCGAGCCGGCCCAGCCTTACGAGGCCCCTCCTGCTCCTGCTCCTGCTCCTGCTCCTGCTCCTGCTCCTGCTCCTGCTCCTGCTCCTGCTCCCGCTCCTCCCCATGAGCAACCCCCCGCGACACCATCCGATTCCGCCCCGCTACCAGTCTACACTGCAGGAGCGGCGGTCAATTTCCAGGCCAGCTTCGGCATGGCTGGGTTCGTGGCTATTGCCGTGGCAGCAATCGGGCAGGTTTACTAGGTTTGTCCCTCACTCGAGATTATGCCGCGAAGAGCAAATGATAAGGAGACCACGAGGAAGTGTTGGAAGAAAAGACCCAAGGAGTTTGTGTTTCAGCAAAAGTTTGACCAGCCAGAGCTTGATCAAAAGCAACCCATATGGACCAACTCTCCCCATCTTTTGGAGACGCGCACATACAAACACAGACAGAACCTTGTATTTTTCCTTTGTCCTCGTCTCTGCCGACTTCTCTTTTTTTTTTTTTTTTTTTTTTTTTTTTTTTGCTTTTTCTCGCAATCTTTTTCTCGTTGGAAAACAAAAATGGGGGGAAATGGGGTGAGTAGAAAAGCCGTTTGTTTATCTCTTCTTTTGGTTGTGTTCATTCTGAACATGGTCAGCAGCTGGTACATGGACAGACAGACATATTTTTTTACATGTACATTTTCCTACTGCTGGGTTGGACGGGATGGGAATTGTAGGATTGGATGGGGAAGGGAAAAAGGGGGAACAGAAAAAGAGCTTGAGAAGAGAGAGGGGATAGGGGAAGAGAGGAAGGAAGGAAGGGGCAGTAGGACGGGGAGTGATGCAGGGTTTGGAGTGGGTTGAAGGGTAGTAGTAGGGATGTGTGGTTTGCTGGCTAGGGGGAAAAAACAGGGAAAAGCTCATGGTTGTCGTTATTCAGACGTTCGTATTGTCTTCGCATGTATCTTTCGTTTGCTGGCTACATA